ATGACATAAGGTGCAGTTATATTGATTATTGAATGCCAAATAAAATATAGTTCAAACTAAAACAATTATACGAAGAGGATTACGAGAAGATTTATCATTTTTTTTACTACATGTATATTTCGGCCTTTATCCAAAGGCCATCGACTGCAAACTGAACTTACATGAATTTAATTATTATTCAAAAGACTTAAGGGAATTGACTGTCCCTGTTCATTCAAAGATGGTTTTTGTTCTTTTATATAAAGCGCTTCGGCGATTCTCCTATGTTTATATGTTCTAAATTATTCTTAGTGTTGCCAGCGACATTTGCACGATTTCAAAAATTCACCWACAAGATATTTCAAATGAAATTGCGAGCGTATTAGACTCATACATTTATAACTGCCAGAAAGCTGTCATGGGGGGAAAAGACAACTGTACTGGTACTAATCAAAAAGGGATTCATTACTAAGACAAAAGTTAAGCGATATTCCTCATAATCTTTTAATGAATTCCTTCCCCTCTAAATAACAAGTCGTTTTCACTAGTAGGTGTATTGTTGACATTAACATTGTATAATTTAAAGTAGGATTTGTTGTGAATATGATATGATATGTGTTTATGATAATAAAATTCAAAGTTCCTTTAATCCTGCAACATATAGATTGTAGATAGAAGGTGCTCCTAATTAAAACACACGATCGAAAATGCATCTTAACTAGAAAGATACCAAGAATCACAAAAGGAGGATTTTTTTTCACGATTCTTGTTTAGGCCCTGATTGCAGCTGCGTTCATAAATCCGTTTTGAAGTTTTTTTGTCTGAACAACAAAGATATTAAGCCAGTGCTAAGTAAACTGCACGAATTCAGCTTGCTTTATACAACTGATTACTGATATCATTATTTACTTAAATAAAAAACAAATTCACTTTAAACGTTCAGATCTTGTGCGTTAAGTAGACTGTTTGSTTCATCGACGTTTAATCACGATCGTGTTGATTGTTTAGTGTTTTTCAGTTTGCAATTTTAATTTTAAGCAATTATATGAAAATAATATTTTCATACATGTACTTTATATATGCAAGGCATTAAGCACTAGAAGAATACGTTTGTTTTTTTCAAAAAACAGTCGGCGTTCCTGTTGTGAGCGGACAGTTTGTAGGAAAAAATTAGTCCTGCGCTGTATATAACTGAGGAATTAGTAGTGAAGGGTTCCGAGTCCTTTTCAGTTTACACAAAAACCTTGAGTAGTTTTTTTTTATAAACACCTAATCGTTTTTAATATACTGATAATTAAGTGGCTCTTTCGTTTTCGTTTGAGCATTAAAATGATACTATAAGCTATAGAAAGGTCTAGAAAGATAGCCTTTGGCGTTATGTTTGAATCAGGTACTCATTAAAAAAAATTTTCTCAAAACTGATTGATCGCAAATTAAAAACACTACATGACCAATGCTTATTTGACTATTATTGGGTATGAATTACTGACTGTAAAAGATGAATAAAGAAATAGAATATGTTACGATCGGCATACAGAAGATGCAAACATTTCCGCCTTTGCAAAGTGATTTAGGGCTGTACGACACCTGTCAAATGTGTGGATGAAGAGTGCTTTACTCCTACCAATGGTCATTCTTGCCGTCAAGTTCGACTATTTCTCTAGTGTTTTCCAGAAATATATAGGGAGTTCCGGTTCTTTAATTGCGTCGATCGATTATATGAAGAAAAAGTTATTTCACTAATACCACTTGTACGGCGAAGTTTTGCTGTTAGTTAGCATTTTGCTGGGGTCTACTGCAACTTGGGTCGAAGTGTTAATCAATCAATCAATCACCTTGTGTTTTTAATTTCAAAATCTGCCATTTTACAACAGAAATAAATGAAACACGAAATCTATAAATATATTTTAATAAATTTCCAYGAATATGTCTGAGTTAAATTGTTTTTAATGCTTTTTTTGKCAGTAGAGCATCTAAGTCACAAAAATCGAAAAACCTCAAAACTCTCCAAGACGATTCAAGTTGAAGAYTCATTCTGGAACATGACAGGRGGTCTTCAAGCCTCAGGCTAATTCATATAYAACATTTTCAAGCATACAACATGAGAGGCTGTGTTGTGTCAATGTTGTTAACAACTTGGCGATGCTTTTGTGAGATATATAACGTTTTCAGTTTCAAATCTCTGCTAAAAACATTTTTATTCTGTCGGTACCATGTTTATTTACTTGAGTACGTTCAATGAGATTTTATAATTACGTTGTAAAAAAACCTCAATATTATTATGGAAAACTTTATTAGAAATAAACTTTCAATGAGCATGCGCAATTTTCTAAAAGAGATCCATTCTCGTATCCAGAGCTCCTCGGTCATTCATTTGTACAAACGAGTAACCCTGGGTACGAGAATGAATGCGATGAAACACAATATCCGAGCCTCAACTTCGTTCCGCACTGGCCAAGAAAAACGAAGGCTCGGAAAACGAGATTGATAGTACATTTTGAGCAATTATATATCCCACTAAAATACCACAAACGACTCACATGGCTTGCACACACTAATCACAGCTAGTAACCTAAATGGACGTTTTGTCGAGTGCTGGGTCGATATCTTGCGGTGATGATGCGGTATAGGAGAGTAGCCTTGAGACGGAGATATAACATAATGGGACAGTTGTCTGATTATTTGCATAGTGTGCGACAAGGTTTCGCGTCTACGTGTAGTTACCGAAACTCGTAGCGCTTCAGCATATTCAATATGCTGAGTTTTGGCAAAACTCAGTAAATATAGCGTTTTCGGAAATTTCCGGATTCGATTGCAAACCGCTGTCTTTTTAGATACTTCCGGAGGAAAATTTCGTCATTGCACGAACAAGACTGTAATCAAGAATCTCTGTAATTACATAATCGTTTTCGTGGAAAACTTTTTTCGGTACTTTTGGTATTATGAGATTCGCATCACGGTCAATATCCCAGTTTGTAGTTTCCAAACTAGTTTCACATCTCAATAGCATCAGGTGTTATAAATGGTAAAAACATGAAAAACATCAAAGCGCAGATCAAGACAATGTGGACAAATTTCAAATCAGCATCTCAATTGCGCGATTWTTTTTCATTGCTCTTCTTCCTCAATAATTACGTCATTCTTCTCTTCTCTTATAAACAGAGATCTAGTTTCAAGTATTTACTACAGTTGTAGCTCGCCTGGCTAAGTTCGGCGAACAAACTGTCCTCTAAAGACGAAAGTCGGCTGAGTGTCTCTGTTGATCAAGGTACTACTTCGCATTGACTGRCTAAGTCTTTATCTTCTCTGTTGGACTCTACTGTTTGCACTCAGTAATAGTTCTTATTATTAGTCTGCCGTAAGGCAACAAAACTAATCATAAGTTTTATTCGAAGTGACCTTGATGTCGGCAAATAATTACAGCGCCATGAATTCAACAGAGCAGCCTGTTGTTCTGATCTTTCACAGTGCATTTGTGGCTACCTCTGTCTTTTGCTTCGTCAGCACCATTCTCATTTGTGTCGGAACCTCGACAGTGCTGTACGCCATCATCAGGAATCCCAGAGGCGATCTAAGAACGCCTTCCTCCCTGCTGTTAATCAACCTTAGTTTGTCAGACTTTCTTACTGGTTTTCTCCTTGGCGCCATGATGACCGCAGAYTCACTCATGGATGTATATGGCAAAAACAGTTTTCTTTTGGATGGTCTCGTGTTYRTAGTGGGAAGTTTGCTTCTTTTCGTGAACAATCTGACAATTGCAGCCATTTCTGTGGACCGCCTTCTAGCTGTATCAATACCTCTACAATACAAGAGTTTCGTCACATCAAAGTTAGTCAAGATAGTCATATTTATGATTTGGCTTTTGTCATTTCTAATTTGTCTTCTTCCAGTTTTTGGTGTCTCTAGAAATGCATTTTTATTACTATACAGTCACAGCCATGTTTCCTTTCCATTCATATTTCTCACTGGTATCTACATCGCTATCTTTCGAATCCTTGCAAAGCAAAGACATCAGCTGATGCGACATTTACAAACCAGCGATGGAGAAACTATGACAACAGCAGAAAAAATGAGAGAAAAAAGACGAATGAAGAGAGATCGTCATCTCACTRCTACAGTGGTRTTAGTAATGCTTAGTTTCTCSATATCATCKTTACCGTTTCTCATTTGTGTTCATTTAATAATTCACATTGAAAGCTGTAACAACTGCGTGAATCTGTACTGGGAGAGAACAATCACTTCAATATTTTATTTTTCCGGGAGGTTTGTTATTTTGAATKCTGTACTGGACCCACTACTGATCGTTTGGCGAATGCCTAAAATGCGTGAAGCGGTTCGATTAACGACTGTATGGAAACATGTTTTACCGAGAGATAACAAAATTCGCAATGTGGCYCCAGTAGACGTACGTTCGGCATATACGGTGGAAGATTGTGGATAMGTTCAACGTCATGTGAACTGCATTRAACATTGAATTGATATTTAAAACTACTAACTTAACTATCAGTTTATGAACAGTTTTAAGTAAGAATTCCATCCTACCGCATTTCCAAAAATATTCAGGTTCTGCCTATAGGCTGCTTACATCCTGTTTATTCTCGAAAATAACGATAACCGTTGGTGTGTATTTCAAACGCTGGATCAAACTCTGGCTGGGCTCTGCGAAGATTGACGAAAAATTTCAGTGACGTCACAGCAAACAAACCGCTGGCTACTTTGTATTTAAATTTGTTAAAAATGCGTGTTTTCAGAAAGTGGCAGAGAGAAAGAAAGCTTTTGTAATTTTTTTTTTTAGATTTCTGATACCATTATTTACTCAAGAAAAAAAAAAATTGGGGATTTTCAGCGTAAGCAGACGTCAGTCCGTCTGCGTTTGCCTTCGTCATGGTGGTGAAGTTTTCCGTCATTGAGTTTTAAAAATCATGGWAGAGAACTATGGAAAGGAAGCGGCATTATAATAAGAAGTTGATTAAAATTATGCTATATTCTTTATAACTAACTTGGTGTTTAAAATTTGAAAGGACATAGATTCGATTGACGTTAGTATTGCGTTTTATAAGGATGCTGTAATAGTTTTTACGTCATGGAATACAAGTTAGAGATCCGCGACGCTAGTTTTTACCAGTACTGTATGCTGTTTTGTTTGATTGGTGATATGGGATTTTAGATAATTTCTTTACATTTGTTTAAAGGATTCTCATTAAAAGTGAACTAATAATTGTTTGATATCTGGTGGCAAATTAACAGCACCGCTTGAGCTTTATTTATTTGATATTCCATGGGTTATTGGCAACAAATGTTATGATCGACATACCCAAGATGCAGTACACCTGCCAGTTATATATGTGATATGTTATATTTGTGTTTATTGTTGGATCGTCGTATCTTAGTGATTACTATGCCATTCGATCATAAGACAAAAGAAAAGTAAAACATTTTACTACGGATAATCGAGAGAATTTGAATCTGATATAATATATCACTGTCCCGCATAGACTGTCTATTATCGCGATATATAGAGTTATAGATACTGCTTTGAAATAGAATAAAGGTCATTAGAAATATCATTGCTTAAGTTCGAAAAGTAACTTTTTATCAGGCTAGTAGTCAAGCTTTTTTTCTCTTATTGAAGCATTCAAGGACAGATTCAGCACGGCTATTCCTATATATATCGTGTGGAGGGAATGTTWTTGAAAATGACCCCTAAGAGGAGTAGAATAGAATAATACTGCRACTGCTGGATGTTAGATTAAACCCGCCACGCCTAATTTCACTTTTTCTTGTAATTTGATTTCCAATCTCCATTTTCAATATTCGCTTATCCCATCCTACTGAATCCACGGATTCTTTTTAAGGTTTCCTGAAAAAAAYAAGTCCTGCAAAGTGTATCGAGTTCCAATTTCCAAGCTCCCATTTTATTGRCATCTTCAATGTACTCAATATTGTATGCTATTCGTTGAATTTATTGCAAGTTCATTTTTATAAAGCATTGAATTCAAATGCGCCCTGCGAAAGGTCTATTTCAACATACATAATGCTCTTAACAATAATTTAACAACRTTCTTCATTTTTTCACCCTATTGATATAAGTTGTATGATATGAAGAATATATTTTTGTTTATTTTAAGTGGATTTGATAACTAGAATAAATTAGTACAAAAGTGTGAGTTTCGTACAAAATATACAAATTTGAAAAAAGGAACGTCATTGAATTTACTACAAGAGCTGAATTTACTACAAGAGCTGTTTTGCAATCATCCTTTTTCCAGTTCAATGCCGATAACCGCTGCATTTTTGACAGCAAACTCTTTCACAAATGCATTTATCAGAAACAAAAGACAGCACCAGAAGAGAGTCTGTTGTAAAATAAAGCAACGCTTACTTCGCATTTTTCAAAAAGTCCATTTCATTCTATATCTTCTTGAAAGTTCACAAATATTTTGCTCAAATCTTCCGAGGTCGAGCTAGTGTCAGTTATATTTTATATAGGTTAATGAATACTAATAAATCACGTTTACTAACATACAAATTCCTCTTTCCATGGACTTCACGCGCTGACATAACAAGCCGTCTAATATGGCGTCCTTTGTGCATGTGATAGCAGCTGATGGGCTGTAYGGACATATCGCCTTGTGACATATCTTTTTTCGAATTCCAAAAAGATTTTTTTTTTAGGTATGAAATACAGTCGTTTAGTATCCTAGTGTTATCATTACACATTTTTATTACATTTTTCAAGAATGGCCTCCCTGCACCATTGTCTCACCACAGTCTGTCCATTCATTGCGTAGTTATACAAAAACCCAACGGTATCAATTGTCTGACAATGTATTCCAACAATCATCGWCAACAACAAACACTGTCCAATTCACTAATATTTCAAAGGGACAACAAGCGTGGGCTACCGACAATCAACAGAAGTCGACGTCAAAATTGTTTCCTCTCTACCTTCATCTCTAATAGCAGGCTTATGGAATCCATTGGGTAACTCGTTGTGATCATTTCGTTCATTGTAAAACTGTACTTGTTGTGATAATTGTTCAATTTCTTGTGCGAGTACTTTCACAATGTACCCACTCTTTCTTCTGTCTCTGTTGATAACAGCGTTTAGTTGTTCTAGTTGGTTCTCTAGATTATTCGCTCGATTTCGTTCCCAAATCACTTTGTCATACAATAGCTTGTTTTTCTCCTGTAGTTCAGTGATTGCAGCGGACATGGCTTCAGCATTGTCCARCGAGAAGTCTTCACTTTTACGATGTTTTTCTTTGATAAGTTTTTGCTTTATCTGTAAGAGAACATTACAAGATGTAAGAATTATTGCTCGCCTTTAGAGTAACTAAAAACAGTGCTTATATATTTACGTGTGTTGTTTTAAAKGGGTGGCCAAAAGGACCCAAAACACCCCCTCATAACACCGTAAATCGTCATTCTGAAACAAAACTCATTTGTTTTAGATATGCGTTAGATGCTTCACGTGCTATATATATAACATGTATTATTCTTGGAGTGTTATATAATAGCGTATTCTGTTTTTTGACCTCCGATTACGTGAAATACTTGGACGCCTGAGGTGAGGTGCTGTCCTACAGATTTGGGACGTCCCTGACTAATTGTTTTGAGACGGATCAAGCAAAGCGTCGCGTAATATGGTTTGTTGCGATGACTGTACTAAAAAAAGACCAATTACAACAAACATGCGAACGCAGCCTGTTATATTGTGCGCGTCGACGCATTGATAAATCAAGTCAACTTTCTGCATCAACAGAACCTACATACGTAAAATAAGAMAAATCGTCACCTTTTTGTATCCTTTAGCAGCTTTCTGTAGTGTAATATAAGTTTCTTTATATCTATGAAGCTGTACTTTGGCTAATTCCACGCACCTCATGGCCGTCGTAGCACCGAGGTGGACTGAGTTTGAAACAAGAACCTGTTCAACAGGTGGGCTTGTTTCCCGCCATTTCTTGAAACACTCGTCCCAGGTGTCCTTTTCATACAAACTATCACGACCAAGTGCCAAGGCCGGGTCGCACCTCTTGCGTTTGCTCAATTCATCGATTTTTTCATTCAGTATGTTGTTTACTCGTTCGTCYTCCTAAAACGCAAAGCATTGTGGTTATGTTAGAAATATTTGTACATGTACACTACTCTTCCCTCCCTTATCTTGTCCATAAATGGTGTAGGATGCATCTGGAGCACAATGCATAATAATTAATTATCGTGAAATCCGGCGTGGAAAAAACAAAAGTCTCTTTGATATATAATAAACGGGGAAATGCCATCAAACATTTCGGTGTCGTGCTGGTAGATTCATGTGACGTCGAATCGTAAAATTGACCATTTGATTTCATAACAACACTRGAATCACGAAAAGTGACTTCGATAAAAAGTCCGGAAATAAACCAGAGTATGGATCAAAAATACCTTTGAACGCATAAACCGACTCCTACTATGAGACCTGATGCCAAACCCAAAGCATTGAATAAAATTCCTTGACTCAGTGAGATGTGAAATGATAAAGTTCYCGGTTTTCAATCGAGTAAACTACAAATTCAATTAGCATTGAATACATTAGCATGATTAACGTCAAAATTCTTTGTTCAAGAACAGAAAAAAAATTAGATGAATTTAATCACGGAAATTAAAAACACGAGCAAAAGTCTTTTTTCAATTGTGTTATAGATGAACTCCAAACTGCGTCAATGTTTACAGTTGTAAAATGGTATTGATTTGGCTGTGTTTACACAAACTAAACACATTTTTGTCGATYTAATTAACAGCGATTGCCATTCAAAATTAAAATACAACTCTGGCCTTCTATTGTTCTGCATGTTGTATGAATATTTTAAAAATCGTGAAATTATACCAACAASGAATGTTGCTAGTTAACATGTGCTTTCCAATTTTTCCATTCGTCCATCTGTTCATTTCAAATTAAGCAATTTTCGCGGGAATACCTTGTCAATTTTATTTTAGAAACAATTTTGAAGAGTGATTACGTGCGCTCACATTCCCAAACATAAGTCAGAAAAAGTTAACCAAGAGTTACCGAGTTTAGGCAATGATCGATGGCCAGTGTTTCTAAACTAAACAGACCGCCGACTATTATTGTAACCTATCTCTCCCACGAAGCCGTATCTCTAAAGAACGGCCATCACCATATGCCTAGCAAAGTCCTTGACTATTTGRGAAAAGATTCCATAAGCCCACTGTACAATGAGTAGACATAGTCGTGTGAAAGGTTGTCAGACTGTCACACAAACAACACGAAACATGTTGATTTCAATGTTGAGCTAAAGACGGATATTTTTAGCTKTGTGATGATTGTTATCTTTCAGTTAAATTGATAAGATAGATTATTTTGTGTGCATGGATATCAGTAGTCTTATTACTAGCCATGATACGCGGTGTCTGACAATGRAAGAACTATTTACCGGTTCTCGAACTACAACGGTTCAAAGTTAACCGATTTTCTCAATTCTATTACCTACCAATAATAACTCCAGRATCTCCTCTTTGAATTGAAGTTCGGTCTCCAAGAAGAGCAGAAGTTTCAGCATGCTTTCCAAAGTTGTAGTTTTTTCAGCTGTCTTTACTGTTTTGTCCGTTCCACTTCGAGCGACTCTGGCGCTCGCCATCTTTCAATTTCCGCCAAAAAGTGATGTAATGCTTGAACAGTGAATCGTCTTTCCGGCAAATCTGTGGTTTTTACTCAAAAGAGTTTGATATCTGGTTTAGACGGCCTGTTGTTATCCTCAAGCTGCTCTCGACTTAACGCTTTGAATATTTATAAAACCATGACGAAAGTACGTAAGACAGCCATGCATGGAMGAACAAGAACAACAATTCTAATGGAAATTTTGACCGAACTAAAAGAACAGASCCATTACAAACGTGCTGACTTTTTATGCCACTTCCATGGAATGTTTACCTCCTGATGTTTAAAGTATATTTTAGTGCGATTTACGTTCTACCCAGTGTGGTAACAACACTCTTCTTTTGGCCTGTTGCGGTAAAGCGGCTGTGGTTTTGATGGCCCAGTGACGTCACATAATAAAATTACTATTCTACTTCCGTTTCCGGTTTAGGCAGGGCCTGTAGATATGGCATCACTACAACTAATTATTCTCTTATCCCACGAGTTATTTGTAATTTCATTTACAAAAGGTTCTTATAATATCAAAATGACGGTCCTGTACGATTTTGAGAGCAAAAGCACCTAACCCGGCATTTTAACAKTTTCATCCTTTCTATATTTTTTAAAACAATAATGAATAATATAAATGAATGATACAAAGAAGAAAATCACAAATCCATTTATTATCCCATCCAGCTTGCATAMAGCCATAAATAATCACTTCAACCTCTATAATTCCTAGCTATTTACATGACAAAATGAATCCGTTATTACTCTTACAAGTCTACAGYAACTGTTTTATACCCTTGAATTTCATATTATTTTTCAGTTTGTTGGGAGTATCAAGTTATGACAATTATGCAAAAGATAGCAATTCTATGTGTTAAAGTGATGTTAGCTTTTATGATGATCATATCATCAGTTCAGCTTTGGATAAATTAAATGATCGCTTTTAAAAGTGACCATTTTCAAGCTAAAAATATGATGCTCTGAGCGAATAAAATCTATTGTATAGCAATTATTAGGCTATGGTTCAATATTTCCCTTAAAATGAATAACTGTACCTTTGAATCAAACAATAGAATGATAGATACCTTTCTAAAAAACAGGAACACAATCATTTTTCTTACAATTTCTCTTGATTCAAWGGCACACCTTACWYTCAAGATGGCACACAGGGGGCAACTATTCACAATCTATCAGCAGACGTAAATGCTTTCTATACAAAGAAAGTGGCAAATAACACCACAATTGGCCTTTCCAAAATARTGGGTCTAAGACTGAGTCAGAATTTCAACACATTTTGAAAGGAGCATCAAATATGGGTATTTTCATACTCATTTCCAGACCCCTTTTTAATTTTGGAAAGGCAAATTATTTTACCTCTTTTTCATGCGCACACAAATGCACATACATTTCTATAATACATGTAAAACAATACTCCATTTTTTAGTTCCAAGTGCCAGTTGAGCTTGCAAGCTTGCAGGCTCAACTCCTCGCTTCTATGCAAATTCTAGGTAACCTGTCAAGATRGCTCTTGGAACTGTAAAATGGAGTTTTATGTATATATGACACAAAGATAAACATAAATGCTCAAATTTGGGCCAACTATAGTTCCATGAAATCTGTACACTTAAAAAAACACTGTTGGGTTCAAAATCACAGGACATGGAAGATGAAAATGGAAGGGTCTTACCAAATATGGTAACAAAGTGTAACCGCTGTGAATGACTGCAGGTAAACAGGTAATAAACTATAATATCATTATTCCATGTTCTCAATCTGCCTTTGTGCCATTATTCCCTGATCAGTACAAAAAAGCTYTTCAGTTTCCAAGGAATTGCTTGAAATGCTGGTTTCAATAAATACCTTAAGATAAAAAGACAAAAGACTGGCAGCCATGTTGAAAGAGTGAATAGATAYTAAGGAGAAATCTTTTGTAAGTATGCCAGCTGCAATGGTGTCAAATCAAAGTTCAGTAATTGAAGGCCAAATTCTCCTTCACATTACATGAAAAATTCACATTTCATATTTTCACATGACTGAACCATAACATGCACTAGTATCAAAATAAAACATTCATATATATATTAAACTATATTAGCTCAATTTTTACATAGAAATTATTTGCAATACCTTATAATTTCTCATGAAATGTTTGTTAATAAGACTAAATACGAAAACTTTCTTTACTCCCAGTGATGTGACCTAGTCTTAAGTATACATCTGTGCCAAGCCCTTCCATAGTTTGAACAGCAAGGGAACCCCCAAGATAATTGGCATAAGCCCTTGATGTTGGCAATCCAAAACCCCATCCAGCAATTGGTCCTCCACTGGGTGAATTGTTTGGGTGTCCCTCACAAATCGCTCCAAAGATTCCTTGATTATCTGAGGGTTTTATTTCACTTCGATCTTTCATAGTTGTAAATGAATATTTAAAAATGCTGTTAAGCTTCTTTTCAGGTATCCCACCACCACGGTCAGAAATCCTGATAACAAAATACAACTTCAGTGAGTAAGTTAAGAAAAAGGAGCTATGAAGTTAAGTTAGTTAAAAAAAAACATATAAAATTCATTAATAATAATAATTAATGAACTATTACTAGTGTCTGACCACTGGTGAAACAACCCCACACTAGCAAAGGACTCAGTTTAAATGTTGCACAGGTTTTGTTATAGAAGAAAAGACTGATGGCAGCACCCACTTATGACAGATGGCTTGCTCTCCAAATGAGATAATATTGTTCAAATTTGCACTTCTCAATTCTCATGCTATGCTGAAAGATGGTATGATTTTTGTATTGAAGATTTTGATGGCAGAAAACAGATCTTCATCCTGCATTATGTCATGTGTGACGCCTTGAGTATTCTTGGAATTTCTTACCTGACATAAAARTCTGTATCATTGGTACAGATGGTGATAACCAGATTTGGTATCTCTAAAGGCTGATCATAATGATATTCCACACTTGCCCTTCAAAATAAATAAATAAGTAAATACAAAATAAGGKCTTTCAGCATCAATGAAAAACACTTGTAAGGGTCTCAATTTTAATCTCTCATTACTGACCCGTGCAATGTAGCAAGCGATCCAGGTGACAAAACAATCACTTATCTGTACTTTTTGTGACTAGGCGTATTCATCATGGGACAACAAACAAGCTTTGTGAAATCACACATGCATGATCAGATGCCCAGGTTTATATGATAACTCGAGGTTTTAAACATTTCTCAAAAAATCTTGAACACCTTAGCTTAAATCCATCTTGTCATTTGTAGCACTTTTATCAAGGATCATAAACCCTTGCTGCCTTTGGGTTTTTATCCTTTATAAAACACTGGTGCTTGTTTTTTTATATATTACATATTATTACAAATATAAATATTGGTTAAATGTCAATAAAGAAAACTGATCAACTTTTTAGATATTTGTTTACAACAATTCTGGTTGTACCTCATTGCATTCTTGATTAGTTCTTGTAAAATATATTCGAGAGGAGCAGGAATGAAGGGAATAATTGCTTTTGTATGTCCATTGATGATGACTCCTGGTGCTACACCATATAGATGTTCACAAATTTGTCTGAAATATGTGAGCACAAATAAATCAATATCAAGCTATATGGTCGATTACACACTGCTTCGTCTACGTTTGTATATGTTTAATTTCTGCTAGTTAATTCATTTGTACCACTAGTCCCTGATGATGAATCAAATGATCCAAAAGCTCGGAAATTAAACATACAAACGTAGACGAAGCAGTGTGTAATCGAATATGACTCCTACGTACAGAGAAATCTTAAACCTGTATGGTCTTTGTCTCCTCACAGTAAAACCTTGCTGTTTTGATGATGCTGCTAGTTTAATACTAATTTTGATTCCTTTTTTAAAATCTATTTATAATACAACTCATACAAATAAGAAAGATGTTTTGAATAATACATTGTTACTATGACAATACCAATAAATYACAGCTCACCTTGCAAAGTCACATGATCTTTCAATGACTTGTTTTAAGTTTAAATGAGTACAAATGATGCCGATATAATTGGGCTGAAAGATAACATCACTTGTATCAATACATACATCAACTTTCTACAATCTACACAGGAAAAAAAACCCCTAACGTTTACACTGAAATAGTACAAACTTGCACCTCTTTTATTTAAAGGGTGACTACTTCTATAGAATATATACCACAGTAAAATATATCATTAGAAGTGCTTTGGTTGATATTATGAAAACATTCTTGCTACTTTACCTTTTCATTCCTAAGTCCAATGTGATGCTCTGCTAACATCCTCATTGCTAAACGTGAAGTCAGAGTTTTGTCCAGAAAATTCCCCATAGCATCATACTGGAAAAAGTGGTAATTAAGTATCAATCTTTCACATGCATATTGTTGATTTTGTTCATTTTATTCTCAGTAAGTGACTTWTGATCCAAGGAGGCTCAGTACTCTTTACAAGTATTCTTTTTATGTAGTTAACTTACTGAAATGTGATTTTTGCATTCCTGAAAACCTTCAGCTAAGTTTGTTACTACATGTTGATGGTCATCTAATAGCCCTGTGATAAGATGACTGTAGCGACCTTCATCTTCAAGACTTTCAACCTAGTGAGAATACATAGTTTCAATTAATTCAATAATTCAAACTTAGAATTTATATATAGTAGCCATTTAACTGAGTTCCACATGACATTTTTTCAAAACACTCATGTCAATACAGTGTCTCACCTTGGGGAATTTTGTTAGCATGCTGAATGCTCTGAGGTATAGTTCATACTATCAGAGAAAAACAAGGATATTTTAGTGGAAGCATTTTTGTTTGCTAGAAATTTTCTTAAATTTGATCATTAAAGAGTTTGTAAACTTCATGTTACGYGTGAACTTGTTTTAAACTATCTCTTTTGACACAATAAAACCAAGACTTTCAATGAAACATGTTTCATCTATTGACCTTTTCAATAATTGATACGTTACACAGTTGATGACGATTACAAAATCTAGCTGCACGCGCTTAAAAMAACGTGTGCRCAYTAACACTAATTACGTAAACATTGTAARACTWMATGCAAAAACAACAAAGTTACAAAAGTTGCTTGCTCRTGGTTCKTGTAAAACAGGTTCACATGTACCATKRARSMWTTTTTGTTTGATATTTAAGATTTATGAGAACTATTTTTGGCCCAAATAAAGATGATTCCWTTCTTTCCCATGTAGAACTATATTTGTTACAACTATATTTTGGTTTATTTATTGTTTTCTAGATGCAAAGAAAAGTCATAAACTTACAACATCATGCATGACTGGATTGGACAGAACAATGTATGGGAGTTGTTGTAAATCTACAACACGTCTTGCTATTCTGATGGGCATCTCTTTCTGTAAATATTGGGCACTTTTCTAGAAAAGAAGGAAAATATAAGCACTATAATACTTTTTAACAAAAACTCTGATAACCAAACTGCAAAGAAGAGATGCATAYGCACAATACTGGCAAATCTCAAACAACAACAACAACAACAAACAAACAAAAAAGACAGTGAGCAGGTAGACCGTGTCAAGTATGGCCATACAGGAAAACATTTGATTTGTTCATACTGTCACCATCTTCCTCTGTTTATTTTTCATGTACAAATTGTCTGCAGTAATAAATCAAGCTCAGCTAATAAATGGAACTATTAGAAAAATACAGTAAATTTGAATAAAGTGAGTTTGTAAGCACTATATCAGCCTTAATGCAATCCATTGACTGATAAAAAAGCAGAAACCAATATTTCAGAAAATTCAAGAAATTCGCATGTATTAGAAATAATATTTTAATTAAATTAATTAAATAATTAAATAAATTTTTATTTTAATTTAAAAAAACTTGTAATGTAAAAAGATAAATAGCAACAACAACAAAGACCAAAAATGTACATAAAGTACAATAAAAACATGTAATACAAGTTAGATCACTCGAATTAATTAAAATCCAAATACTTACAATCAAGTGACTTCCATCTTTGAATTTCCCAGCATACAACATTTGATAAGGTGTTAGACGAATGGAAGACTGAAACAGTAAATTGTCTGTTACTGATAGTTCGTGCTCACGTATAATAAAATGTGCAGATAAAAGAGTTATTATAACGTTAGACATCAAAAAACTTTTGTTATTAAACTTGACAACACTATTGTCTTAGGAAATGGTTGCTTTTGTCCTTTGATAAGTAAAATCTACAAACCTTTGAGGCGTATTCATCTAGTGTTTGTTGTCTAACATATGACCATGGTTGAGTCTGTGAACCATACATTGACATGCTGGAAAGTCCACATTGTTGTTTTGGAAGTTTACTTTTTGCAACAGCCAGGCGCGAAAGCTCCTTGGATTGTAGAATAAACCTCATTTTGAAATGATTAAGACTATGGAGTAATCCAGRGTTTGATGAGTTTTAAAGTGACAAATGTACCAGACAGCAATTTTCAAGGCACTGGAAAACGTAAACTTGGTTTCCCAACCTTGGCCTTCGATCTTGGTGGTATGGATGTGTGATCACCTCACRAAATGAGCTTTTTCTTGATTTCCAGACACAGATTGACTACATCTTGACTRCTTYAAAGGAAGGGRMAATACCCATCCRMCAAATAACCTATTTYCAACTAAAAAAATACACTCATACAGCACGAGTTTGCACTTTCCGAAAATAAACACACGGCAGCCATGTCATTTCATAATCGAAGCTTTTAGCCAATCAGAAGGCGTGATTTGTTTTCCAGCTCGTGTTTAGGCACAATGGACTTGAACTTTGTACCCACAAGCAAAACAGGTTTCCGAACCTGTTCGGAACAGGTTCGGAACTTACTCGAGCCTTTCACGCAGGAAACCCATCCAAAGTCTCAACAAAAATATCATTTGAGCAAATAGATAAAATCAAGCTACAACTACTGGTATTCATGCTAGTCCAATATGAGAATCTCAAAGAAAAATTCCAGTGGATCTTAACCCGATCATTTTGATCTTACGTCTTACACTTATTCTGTAGAATTTGAAGAGATTTTCAAAAAACAAAAACAAAAACAAAAAAAAACGAAAAATAAAGATAAATCAAAAATTGAAAAATACGGAACAACGARAAAAATTCGAGAAAAATAAAACAAAAGAAATACCTGAACTGTGTGCATCCAGTCATGTCGTTCAGCGGTTATCAAGATGTTGGCATTCTGGGAATGCTTGACGGAATGAATAATGTTTATTTTGAGTGATACTGTATAAAAGCAAACTATCGTATAAAGGAATGRTTACAGAGTAGATGCTYWCTTGTTGTGAAGGCTTTAAAGAAGCAAGATGTCGGGGGAARCTTCCCATTCGACAACGATTCGAGGTTCGCCAACAAAATACGTAAAACTGAATGTTGGTGGATCTCTTCACTACACAACTTTGGGGACACTGACTAAACAAGATAGCATGCTCAGAGCTATGTTTAGTGGCAGAATGGAAGTACTAACAGATACAGAAGGTAGTCTAAYTAATTGTGAAGCATTTCTGACAGTCAGCGTCCCTTGAGTGCAACTGAAATATTTGTCATGAACAAAAATGTCTGGATKGTCACGAAAAAWTTAAAACCTGGAYTTTTAAATTCCTTAGCTATCAYATTTAWGGATGTTATGGCCCAAATCAACTGCATATACCGTGAAAACTATTCTATAAACATTGTATTTTCTAAAGTTCCATGTACAAAAAAATCTTATTCTGTTGAATATTCATTGTGGATTGAGTGGGAATGAAAAAATCTTCTTACTGCAGTAATGCAGTAATGCCCCAACGGGGGGAGCCCGGGCATACCCAGGGGCTATTGACATTTTTGGAAAACAAATGTCAATGAGCCCCTCTTAAATTCTACATCAAATGACAACAGGCCCCTCGATTAATGTAAAGACCAGGACCGGGTTGCTCAAAGCTCRATGAAAGCTGAGCCTGGTTTAACTCTTAAAAAAACTATAGAGTTAATCCCAGATTAACGCATGTTTAACAAACTTTCCTGCAGTTGTAAGTGAATGAAATAACATTCTAAAATGTTTAGTCTCTGATCAAATTGTCAATAAGCCCTACCCTGGAGGGATCCCTGTGTCAATAAAAGTCTAACAGCCCCTGTCAGGGGCTAGGTTTGTATGTCAATAGACCGTGTGTGCCCGAGCTCCTCCCATTGGGGCCAGACATTGATAGGTGCATAACTGAGATCTGATCCATGTTTTCATTGTTTAGGTTGGATTCTTATTGATAGATGTGGAAAGCATTTTGGTACCATCCTTAATTTTCTGCGGGATGGATCAGCTCCTTTACCCCAGAGTGAGAGTGAACTTAGAGAAATTCTGGCTGAAGCAAAGTACTATCTAGTAGAGGAGCTAGTGTCACAATGTGAAGCTTTATTGGCCAAGAAAAAGGAACAACACGATCCAATTTGCCGTGTTCCACTTATAACTTCAACTAAAGAGGAGAGACTACTTGTCAGTACTGCTAATAAAGTGAGGGAATGGATTTCAAATGTTACAGTTTATTCAWTATTTGGCTATAGAAATGCTAAATTTGAACTTTTTATTTCTTACAGCCAATTGTGAAATTATCTTACAACAGATCCAATAACAAGTATTCCTACACAGCGTAAGTCTTGAGATATACTCTGGCAAGCCTCTAGGTTGAATTATTACTTTTTTCAAGYGCTATGTGAAATATTTTAATTTTTGAACATTGTCAGATGATARAGGTCGGTCATACTAAGTAACACACTACCCTTCCCATGCAGGTCAACAAAGCCTATCTGTTTTCTCATTTTTTGTTTGGCACTGTGAAGTGTTTTATAAAGAATAAAGGTTATAAATAAATGAAGTTATTAATATATTATTATTATTATTATTGTTATTCCAGGCAATCTGATGACAATCTTCTAAAGAATATAGAGCTCTTTGACAAACTTTCCCTTCGCTTCAATGGCCGTATTCTCTTTATAAAGGACTTAATTGGGAACAATGAAATATGTTGTTGGATTTATTATGGCAATGGTAAGAAGACAGCAGAAGTTTGTTGCACATCCATTGTCTATGCAACAGAAAAAAAGCAAACAAAGGTTGAGTTTCCAGAAGCAAGAATTTATGAAGAGACTCTAAATGCACTTCTTTATGAAAACAGAGGTACTGGTTCAAAGCTGCCTGATGCMGAGCTGCTTCATGCTACYCGTGGAGCAGTAGGTGCAAGAGTGATTCATGACACAGAGGAGGAGCCTATGAGAAGACATAGAGCTGGAGGAGACTAATTTTTAGCATGTTTTAAAATATTCTGACAAAAATTTGATCATTATTGACAGAGAAATTGTTGTGGGAATCAAGTGAGAAAATAAGTTGGTAGTTTCATTACAAATATAATGGATAAAACTAACATTATTGACAAAAAATGTGCTGTGTTTATGATGATTTAATTTGTTATGAACGAATGAAGGACATAGTTGTTGATATTTTGTACAAAAGTAGGTGTAATATTTTCAAAGTGCTAGGATGAGATTTTCCTTTTGTTCAAAAAGCAAGCACAGAAATATTTAAAGTGCTGGAATTATGTGATTTGTAGTTTTTGCAATAAAATCAGATGTTCTCCTTATATTAATGTAAACATGAATTATTCCTCTAATTTGTCTGTGCATCCCTTGCTTAAATGCACAGGAAGTATGAACATGTTTGCTCCCTCATAATTAAAGTCAACACCCTTTGATTGCTACTTGGGATTCCTGTGTACATTGTAATGATATTATTTATATATCCACTCTGATGCTTCTCTTAGGTCATTTTGAACCAATAAATKATTTACACAAAAATATTGTGTGAAGTATCTAATTGGGAGGCGTACTCACCAAAGATACTCAATGTAATAATTCACCATGATACGTAATGACCTAAAAAAATTCTAGATCTCCTCATSGCCTCATTCATGCATCAAATGTGTTTTTTTTCCTCTTTTATCGCTTACTTCGTATCTGACTTATCTACAAAAAGAACAGATATAGTATTTTTGATGATGACAAATATTTATTTTATGGTGTCCCTTAGCAATAACTTCAGCTAACGGAAGTGCATTGTGGGTGATTCAATTTGTTCAAAATGGCGGACGGAACGGAGGGCTTTTACTTCGATGAGTTAAACAAAGTGCGAGTATTAGAGCCTGAAGTTAGCCAAGAAACCACCAAATTGAAAGAAGAGTGCAAAGAGTTTGTAGACAGTAAGTAGTGAATTTTTTTCTGATTTAGCGTGGTAGATTTCATGTGATTGTTGAGCTTGGCTAGAAGCGCGTTGTTTACGTACAACTGTCTGTTTTACATGTAACTGAAATGGTTAAAGATTTAGTGTTTGATGTTTGATTATTAGAAATAAACGAGTTTCAGAAAATCGTGGGTGGATTCATTGACATGGTCGATTCGCTGGCGAAGGAAGTCGAGAAGGAAAAGATGAAGGTAGTAGCCGCGTTTGTTGCCGCGTTTGTTGTGGTTTCCCTGGTTACTCATTTTTACCAAAAGATTTTGTGTTTTTATTGATATAAACAGGCTATTGGCTCTAGGAATTTGCTAAAATCAATCGCWAAGCAGAGAGAGTCACAACAACAACAATTAAGGGCTTTGATTGCCGAGAAAAAGACACAACTCGAAAGGTACTGTGTACACAAAAATTGACATCCGTTCAAAACGTTTYAGCAAACAKAAATTACATTAGTKGATGCTTCTCGAMAATTCAGTTCACATTTATTTGATGCATGGAAAAATCTGTTTATCGACTTAGCCGCATCATGGTACATACTGTCACGTTTGTAGAACGCACCTCCGGCGTTTAATTATTGCCGGACAGATTGACATCTTGACATGTAGTGGCCTTATCCATCAGCACAAGCTCCTAGTGCTTTAACTAAAACATACAAAATTTCTATTTTTTTYCCAATACTTACGCAGGAAAATACAGAGATTTAAAATGGTTCAGTTTATTCCAAAAAATATTAACATTAAGAGAAAGAATAGAAAATGTAGACTTAATAAAACAGACATTGGTTTTGATTTACATGTACTATAAGTATCACTAGAGGTCAACCATATATAAGACTCATTGATACTGTGTGTCTGTCAACAGCTCTAGTCAATAGAGATCRGTTTAGAATTGTTTCTATGAATATCAGTAGAGAACAGAGTGACTCAACTGCTAATAAACACTAGCAAGTTTTTTTTCACTAGCAAGTTAGGTTTTATACTATCTTGTGAAAAATGACTAAATACATTGTAACTGAAAAAAGGAATGACTAATATTATTGTTGCCTGCTATTTTTAGGTTCAGACTACAGCACGAATCACTACAAAAAGTCGAAAGTGATCAGAATGAATTTATTGAACAGTTTATCCTTCAGAAATAGTTCATAAGGTAATGTCTTCAATTAAGTAATGTACTTTTACTCACCAATCAACAAAATTAAAGAAAAAAAACATTACTTGGTTATTTGTCTGAACAATGATGGCAGGTTTACATGGTACAATAGTCTCCTTCACGGTAACCTGCGCCATCTTGAAAGGTAGCCGTGCCTTTGCATCGAAGCGAGACAACCATTGAGCGTGCAATGATAGAAACCTTCTTTCACACCTACAGACAATTCTTCACAGGTTTCTATCATTGCACGCTCAACGGTTGTCTCGCTTCGATGCAAAGGCACGGAGATGGCGCAGGTAACCGTGAAGGAGACTATTGCTGCATGTGAGTTGTAGTATACAATATTCTTATAACAAGTCATAGGATTTTGAGCCATGGTTAAAAATTGTACTACAAGTTGTAGGCTGCATATGTATAAATCCACCTTTACTGGTATGGAAAGATTCTGACCAGTTGTTGAGAATCAAGTCCAGATAAAAGTCATGACATGTGACTAGCAACAGACTGTTATCAATCAAAATGATTGATATTGTTATAAAACCAGCCAGCAGTACACGTGGCTATAATTAAGACCAAAGAGATTTTTGTTGACAAAATAATGCCATTTGCACATCGCTTTTGCTTGAATTGGTGAGCCTTGTATGTATTGAAAGTTGTTTTCTTTTAGGGATGAGAATCCTTCAGCAACACAACTTACTCCTGGATGTACACTACTTAGACGTTGAAGAGTTTATAAAAGGGTAAAATTGGGGTGCTTTCTATTAGTTAGAACTGACCAGCTAAATTATTCCAGTAATTGAATGGCTGGCTGCTACTTATTAGAACAGCGAGTCTATAAGGGTTCTTGTCAAAATGGCTCTGATATTATTTACTTTTCCTTTATGGTATTTTTGAAAATACTGGATGATGAAACAATTCAGTTATGACTTATGAACAGTACTGTCCAAGTGGCACAGCAGAAGAATGCTGTCTTGTTCCCCCTTGATGTAAGTTGTACTAGTATAAAAGAAGATATACATTGTATATAGAGAATTTCTCAGCTGTGAATTTTATTTATACTGACCTTTTTATTTTTATTTTGTTAAATATAAAACATTGATGGCTACTCCCTGGCTAAATTGGTAGGTAGGGGTGCCCAATGATCATGGTCTGCCTTGAAATTGAAATTGAATTCTGATTTCAGTATAATCCTGTGTTACATCTTGTAAATTAACCCTAAAAGGTACAGTGTAAGTTGAAGATCCCACTTTGGTGCCACTTTGGTAAGGGAGTCTCCCAGCCCTCGAATGCATCCACATTTTAGACTCTTTGTAAATAACGCAATAATTCTTGGCATAACTTATAGTGCTTTTCCATTGGCTGTGAAAGAAGTTGTTTTTATCGAGGCAGGATGTAAAATCCATCTAGTTTAAAGAGAATAAATGATTTTTACAACTAATTGATGTTATAATGAACCCCGTTGTTCACCATTACCATCCTTAAACTATTATAATATCAATGCAATACATTTATGCTCTTTATCAGAAGGTTGATAGAGGAAGTCACAGATAAGAGTTATCCAGATATAAATCTTGTATATATTTTAGGTTGCTAAGTGATTTATAGAGTGATTTGAGCTTATTAGTTGTATATGACTTGAAATCACTTTAGCCTGTGAATAACACTAGTCTGTTTACTTTCTACTTTAATTGATATGTTTAAATTAATTCACCAATAATGATACCTCTTGTATAGCTCTCTTAATTTCCCTTTTGGAATTCCTTTCTGACTTCACTCTAAATTGGTTTACAGCAGAAACCGTTGCATAGCGACTTCGATGTTCAAAGAAAATAGTTGGGATTTAGGTTTTTCTGCTACTTTGGGGCGGAGCTTGATACTAATCAGCCAATGATTGAACAAGTTTTCGAAAAGCTCYGCCCCTCAGATTGAAAGAAAGAACAAAATCCAGACAAACTTCAAAAACAAAGAGGTCGCGATGCAACGATTTCAGCTGTAAGTGAGAAAGGAATTTCAAATAGAATTCAAATTACATATTGGTCAGTGTTTTGGTAAAACTCTTTATTGATCTTGTGAATAAAATTTTACAAATGGTATTTGCTTGTTTGAGAATTATTTTTGAAAAGAACCTTTCAACTATGAATGTGACTAAAGTGTTAATCCAGGGTTGGATTAGTGCTAAATATCACCAGATAATTGATATGTTGCTGATTTGAATCATGATGTGCACAATTGATCTAATGCACAGAATGTGCAAATTAATTAGTTCTGTATAACTTATATACAACAAGCATTCTAATTGGTCAACTTTTGTATTTTGTATAAAAGGAATTCCTGTTTAGTGAAATGAATTTGAGTGCCTTTATTTTTCATTTGCTGTTACATATTTGTAAGCTAATAAATATTTTTGATTTTTATCAAAATCATTCTGATATATTCTGGCTAAAATGTATAATATGAAATTATGAGGTGCAATTATACTACTAAATTAAAAAATGCAATAGATATTGGTGCGATAATATAAACCAACCAGTTCGTTCGGGATCCCTGTAGTTTATTCCCATGAAGGCCAGGTTTCAAAGGTAAAATGGCTGATGATTGCCTCTTCGTTTGCTACAAGTTCTGGAAGTTTTAGTGTTAGTGYTTTAGTGTTTTAAGACTTGAAATATCGCGAAAACATCCAAAGAGACTTCGTAAATACTTCCAATAGAGGTAAGGTTTTCGAATAATACCTAAATAGTTCAGATAGGCGTGCAGACGACAACTTCTATAAAAAGCGCGCGCTCGAGCTCTACGTCTAGCTATTAATGATTGAAGTGCCAGAGCGATGGCATTTCGAATGAGTAGCGATATATCTTGAATACAAAATGAGGATAAAAACTAGCCTTAGACGGACACCCTAGAGTAGATAAAAACCCAGGACACTCAATCAACATGGTGGCACGTTGATTCTTGGTCCAAAATTCGTTTCTAAAATAAAGTAAGCTTGTTTATAGCATATGATAACGATGTAAGCTTATAAGGATTTTGTTCGTGATGTAAATCAGTGAATATGTGCATGAAGGACAGTAGGTAAAGCAAGAAGATTCTATTGTGATCCCTCCTCCATTGTTTTCTGAATGTATCCATATGCAGCACCCCAAGCATCCTTTGTCTCGGGTGTAAAATCCTCGCCAAGTCCCGCTGCAAGGGTCCATAAAATTGCTGCCCCAACATTCTAATTGGAAGAGTAGAAACAGTATTAATATACTCGGTTTTTGAAACGTTGAAACCTGAAGATATTGTAATGCATTAAAAGAGGATTTCAATGTTTCTGTGTGACTATGCGTTTTCATACCTTCAATAGAAAGCAGTTTAGTTTAGAACTGTCATTTTGCAATGTCAATGCGTGGAATCAATGGCAACGATGCATTTCAACTTGGAATATGCGATATCACTGTATTCAGTGCTCAAACTTGTTACATAATATCTGGTACATCATGCACTTAGCAATTTGACTACTAGTAATCCATAAGACTGTGCTTAAACCATTGTTATGAATGGCCAATCAGAATGCTAGATTTGTGATAGTCCAAAGTTTGATAGGTAGCTGAGTGAATTTGTAGCTGACGCAGTTGGACAGTGATCAATATGCATTAGTGCAGGGCAAAACATACAACAGGTAAACAACAAGGAAACACAAATGATTCTAGGTGATTCCATATGGTGATTCTAAGTTTTGTGCTTACACATTCGTCACACAGAATTTAATCTAAATTTAATATAATCATTAAATTCTGTCTGATGAGTGTGTAAGCACAAAACTCTGAGTCACCGAGAATCATGTGTGTTTCCTTGTAGTTAACTTATTGTAGTTTGATAGGTATTTACTTCCTTGGCTAGCATACAGTATAGTCTATTTTTTACTGCCTTGGACATCAACTTCCATATTGTTACCTGATAGTCTGTATCTGTGAGTCCAAAAGGTTTGTGGAATTGACCCAACTCTAAGAGTTTGTTTTTCAATATCACAGGGTTGTCTAAGTTTTTTACAGCCACACCAACAGTTTCCATGACACCAAGGGCATGGGTTCGTAGTCCTTTGCTTTCTGGGTTGTGTCCAAATGGAAAGCGATCTCTCAAATATGGAGCGATTTCAAACAGCCTAGTTGAGAAAAACATGAGTGATATTTACAAAAAGACATATTACCATTTCAAAGATAAGTATTTCGCTTTAATTATGTTATATTCTTACAATTTATTACTTGAATAATCTGCTAGGAAATTTCCTCCGTAACTCAGTAGAGATGTGAATCGTTTTATTTTGTTTAAATGGACTGCCAACTTACTGTTTGAATGTAAGGCAATGCTAGTTATGCATGGCTTACACAAACCAAAAGTCTATCGGTATTATCATACGAGAAGCACATGAAAAAACATATTACTAATGAACCTAGTAATTACTGATTTACTGGGATAACTGTACGATTATTTGAATAGATGAAATATATCACATAATTCATGTAGCAACCAGAGCGATTCTAACATGTTATCCAGGCCTTATATCAATGTTATACAATTATAAATTTTTATTGACTGTTAATTTAAAAATGCACAAGACAGAGCGCCATGCAGCAGACGATATTCAGTATTCCTAAAGCAGAGAGAACAGCGAATGGGAAGTGCAAAACAATGATGAGGATTGCACATAGCTACTTTGAATTACATGAAGAATGTTTTTTTAATAGACATACTAGAACAATTAGTTAGGATAGAAAACATCGGTCAACAATCGCCGTTCTTGAATTAGCTATATTCGGCGCGCTCTGATTGGTCCTAGAGCGTGTTTTGCTGGGGTTTGTTGGTACTTGACGTGCAACGCCGAATAAAGGTGTGTATATATAGCACCGATATTTTTCACTGATAATCCCCAAAGCAATTTTCTTTAATTTATTGCTTTCACTAAACCACAAATGGTAACTAAAATCACACTTTAAAATTAGCTTTTGAGAAAGTCATTTAACATTTTGACCACATTTTTAACAGCAACTGATATATTTTTTCATAAAATTCAATAATTTTCAGCCTCTAGAGTGTCACCGACGCATTCAGTGATTTTTCACTAATCGTAGTTTGAATTATTGAAATGATTGGAAATAGTTTTGCGTTTAGTATTGTGATTCATGGTGTAAAGCCACTTGAGTGTAGTGGTTGCAAAGAACTTTAATGGTGATATCTTACCTTTTAAACACAACCAACCCAGTCTCTTGCAAATCTCCTTTTTCCACTTTTTCCCAAGAATTCCGGATTAGTTGAATTTGATTGTCATCGAGGACAGGCTCTTCGTCGCCCCATATAAGACTAGCAAGACTTTTTGAAATCCTTCGCAATAAACTGCTCATGATCAAATTCCCAGTACACCTAAAAATGAATAAGAAATGATGGCTTCAATCAACAGTGCTGGTTATATATTCAACAGCTGTGAAGGAGTTTCGGAAATTGATGAGACAAGGACGAATTTCATTTCCAATTACGTTTTGCCTCACATTTTTATTACTCGCTGAATCTTTTAGTCATTTTCTCTGATTTTTCCCTCATTTGGGAGATTTGATCCATTTCCGAAAACGGACTTCCTGGATTGCGTGGAGGAAAGTCCGGGCCTAGTCTGCTCCAACTAGAAGCTTCTTTCGCAAGTACAAAGAGTTAAAGTACGATAGAGTGACGACGCACACAAGTTGGACTGAGATAACAAGACCATTCCGTCAGTTTGTATGGATAATAATGTGATCGATTCTGATTGGATGTGAGCAGTGATGTTCATTATTTAACAAACAGAAAGAAAAATCTTGAACCCCAAGTAGTATTGCATTAGTACATGATAAGCGAAAAACACTTAACAAGCAATCAAATAATCTAATTTCTACTCCTTCACACATCTTTTTATTAGATGATAGACCAAGTGCAGGACTAGAGGACAAGCGTGGAATGACTATAACAACACCTGACAAACCACATCCTAATAACTCCTGACGGTATTATGATCTGACAGGCGGATTTGCATGTAAATAATGAAAAAAAAGAAAGTAGATGGGAATTGACCAGCATAATTTTATTCATCCTGTTCCACTAGAATGTTCCAGTCTCATTTCAATCTAACAATGTATAGTGAAAGATAGAATTTGGCTCAAAAGACGAGTACCTGGCGGAGTAGATGCTGGATTGATGTGTCGTGAATATAAAAGCTTATAAAATTCTGTATGTCATCTTTTTATTCCTTTTCTTGTCATGTTGTTATAATTATGGGAGCCCGATGGTGAACTATGGATTTTATGTCGCTGAGTAACATGAAAGTTGTTTTGATTGGTTGATAACTCTATTGATCTATCACACCATTCAGTTATGCAGTTATGCAGTTATTGCAGTTATGCCAACTCAACGTGTTAAAATGTGCCGCTACTTTTTAGTTCGTTCCCTGCGTGCACCGCGGGATAAACTGTGCGCGTTGATAATATACTCGGCATTAGTATTACCATACCAGTGGACTATTGCAAATCCTTCGTTCTGATTGGCTACGCTATTCGGGGTCTATTTTCAATAGTGCTCTACTAGCGGAGAGCGACAATCTTTTGCGTATTTTTAGCAATTAAAACATTTAGTTATTTATCTATTTCATTCATTTTTTTGTCCAACTAGTATGGTAATACTAAAACAATTTGATCTCTCGCCCTCGTGGACTACGAGCTGATAGGCCGATGGGCTAAGCTCGTAGTCCACTCGCCCTTGAAATCTAATTGTTAAATATACAATTGCGTAATAACTACAAAACAATATAGTCACGTGCCGATGTCTACCACCTTGACATCAATCGTTTTTCAGTCTGCGGTGTTTGATGTCATTGCTGCTTAGGAAACCATTAAGGCCACATTAGATATGTCTGTAATGCCGTAATTGTAAAACAACAGGCAATTACACGAGTATATAGGATATATAAGGGTATCATTGCTTAGCGATAAGTCAAATACAGTGGAAATATTTTTTGTCTAAACATGCCAGGGTGCCTTGCAAATGCCGCACCCCATGCCGGGTTAGAATTTGAACCAGTTTTTTCTTGTTATGCTGTGAGGTAGTTTCCTAATAACCCTACGAACTGAACATTGTCTTAGTTTTAATAGATTAATAAACATCGCTTACTTAGAGCTGTTAGTTTTTACCTTTTCTACCTTTTGGCGTGTGTTTTACGGGCTGTGTTGTGTTTCACGGGATTATATAAACTCTTCCAATTTAATTAAGAAGCAATTAAACAGGTAAAAGATTGAATTTTGCATCATTTGTACCACGTCAATTGATCATTAAATTGTTAACATTCCAGTTAAAGCGAAGTCGTATAGTATTTTTTCATATTTGGACATTGGACATATCTTATATACATGGTATATACAGACTTACCCCTACAATCCTTAGTATTTTATATCAGTTTGATCTCGAGTTTTGTACTTTGTTAATCGTTATCTTGACTGATGTAAGCAGACCTCTGTCACAAGCCCCTTGAACACACTTTAACGCACAATCAGTAACCTTGTAGAATTATTCTTATAAATAGACGCGGGGATGAAGTTAAGTTTGACCCGACGTCCTATGATCATTCAACCACTGCGCCGTGGTGATCCGCTTAGCATGACACCATTGAAGACAGACTTGGATTAGGGATATTCAAATTTAATTCAAAAACTAATACGGAGAGTGTATTTGTCATTAGTGGTTATTTTTAAAATCAATATTACGTCAGTGGTTTGTAGAGGGGTGCAGTTTGTAAATGTACCCGGTGGCTTTGTTTCCGGGTMTTTGAACTGCGGTAGCTTTATGTCTAAAAACAATGCATGTTTTGGTTTAGTAGTAATGCAAACCGGTGCTGGGACAATTGTTTCTTTTGAAGTCAATGTCATGGTTTCCTCTCGTATAGACGTTATTATCATTTAATGCAATGTGATCCTTATTCCTCTCGGTTTCCCACCTCCTGCCGGGATTGTTGTGCTAAAAATGTTAGGAAATACATATAGATAGATATGATAGATAGATAGATACCTTTATTGATAAAATCATATTGCAGCCTGTGGCTGAACTGCATGACTAATACAGCTGAATTTCTTTGGTTTCTTGGATTGGGCACTTGGAATAATTGCTTTGTTAGCCTTAGTATTTGACATTACATACGACAGACAAGGTCACAGTGCAGTCGACCGTCTCAGCGGTTACATTTGTTACGCATGCGCAATGTATAGTGACTTGTGGTATTGCTATAAGTTTATCAAAACCATGCAAGTCTTCCTGAATCTTACTTCCTGTTTAAGACTGGCATTATTGTCAGCGGCAATAAGGTTTTAGTTTCCCATTCTACTTATTTAGTCTTCTACGTTGCCATTTTGGGAATGCATTTTGTGCATTACCCAAGTTCCTTTGTTTTATACAACTGGTTTCAGAAAACGTTGAACACTGAAAATAGTGTATTCAAAGACCGAAATGCATTGTTGGCCTTCTATGTCCGTTCAAGTGGACTTTTCGTATTTCCAGAGTGACTCTCCTCCGTACAGTAAAGAACTTCATTGGAAAGCTAACGTTGAGTTTAATAGAATGCACAGCAGTCTTGAAATAAGTTATGTAGGAAATAGTTGGTCAGAATATAATTAGAGTCGGCTGGAGTCAGTTGTTCACAGATGACTGGCAGCGACAACACAATCTCCAGGAACGATTGTTTGCAAGAATTCGTAGCATGTTCAAACATTTTGTTTATTCGAAATTGAATCGTTACTTAAGTTCATAAGACGTCAAATTCCATTATTATTGTCGCTTTAGGGTAATCAGGCCACTTCTATGAAGTGCATGGTAACCACTCGATATTCTTTTCCGAGCATACAGTGCTTTTTGACATGATATAGTCCACTGATTCAAAATGCCAATAATAATAAGCCGAGGTAAACATTTCGAGGTTTGTGTGCGTAGGAACATAGGTTTTTTCATTGTTGAACAGAATCAATTCGTTCCGAGGGATGAATATTTATACAGCAAAACTAAATGACGGATCCTTTGTAAAATTCCGGGTGAGAATCTTTCACTTGTACTCATAAATCTAGAGTGTTATCATGCATATTTAACTGCACGAAAATAACTCATTAAATGTCTCCTCATTTGATGAGCAATCTCAACACTGTTAAAATACCATACTTCCATTCAGGTTATTTTACCATCAATGAGAGTTCTGTTGCACGTCCGACATCATAGTACACTATTTAGCATCATTATCGTCGATATGTGAACACAATTAATAACAATATCGTTGTACAATTTCCTTAAGCCTTGCTGTAAAGAATTCAATTTGATAGTTTGCGTTAACAGCTGGAAACTAAAAACACTCAGACAAATTTGCCCTTTGTCAATGTGCGAAAGCAGTAGTTTTTGTTATAATGAACAAAATATCCCTCACCAAAATACGTTCCTGATTGCGACTTAATAATCCATTCAAAACTAAGGAAACCCCAGTTGTCAGGCAAGAGGCAATAACTATATAGTCCTATATCATTTTTATATCAACTCTTACCTAAACGACTTTCAGACCAAAGTTCGCTTGAGTTGAGTATAAATTGTTATAGCTTGTGATAGCTGTTGTAACTCAGTATTAAATAATGCTACATTCTTTTGTCCAACCATCTGTGCACTTCAAACCCCTCGAACGTGAAGTTGGCTGGTGAAGCGTGACTCGTATAATCAAGGACCCGACTATCCCGTCAATGAAAGAACTTTCGGCGCTTTGATCCAACACAACGAATAGAACTATACCCTAAGAAAGACATGCAAAATGCGGCGCCGGTTTTCAAGGAAGTTCAGCAATAATTTGCCGCCACTTGGAAAAAAGCAATGCAGGAATATTTTTCTGTATTAATGACAAGTAATGACAATATGTATTTAATATTTCCGCATGTGGCGCAGTGAGTTGATTAGAAAATGTCTCGTGCTTGGTGTGTTTCATTTAATTGAGTGCGTTTTTCAATTGAGACTATTTCGAACCCCGTAGATCGCGTTCAAATACTTGAAATGATTGAAGTACTTGAAATTTCAAACATTATTTTACGCTAAAAGCTTCAACGAATTAAGCGTCAAGCAAGTTTTCACGATAATGTATATTATTCATATTACCGGAAAAAGAATGAATGCGAGCAACTCTGTGTAATTTTTGTAACCACTCTATCTATTCGTCCTTTGTGTCCAGCTTTACATGCAGAGCGCGTATCGTTTCCTTAAGAGAGCCTCGTTCAAATGCCGTATATCTCGTATGAGGTGATTTTATCCAAATAAGACGAAAGTGAGCAGAGAAAGAGTTATTGCGTATTAACATTGAACTCAACACATGTGAAATTTGTCGTTTGAACGAATTTCTCAACATCAGTCATTACAGTGACAATATAAAGCGCTTTAAGCACTGCAGTATCGTCAGTGATGTATATTAATAAAAACATTGATAGCTAAACAAGACAATAGAGAGTCGGTATATTATACATGTATCATAAACAATTATAGCTAATTTACAATGCATATCCATTAAACTGTTCGTTCTTAGATTTATCGCGCAAATCTAGTAAAAAGGGAAAATGGTCAAGGAAGGTAAAGGTATTGCATACCTACATTACCTTCTAAACTGTGTTGTTTCCCTTAAGTTAAAGAAGAGATGTCTCGAATTCCGGTCGTTCCAGGCTACGAACTCTTTGTATAACAGAATAGTCAAGCCAATAATGATTGCAAAAAATGAAAAGCTATTGTTCAGTCAGAATATTTGTCCATGGAGTTGCTTGGTCTAGTCTGTTTTATAATCTTGACGCATCACAGCGTTCGTGATAGAATTGTACATAGAACATATGCGAGCAAACACCTTTTCAGAAAAGAAGAAAAAATTTCCATAGTCAATGCCCCTTCTGATGGTAGAATTGATTACACGGAAAACCATGGAAGCTGAGCCGTCATCTGCGAACGAATGTTCGCGCGCGCGCATTAAGAAATAAATTTTTGCACTTCACAATAACAATAATGGCTTCAATTTAGTGACTTGTATCTGGCCAAATAAGACCATTTTGCAAAAAATAAGTTCGGAAATGATTGATTGAAGCACTTAAGGGAACTCTTCAGTTTTCTTGTTGTGTCATTTGCCAGCACCTTCTTCTTGTAGTTTCTCAAGTTGTTGTACAAATGTGATAGCACGTCTCTCCATGATATTCCAAACGTCATCCCCAGGGTCGAAGAAAGGCTTAAGCCATCCATATTTAACCAGACGATTCACTAAACAACATCGTTTTGGCTTCGTCTCCGGTCTCAGTAATTCTTTATACTCAGCCTCATAATTGGCTATCACTCGTTCTAGGTCCTCTCCCTTTCCCAAGATGCTGGCTGACCGGAAGTAAGCATGGTGAAGATGAAGACACTGTTTACAAGATGGACCCAAAGCTGAGGCGTACTTCATGAATATAGAGTCAAACCTGGAAATCAGATTAGCGTCGTAGTTCGCAAAGTACTGTGCAAGTTCTTGTCGCTGTGTCATCTTCATTTGTTTAGCGTAGTTGTCAGGGTAACCAAACATTGTGTTCATGTACTCCTTGGCTCGATCACGGAACCTGAGTTGAAGACCTTGTTCATAGATACGACCTCCYAGGTGTGCAATAGTACTGGGACCATATGGAAACGGGGCTGCGTGCCACTTTGGAATAAGGTTCAGATCCCAAGTGACGAAGAATTTGTCTCTTGCAAGATCACCACCTCCACACTCAAGCGCATGGGGATTACCCCCTTTAGTTGGAAATATAATGCAATCTTTAAGGTGTTCGTAGTCTTTGTTTTTACGGACAAGTCGAAGGACTAAGACGTCGCCTGAATAGTAACTTGACTGGCGGAAGACAACCACTTTGTCAACTTCAGCAAAGTCCCTTTCTTCTTGCTTGGATAATGTAGGATTGAAGTAACACTCACCATAGTCAAGAAGAGAGTAAGGATCTGATGCAGCCATGACGACTCTAGATTTCGGTACAAGTATCCTAAGGATACTCCTATTATTGTAAGCCGCTTCTACCTTCAGGTCTTCGCCACGTATCTTTTTCATTTCTTCCTCGCGTAGTTTGAGCATTTTCTCTTTTACAGAGGGAAATCCTTCGTTGTTGAGCAATTTGAGAAGGTCGTTGTGACCCGACGTCTCCAGATAGTACGCAGCCTGCGATTTACTTGTACAGAGATTATCCAACAGAGAGTAGTACTCGTCCTGTAATTGGCTCAAGTAGTCGCGTTGTATTCCTCTATCAACCAATAACATAACGTCTTTACAGCCAAGATAGCCGTTGGTGTAGGGTCGTGAGTAGTCTAGTATTCCTAACGATGTCATATTGGTAAGGAGATCCCTGTTTTGAGAACTAAACTTTTTCATGGAATTTCTGAATTCAACTTTTACGAAGTTCAAATCTGTCCGAGCCACAAGAGTACCAAAAAATCCCTGATAGACGATCTTCACAATACTAGGAATGTACTGCAAGTTTTCAAGCTGTTTTACTTCAGTTGCAAGCTGCATGTTCATGTAACCACAGCCGTTAGTGAAACTATGCCTTCCTTTCTTTATGTCGTCAATCACGAAGTAGTCGTTTTCTTTGAGTGACATGTGTCTATCAAACCCTACAAAGAGATTCCCGATATATTCAGATCTTTTGGAAACACTGGAAATTGCATTAAAATCAGCAAACGTTTGAAAATAGTCGTAGATAGCAAGTTCCGAGTCATGCATCAAATAGCACGTCTTGGTGGAGAGCTGGCTATCAGTATGGCCAAGGAACCTATAACATGACCCTTCGTAGCAAATTCCTTTCTTGATGACATCCATAGCGGTACCATCCTTGCTCGATGCTTCGGTCTCTTGAAAGGTTACGACCATGATAAAATCTACGACTTCTTTTCCCTTTTTCTTGCGTAGATGCTGTAAGATAAAGCTGTCTTGGATAGGTAGATACTCAAAAGACGAGAAGACATTGTCTTTCATTTGAAGATGTTTCACAAGATTATTTTGGATGTGGTCAGACGGCGGTGGGACCACTAACTCGTCAGGTACGAACACCGGGAATGCCATAATTACAGTTCTTTTTCTGGAAAACAGAACAGGGAAAACTTACTTTATCGAGTAGCAAATTGTTTGGTATAGGTTGTAGGTTGTGGCTTGTTTTGCCGGGTTGATGAAGCACACGAGACGCTTTACGTATTTTAGAAGTCCTGGCAGAAAATACGACGCCAGTTGGTTACCATAGACATTGTTACTAGATGTGGAGAAATCTGAAATACATGCTTTTTCTGTTAGATTTATGTTCATGCAAGTAGCGGACGCATAGCCAGCTAAGGTGGTTATCAAACGCGTCGTATAACAGCTCGCTTCATGCAACCTTCAGTGCGCGCACCTCGCCGTACCTCGTGCACAAAGACTAGGAAGTTTCTCTGTGAGTTGATCCCCTAGTGTTCATATGTTCTCTGTGTATTTTGTACTCAGCTTCTTTACGTTTTGGGGGGATTGAACTGCGTTAATATCCACAGCGATAGAAAAAAATATATGGCAGCAATAAGAAATTACCGAAATGCAACACAAAAGCAGAATATATATATCGAGATAGAGCCCGAGAAGAGCGTTGTGCATATACTTTAGTAACGGGGGCACAAAATATTTAACTTGGCTTACCTTACTATTTCATTTTGATTTAGTACCAAGAAAGGCAGATGGAAGCTTTGATTTGCTAGCTACGTCGCGCCTTAGTTATTTCAGGAAATGATGGTATAATCGGCCTAGTCCTACTAACGTAAACACGCTATTCGGTCTCGTATGGAAGTTGAATCTAAAAACGTACCTCTTTATTTTATGAAATACGACCAAAAAGAAAAAAATTCCCAGTACATTTTCCAGCCTTTTAATTAATTTGTTTTGTATAAAATAAAATGGTCATTGACATACCTGCTGTTAACTGGTTGATGTTTATACAAGACCAACTCGTCCATGCATGATTTCATTTTGGTGGCATGGGTGGTACAAACACTAAAAGCGTGAAAAAGAACCAACCGAATAATGCTAAATAGTAGATTAGACAATAGAAAAATAGAGCTGAAAATACTCGTCTAGGAATCAGCACTGCGTTCAGTAGAATTTCACATTATTCGAATAGTTTTCATGTGTTGGCACAAGTCCGCAATTGTCTACCGGAAGATGTGTCTCGTATTTTTGGTCTTTGATTTGGCAAATGTGTCAAATGCACTTGATGATTGAATTGATCTGGTTTTGATTTAGCGGTCGAAAAGCCGGTGAAATTGTCATACAACTTTATCGGAGACACAACATGTTTGTCCTAATTGAGTTTCTTCAGGTACTTTCAATGTCAAAAACGTCGCGAAAATCTGAGCTTGAAAACTTTTTTAAATCATGTTTTTTAATCTTTTATTGACTTTTCAGTAGTATTCTCGTAACAGTGTATCAGCGAAAACTATAGACTGAGACTGCTTTGGGAAAAACAAAAGTTTTTTAATCATATATTTCTAAACACTTACACTTAGCGCCATTAGTACTAAACACAGTGGTATAGTATTCTACATATTTTATTGGTTTATAGACAAACTACATTAGAAATGGAGCGATTATTCTAAGCAGACCAACATTGCATCAAACATATTCTTGGTTGGTCAAACGGCTCATAATATTGCACATCGACTAACATTACCAAGGGACCATACATGGTGTTTGTGATATGTGGAATATTTGACAGGTTTTCAAACTGATGCCATGTCTAACACTATCAAATAATATGTGGCGATAGACCAAAATGTTGCATTGCTCATCAAGCAATTCTCGTTAGGTAAGATGCTATAATACAGTCTAGCTACAAAAATATATGCTGTATTAATGTTCTTTAAAATATTGCCGGTTTTTTATTTATTTTTTCTTCATAAGACTGAAACTGAAGTGAACATACAAAAACTGATAAAACAATTCTGTTCACTATTCATTGATTCAGTATCACAAATCGCATTTTATGTTGCTATGAGAATGCTCCAACACTAGTTTATATTTACGAACCATAGAAAAATCTATCGATGAATTCTTTAGATCTTTGCTCCATTTTTTCCCAGACATCATCTCCTTGTTGGAATGCAGGTTTGGACAAACCGGTTTGTACCAGAATACCTTTGAGTGCTTGCGTAGGGATACTTTTCTCGACTCCTGAARATTCTTTCAACACTTGGAACTCATCTTCGTATTTCTCTAAAAAGGCCTGGAATTCCTGCTTATCGGTAACCTCTGATACAAACTGCGCATACTGCTCGTGCAACTGCCTGCACTCTTTACTGGAGGGGCCTAGAAGCGATGCAAAGTTCATGAATAGACAGTCAAACCGATAGTACAAATCAGGGACATGTTCAGCAAAGTACTCGGTTAGTTCATACATGGTAGCAATCTTCACCCTTCGTTCATATCTATTGTTGGTACCTAATACTGAACGACAGACGGTTCTAGCCTGCGCTCGCATTAGGTTCCCCAGGTTCGACAGAGAATCATCCAGAGCTTCAGAAATGCTACTCCCAACGTACTTAAGCGTACTAGGGCCATAATTATATGGGGATGGTTTAGTTGTTGGAATAAGATTTCTGTCCCAAATGACGAGAAACTTATCACCGTCCAAGTTTCCTCCTCCGCATTCCAGTGCGTGGGGTGAGGCTCCCTTGACAGGAAAGACGAGGCAGTCTCTGAGGTGCTCATATTCTGGGGCATTCCGCTGGACATCAAGAATGAGGACATCACCAGTGTGGTAACTAGGGTGACGGATGACAACTACTTGATCGACCTCATCAAACTCTCCTTCTTCCTCCTCAGATACCAAGGTCGGTTTGAAGTAGCATTCGCCGTACTTAAGATTACCACATGGATCACTAACCCCGAGGACTATACGGGATTTGGGCACCAGGACACGGAGTGACGTTTTAGTACCGTAATACGGGTTGGGGAGATTCCGACCTCCTTCAATTTGGTCGCACTTCCTCATGTTCTCAAGCTCACTTCCTCTTAACCTTTCCAACATTTCGGTGATTCCTTTCAAGCCTGTTACCTGCAGCATTTGAAGGAGTTCAGTATTTCCTGTTGTTTTCAAGAAATACGCCGCCCGTGATCTATTTGTACAGAGGTTTTCTAGCATAGCGTAGTAATCTTCTTGGAGTTGTTTGAGGTAGTCATGTGATACACCTCGAACAGCCAATAGCATCACAGTTTGTATATTCAGGTAACCACTGGTGTAAGGTCGAGAGTAATCCAACACAGCAAACGTTGTAACATTTTCTGATAGCTCTCTATCAGCAATAACGAATTTCCTCATTGACTGACGAAACTCAACCTTTGAGCCTGCCATGTCACGATGGGTAACGAGCATTCCAATTGTACCTTGGTAAAGCACCAGGGCAGCGCTGGGTGTGGTACAACACTGTGTTGCTTGCTGGATTTCAGAGGCAAACCCACTGGACATAAATCCACAACCATGAGTGAAATTGTGCCTTCCTTTTCGATCATCTTCTATTTCGAAGTACTCCTGCTGAGGGAGATGAAGTTTAATCGCAAATTCTGTCAACAACAAATTGATGCACTCGGCTCTCTTGGCTGGATTTCGAACTTGGAAAAAGTCAATGAATCGAGAGAGGATGTCGTATATCGCGATGTCTGAGTGCTTAATGAGGATACAAGTCTTTTCCTGGAGCTGTAGCTGAGAATGACCCAAGAATCGATAACACAATCCTTCAAGGCAGATACCACGTCTGAGAATGTCCAGTGAATAACTCCAATCCCCTCGAACACGTGGAAGAAAGCAAACAATCAAAAGTTTGTCAAGAATTGAGGCACTTGTTTTTCTCTTCAAGTACTGCAATAGCAAGCTGTCTTGAATTTGTTTATAGGAGAAGGAATGGACGTCATCTCCGCGTAGAATGAGATGCTTTACTAAACCATTCTGTAGCTGGTCGTCGGGGGGAGGCGTGATGAAGTGATCAGGAACAAAGAACGGGTACGCCATGGCAAATCAGGAGGGTGCTTGTCATAGAACCATTAACCTAAAGAAACAGAAAGAAAAATGTGGGACATTAACAGAGAATGATGAAAGATGAACATCGCGTTTTGCACGGCGAACAATCCAAGTATATCAAATAGCAGTTTGGCTAAAGTCTTTAAATATTGAACAGTGTTAATCGCACCTCGACTATGAACACAGCATTCCCGAAAAGGTCACTTGTAACCATGACTGCAGAATCCTATTCCACGTTTTGGATATATTTTATTCTTTAAATCAGTGTTTAATGGTAATGTAATGCACGTTTGTATCACTTTGAAATAGACTGACTTTAAAATTAATTCTTTATATTGAATCAGTAATGTGACATCGGATGAATGACAGAGACTAAAGAAAGCGAGCTAGATAATATTCTAAACATCTGTTCCAGTCTTCATCTTATATCAATGAAATTTCACTATCAATTTACACTTTGTATTCAAAAAAGCTAAATTATTCTGAAATCATACCAAAAGTATCAAACATGACCAACTTTCAATTAGAACAAAGCTCAAAAGGTTATTTTACATGTAATGAATTGCGGCGAAGAACATATTGGAGTGTATAAATTCGCTAATATGCAGAAAACCTGTTGTATATGTCCTTACATTATCTGATACCTGGCTAACAGAAAACACTAAGTAACAGGCATAAAGCCAATTCAAATTAAGAGCAGCAAACATATACAGAAGAGCCATGAATTTGAATTGAATTGTGGCATTTACAGTGATATCAACAATATATAAATTAATAACTGGCTTATAGATTAATAACAGTTTTTGTTCTAGAATCTTTGAGTGAGACGGTTTGGTTGAGTTGTTTTGTGAAGCATAATCTTGAGCTACTGAAGCAAAGCCATGATGAAGCCTTGAATTTGTATCTACTTCGAGCTACGAGAACAAATTTAGGGCAACATGGAGTAATAATTTACTATTGCTGTTAAACTTTTTAAAATATATTCGTCTTTAACTATCGTTCAGTAATACATTGATAGAATAAGAAGTTTAATGTAATCTTAATAAGTGAATCAAGTGTAAAACTAAGAAACTCCAACTATATTTCGTCTCCAAACTCACCTTAGAAGCAGAGAAGTGTACCGTAGATTACCATTTTTAGTTTCTGAATAGTGAATCCCGCTTTACCATCATAGTTTTATGAGCGAAGCTTTCATTTGAATGACCCGTCAAGCCTTGATCACGTGATCAAACAAATACTAATTACGAATGCTACTCTGTATGAATAAATTTACATAGTTACTGTGTAAGTAGCTGAGGCTGCTGGGAATTTTCTACTATAATGTTACATGTTCTATTTTTCGGTTTTGAAATTGTTCATTTGCCTCCCAAACAAAATTTCTTCAACAGGTGCGTTTTTGTGACAGTTGTATTGCTTGGCGTTTCGTAACATTCCGGTATAATTTTCTGTTGGGTAAATAAACTGATACAAAAAAAAAAACAAAAAAACAAGACAAGTTTGGGATTAAGCCTACATTAAGTCTGTTTTTATTGATCGGAGAGACATTGTGTAAAGAATTGTGATCGACGCAGTGAAATAATTGTATCACCCGAAAAACGGGAATCGAACCCATGACCTCGGCTCTGCAATGCCGGAGCAGTGCCCTACCAACTGAGCTATGAAGCCAACTATATTGTCGAACGGTCATGGGTGAACCCATACATAGATAGCAGCAAATGTTGAAATGATCATTTGAACTACGGTAAATGTGAAAAGAGTTGTGATCACAGCAGTAACGAGAAACTTGTAGCTGATGGGTTTTCTGATTGGTTCAAAACCAATGATCGCGCGTTCTCATATGCGAAAAAATTGTGTAAAGGTTCTCGAATGCATGTGGTCCCCTAAGCATACAATTTTCGGCAGTATTGTTAGGCAACCTAAGATCAGTGACATGAGGCACATATGGAAATACAATGCAAGCGGGAAAATTACCGAGTCAATTTACAATAAGTTATTTGCAAACATCAGATACGCGCTTTTGTGCACCGCACTTTACCAGATAATTTTCACGCTGACACGGACTAAACCTCAGGCAGCCCAACTATGACTTCTGAACTTTCTTTGTTTGTTTGTGTTTGTTTTTTTTGCGCGGGCGTTTATGGATGTGGATTCCCTATGTTGAAATTTCACTATTCTGTACCATAACTCGTGATAAGTTGCGTTTTCAACCGAATTTATTAATGTTCGGTGAGGGGGCATGAACGAAAGAAAATTGAAGTACATTTACATTTGCGAGATTAATTAAAACGATCTTGTACTAAATACATTGATACAAAGCGATTTTCTACACACAAGTGAACAAAACTCGTATTATAGGAAAGACGATCAGTGATAAAACCAAGACATTTTGAAGTGTGAGTAGCTATCCTGAAAGTCCACGGAACAGCAGCTTAACAGAATGGTTGAAGTCGAACAATAACGACAGTTGCTTTATCTCTATCATAAAATATGAAATTAAATTAATATTTTACAAATATCTTAAGATTTTTTTAGGTGATACATTACAATAATGCTGTTACGCGTTTCATTGTTTTAGTTAAACGTCGGTTTTCGCATGCGTGGAACCAAATAACTAAAGCAATTCTGATTGATTCGTAGATGTTGAGTCTTTGTCCAGTTTTGAAACGTTGAACTCTACATGAAGATCGCTGGAATGTTCCGACACGAGATATTTCAATCAATACCTTAGTCTTCTTGTTTCGAAATGTCTACTTTAGTTGATGATACAAACGAAGACGTTCTATCAAAAGCCGAAGAAATAGACGCTCGATCTGCCATTGATCGTACTGATCTCATCGAACCACGTCGCTCGCTATAGAACGGTGAGACTTGCTCGTAGAAGTCTTTAGCTCTCAATTCCATCGCTTCCCAAACATCGTCTCCTGGTTGAAATACTGGTCTGGTCAAGCCCAATCTAACTCGCAGTCTTTGCATGGAAGAGCTTCGAGGTCGTTTCTCGAGTGCTTCGTAAGCTTGTAGATCATGTTCATGTTTATCACAAACTTTCTCAAGCTCCTCGCCCTTGGTTTGGCCTGACAACGCATTGACCAAATGCTGATGGATATGGCGACACTCCTTACTAGAAGGACCAACAAGAGCAGCGTATTTCATGAACGTGGCATCAAGCTTACAAAGCGAATCATTGCTTGCGTCCGCAAAATGTCCCGCCATCTCTTGTAAAACTTTCACTTTCTTTCGCTTTTGATAGCTATCACGATCCCCAAAGACAGACGGAAGACTCCTCTGAGCGCGGTTTCGAACGCGACCACTTAGACGAGATAATGGCTGGGTACTTCTGCTGAGTCGAGTATTTACTTTATCAACAGGTTTAGGACTATAATCAAACGGGGCTTCATTCCATGTAGGAACAAGATTGGTGTCCCACGTGACGAAGAACTTGCTCCCTGCTAAGTTGGCACCTCCGCACTCTAGAGCGTGCGGGCGAGTACCTTGGACGGGGAATACAATACAATCCTTGAGATAGCTGTACTCGGCCTGTTTTCGACGAACTTTAAGGACACGAATATCGCCCGAATGGTAACATGGACTACGAAGTATAACAACTTTCTCTACGGTCGAATATTCTCCTTCTTCCTCATCGGACATGGTAGGACTAAAGTAGCACTCCCCGCTCTTCAATTTCCCGTAGGGATCACACACTCCTAGTACTACACGAGATTTCGGTACTAGCACCCGAAGCCGCGTTTGCAAGCCCAGGTTTGAATTAGGAAGCCGTCTTCCACCATCCAGCTGATCACAGCATTTCATATTGAGGATCTCAGCTTTTCGTAGTTTCTCCAATTCTTTCTGTATCGCTTGAGGATCTGAAGACTGTAAAATACGAAGAAGTTCAGTATTTCCTGTTGTTCTCAAGAAATATGCCGCCCGTGATCTATTTGTACAGAGGTTTTCCAGCATGGTGTAGTAATCTTCTTGGAGTTGCTTGAGGTAGTCATGTGATACACCGCGATCAGCCAATAGCATCACAGTTTGTATATTGAGGTAACCATTGGTGTAAGGTCGAGAGTAGTCTAGCACAGCAAACGTTGTCAAGTCGTTGCGAAGTTCTTCATCGCTGACGCTAAATTTCTTCATGGATTCTCTAAACTCAACTTTACATTCATTAAGATTTGTTCGAATGACAAGCGTGCCATAAAAACCTTGGTACATTCCTAAGACAGCACATGGAGGCAATTGAAGACCTTCTTTCATTTGAATCTCAGCAGCAAACTCTATAGACATAAAGCCACAACCTTGTGTGAAGTTGTACTTTCCTTTCTTGGTGTCTTTCAAAACAGAACAGTCAGTGAATTTCAAAGAAACGGTCTTCTTAAAACCAGTCATGAGTAGATCAAGGCACCCAGCTCGGTTAGTAACGCCCTTTACTTCAGAGAAGTTGATGAAACGGGACAGGAAGTCATAGATAACGAGGTCGTTTTCAGTAACTAGGAAGCATGTTTTCCCGCGTAGACGATCCTTGCCTTGGCCAAGAAATCGGTAGCAYGCACCATCCAGACAAACACCACGCTTTAAAACTTCTTTTATATATGAATAACCCTCATCACCACATGGGCGAAAACACACGACCATCAGCTTATCCAGGACAAGACTGCCTGTAGTCTGCCTCATATAATACAACAACAGACTGTCCTGAACTTGATGGTATGAAAAAGATAGGAAATCTTCACCACGCATGATCACATGCTTAACAAGCCCGCGATCAATATGCTCAAAGGGTGGGGCAACCACGAGGCGATCTGGGACGAAGTAAGGGTATGCCATGGTATTACAGCTAAAGTCACTCTTGGAATGGTCAATAATTTGACTGTATCATGGTGTGACAGAGAATAATTTGTGACTTTATTACGGCCTCAGACTGCAAAGACCTGGAAAATAATACAACAAAATTATAATTTAGAATACCAAATAATTTTAATTATTAAAATCTGACATCAGTCTATGGTAGGGTGACTGTAGAGGAGAGCCAATGGTAAATATGGATAATCTGAACCAGTATATGTAATCAACTAACATGTAACTCTACTATAAACTAGGAATATGTTTCATTGTTCGTTGTATTCTCATTTCACACCTGAATTCTTAGAAACAAAAGTTCATTTCCCATAAGATTAAGGAATTGTGTGGTAACATATATGCTACATGTTTGCTGATAAGTCTAGGATTTGAAACTTATTTTATCATTGTTACTGTGTTAGCTCTATTGATGTTTATATTTTAAAAACAGTTGCGTAAAAAGATGAATTTAAAACTGTAAAAAAGTAGGTGAAACAACTTACTGACGTTTTGGACGAAACTGTGTTAAATTTATCTCTTCACACAACTGTTTCTTTTGAAACACCAACACAGCTCACATTAGTTTACTGCTAGTTCCCATCATTTTGTATTTTAAAAGTTTTGAAATGGAACCAAATTGCATTTTAATAAAATTGTGTGTTCATGTATAAAATTAATAAAGGACAGCAAACAATCATGAGAAAAATATAGTCTTTTTAATTTACTTGTCAACTGCCACAGCAAAAACCTCATTGTACTACAACAAAGCTATATTACTTGCCCTTTTACTGTATATTTTCAGCCAGTGGAAAATTTAAAAAATGACCTACTACTACATAAGATAAAATCTCACATGCAAAAGTAAATATCCAGCACTTGTCAAAATAAGGTTACAATTATTTAACAGGTCAAACTTTACAGGGCGGAGTCATTTTAGTTAAAATTAGTGCATGACATCACATCATGCCTTGAGAATTTGACACTTTAAAGATAAACTTGTGCATTTTTACAGGTACCAGAAAAAAATTATCCCTGTAAATATCATCTTTTCAGAAAGACCATAACAAATTTTGAAGATATTTATTGTAAATTATAAGCAAGCAATGATAGTATTTTAATACAAAGTATCTGGTATGCTAACAGTAAGAAAATATGTACCTCAGAAAATGTTATGTTATTCATGTATTTAATAATGAAGAAAACATATCTAAATGATAAAAACATTTGAAGCCAGTGTCTAAAATTATAATCACTTTGAGGAAGTGTACTACAGATTTAAAAACTTTGTTAACAATATAAATCATTAGACAGAAACAAAAGTTTTGCAGAGAAATATCGGCACAGTACATGAATGAGCTTAGCACTTACATTCTTGAGGAAAACCATTTTAAACACAATGTTTGACCTTGACAAATACTAGATTCTGTTTGAACTAAGCCAAGCTGTATGCCATAAAAATCCATGTTGTTTTTAGGGCAAGCATGTGTAATGTTTTGTCAAGACTTGTCATAATAGAATCATGACAGCTGAGAACAAACAGGACAAGACTTGAGCATTGTGTTAATGAAATGTGAACCTGATTGGCTGAAATCTTCCTAGAACAATGCCTATTCAAAGCTTAATGCCAAAGAGCAAGTTTCTTGTTCCAAAGTACAAAGGAGCAAACTTAATCTGTTATTGTCATGGAAAATAATATATCATCAGTTTCTCGACAATGTTACACAATATTTTCAGTGCATTTAAGGTCATAATTCAACTACATTATTTAGCATGTTGCTAAGGTTTTTACATGTAATATGCTCGAAATGTATGAATGTTTTTACTTGTAAAATTTTATCAGTTTAGAAATGCTAAATAAGACAATGGACTTCGGCCCTGAACAAATGTAATTCAAGTCCTATCGACATGACACCTTCCCATTGGGTGCTTTTGATGAACTTGCAAAAAAATAATATCATTCATATCGCTTGCGGAATATCAGAATGTCAAGCTAAAATCTTGATTAGTCTCAACTATTCTACAAGTAAGAGATAAATAATCCTTCCACTGCATGAAATATGATCGATCTGTTCGACTGATCCAATGTTTGGCACGGTGTATGAATTTTTGAATAACATTGTCACTTTGATGATGTATGGACTTTTTCATTCAAACCAACATGTGCCAGGTTCACACAGAGTTTCAGCCAAGATACCTCCGAGATTTAAGTCTTTGTTGCCAATTTTTTTAAAGATATATTTAGTTCTTTTATAAATACATAGATCTCGGTTTGGACTACTTTGGAAAACAATAGAGTCTCGAGATGGGTCAGGGTCGCGATTTTCCTATTTTGAAAGTATTGTTTCCTTGCTATCTCCTGAATTATCTCATTAAAAAAACTATCTAGGAAAAGGAAACTATCTTAGATTTATCAATCTACCATATAGATCTCGTTTGTAGTGAGTCAAATAAAAGGCCAACACAATGAACTTAATATGCGCGATGTAAACAAAGTACTTTTCGTGCAGATCAAGTTCTAAAATGGAGCGATACAAGGGAGAAGTAGTGAAGATGACATTCTACACATAGGCTAGACTTATACACGACATTTCTTACCTTGTGAAAAGCGTATTTGTTACATTATCTCCACGAATCACCCAAAAACAAGATCGATGTATTGATAATAAACATTCGACTTCGAATATTTTTATCTTCAGCGGAAATGAGGCAAGTAGTGCTTATTCCCTTTGCGATCCATATTTAGTAGGAGATCTGGGACTAGCTCTCAGTCATTACATCATTTCCGGTATTCTATTGTTTCTAGTCGTTCGGGGAAATCCCTGAAGTGACCAAAAATTTGAAAGGTAAGTTAAAAGTGAAAGTATTATGCCATTTTCAGTATGAAATCATCGAAATAAGCTAAATGTGTTAGGGTTTTTCGCTCTGGCTTATCGGAATCAATCGAATTATCGTGAAAGAGCATGAAAAGGTTTTGTTATTGTCCGTTCTCTTTGATGTCGAAAATGCGTTTGAGCGAAAATGGCAACTATTCATGCAGTGTAGCATTACTTTCTTTAGAAGTTCAATCGCATCACAGTAGCAGTTTAATACGTCAGGAGATCATCATCTCTCTAATCATTATTTCACTAAATTCAATTTTTCTCTGATCTAATAAGTCATTTTTATCATGAACATTCCACTCTGAATGATTCCCGGTATCGGAAATCCATAGATTCGTGCCCGGAAAATTTTCAAATCAGGCTGATTGTCATTTTTAATCCGGGTGATCGAGTACGGAATGAAAAACAAATACATGTATTTTTTGGCTAAGATCCAGATAATATTGCTGTAGTTTGTTTTTTACAAAATGTTATTGTTTTAGCAAAAAAAATGTTTATCATTGTTGATTTTCTCTCTTTGTAAATAGCCCTAAACCTGATCATGGCCGAATACGCGTATGCCATTCCAGACCAATTTGTTACTCTGCCACCACCAGATCATCTTCAGACTACAATTTACATCAAACGTGTCGAAATAAGGGAAAACATTGTTCAGCGGTTTTCATACGAAAGATTACATAACAGCCTATTATTCGATTATCTTGTTCAAACACAGGGATCCCAGTTCATAGATCGACTCTTGACGGTATCATTCAAGTCAAGTCGAAACGACGACTTCAACTACGCGCGTAATATTTTGCACAGAGGAGTGGAGTTTTGTGGAGAAATGTTTTACTTTTTAGGCCATTCGAATAGTCAGTTAAAGGAGAAGACATGTTATCTTATGCAGGGATCTCATATTGAGATCTACAACTTGTTATCACAGTTTTATGAGTTTTCAAAGATTCCAAAAATTGCTAAAAGAGCAAAAAGGATTGGTTTGCTTTTCTCTGGCTTTAACAAAAGTATCAGTTTACCCATGAATGAGACTGAAGACATCGACGATATCGAGCACGACGGATATAACTTCACGGACGGCTGTGGGATGATGAGCGATCAGCTTAGTAAAGAGATCCAAAGAACACATCGTCTAAGCCATCAACCAACTGTTGTGCAAATCCGTTACCAAGGTTACAAGGGGGTTTTACTTCACTGTCCGGAGTTACAGCATGTGAAGGCACAATTTCGAAAATCAATGAAGAAATTCAAGATCCCTTCTGAAGAGATTCAACAGAGGTGCTCAACCTTGGGTGTGGTTGAGTATTCAAAACCCTTCTCAAATGCATATCTAAACACGCAGTTAGCCATGGTTCTCGCAGACAATCAGGACCGTTCTGGTAGGAGCTATTTATTGCAGTTACAACGACAGTTTTATGAGATGCTTAGAAACTTGCTACACGACGAAGAGTTGGCAATTCACTATCTCACGATAACTGGACGTACTGATCTATTAGCTCGCCTTAGAAGAAATGGATTTTGGAATCATCGAGTACAAAAGGATTTGGACAGAATTCGCAATGATGAACTCAGAAAAATGCTTAAAGACGACGATTCATCTTATGGTTTTGATGAGGAGGGTGGTCAAGAAAGGAGGAGGTCGAAGTTAAGAGTTCTTGTTCCTCGAGCAAGAGTAGTGTTTGGTGTTAGTGATCCTTATGGTGAGCTAGAATATGGTGAGGTTTTCTTTCTACCAAGTCTTCCAGAGACAGAGTTGGCCTCATTCCATAACGCCAGAAAAGTTGTTGTTGGGAGAAACCCCTGTTATCACCCTGGTGACGTCAGAGTATTAAAACTCGCCAATGTTGAAGACAAGTTTAGGTAATAATATAATATAGAAAGTAGTTTTCATACAGAAGGGCACAATTTCACGGGTCCAAATGTTCTTAATACCTCTTATGATTTTTAGGACAACCGAAAAAGTTATGTTGTAATCATTTAAAGTTTATCAAAATCTTGAATCTTATTTAGATATGCTCATATATTTGACTGCCTGGTGTTCCCTGTCAAAGGCAAACGGCCACACCCTCATGAGTGCTCAGGAGGAGATCTAGACGGGGACAAGTATTTTATCAGCTGGGACCAGCGACTTGTTCCTGACTGGGAAACAAACCCTTTCAAGTATGATGAGCAAGAAGACATCGACGTTTCTGCTTTACTTGGGAAACTACTCAAGGAAAACCTGTGTTCAATTTCGAATAAACTTTCGTCGTTTGGAAGAGCGCATGCCTCTTCTATATTTGGCACTGAGGAAGAAGCTGTTGAAAGACAAAAGATCGAACAAAGATACGAGATGGAAAACTATTTTTCATGCTATGAAAATGACTTGGTGTGTCGTGTGAATGCTATCTTTATGAGATATGCCCGAAGGTATAGTAGCGAAAAACACGCTAACGTATTTCAACCGTTTTTCTCTATGTATTATTAAAACTAGAATTGCTGTTCGCGGCAAATCATTGATTTAGTGGACGATGTATCACATCGTCTGGGGAGCCCAACCCTTCCCTTAGTATGTAATCTTTTTATGAATCAGTATTAATCCGTTGTGGTGTTTATTGTGGACAGATATGGCCCATCTTGTGACGTCTGTGTTGGTCTAAACAAGTACTTTTCGGATGCTGTCGACATGAATGCCACTAAATCCGAAGTTGAACGTGAGCTTCGAAGCCTGGAAATCCACATTCGACAAGAAGAACAAAGGGAGAGGATAATGGGGCCAATCCAAGGTTACATTGGTACTACAACGAGGCAAAGTGGAGGAATCATACGAGAAAGACATCAAGATGAAGAAGAGAGAAAGACAGGCAGCTGGCTTGGTCTTGCCGTAAATAATTTTCTCGGTTTCAAAGAAAAGAAAGCACCATTTGTAAGAGGAGATGATGTCTGGACACAGATGGAAGAAGACGCGGAAGTATTCTTACAAGAAATGCGGTCATATATGAAGCCTTGAAGGTTTACCGATCACGACTGCTGCATCTTAGGATAGATCTTCGTCATGATAGAAGCGACATATAAACTGCCATTGAATCATTGGTTGAAGGACTTTCTGTCGATGGAGAAAAATCAACAAACTTTCCATGTCTATTCGTTCACATAATTTGCTTTGTAAATGCACAGTTTTTAAAACTTTTTTGAATACTTCATATATAAATTCAAATTCTATTTTTTGACGTATCCCTTCCAGTTTGTAATGCTTTGTAATTAGTAAGAATATCATTGATTTGTAAATAAACCATCTATCAATCTTACCTAAATATTAGTTGAAACCTTGTAAGGAATTGTTGTTATATTGTTTTTTTTCATATGCACTGTCGTGTCACATAGCCAATTATGGTAAAGACTCACTGCGCATGGGCAGTAAAGACCCTTGTCACTTGGGAACGCACTTTTCCTTTAAAGAATTTATCTGTCGGAAAACACTTTCGTCAAATTAGCTTATTTCAATATCCCATGAATTAGTTACTGAGATTTCTTAAACCTATCCAGTCCGGTAAATTTAGATTTGATAAAATTGACGGTCCTGTTATTTGTAGCATCGCATTTTTTACAGTGTAATGTAAAGGCCCCATCTTTTTTTCGGTGGTTGATTGGATTGTGCATAGTTTTGGATATAAATTACATCTATTTATTAATCAACTAAACGTTTTATCATTGCCTTTTCTACCTGTATTATTTTCCCTAATGCTGCAATATTATTTGCCTGTACAACTTCCACTCCGTGTCAAAAGAACAGTCTAGAATTAGTTTGAATTTTACTATAAGTATAAGATTTTCAGATGGTATGCTAACATGACGAGGTGGCCGAGTGGTTAAGGCGTTGGACTGCTAATCCAATGGGCTCTGCCCGCGTGGGTTCGAATCCCATCCTCGTCGATCTATTTTTTTTCTAAAGTAAAGTATGCGAAGGTCCAGGTTTGAAGGACTTTCGGTCTGATGATACTCTTTTAGGGACTTGTATGCTAATCAATAGTCTCTTTTTAGGTCTCTCAAAAAGAGTGAATTAAAATGACTTGTAAGATCATATTCTATTACTGTTAATTGTACGTTTTTTTCACGTGCAGAATCGTAACCCTTGATAATTTCCCGCCAACTCGCAGGCCAAAACAGCGAAGTTGGTTTTCAGTTTCTCTTTTGATTTAAAATCAGAGTTTTTCAAATCAATTATATATCAAATAGAATATATTAATTTTATTCTTTCTGCAATAAAATCCTCACGTTTTTGCCTCTCAGAAACTTTCTATCGTACAGGCGGGGCCCCTCTGTTCTTTGGGCTTCCTGTGTTGCCTGAGTAACCGTACCCCCTTTCCAATATGGCGGCTTCTGATGTTAGGTGTTGAATCACATGTGCAAGTTAGAAACGATCTTCAAGCCTTACCATAACTTTTCAGCGATTCCTCTTATTGAACATCTCAGAGGTCGCTTCTCCTAAATCCATTTCCCACCGTCAAACCTGCAAACAAGATGGCAGACTGGGACGAAGAAGGCTGCGATATCCGCCAAACATTCCCACCAAAGTCCGATGAGTACGAAAGAAAGCCTGCTTTTGGTCGTGGAAGAGCAAGAAATAGAGACGAAGGGGATTTTGGAAGTCGTTTTCGTTCTGATAGACCTCAAGGTGGTCGAGGTGGTTTTGGAAGGTATAGAGGAGGTCGTAGTGACGGTGACAATACGAACTGGAGAAGTCGAGAGCCAGCCCGTGAACCACGTGGCTTCGTGTCAAATCGCCGGACTGAAGTCATAAACGTAGACTGTGACTGTGTTGGTCGTATTATCGGTAGGTTATAAAAATATGATGAAATATCGTCTTCGAAATTGGATTTTGATTTTAAAAACCTTCCAGCTCAAGGCCGGCTTTTGGATTTCTTGGTGTTTTATCAAAACAAGCATCAAGAGTGTGTAGATTGGGTTGCATATAGACTTAAAGTGCTCGTGCTGGAAAACTCAAAAACTGTTTTTATTGATATAGAATGCACGTCACATAAGCATGAAACAATTCTTAATATGTATTGCTAAATAAGATTTAGTTATCAACTAACTAAGGATTCAACAAAGCATAAACACAATGCCAATTATTTAAATTGCAAGTAGCATTGTTCTCAATTCTTAGTTAGTTGATAACTAAATCTTATTTAGCACTACATAGTTAAGAATTGTTTCATGCTTATGTGACTTGCACTCTATTTATATATGTTAGCAGTCAGAATTGGTTCAAATGGATGTAAATGATCCTGAAAATATTATTTATTAGAGCTGAAATTAAATTGTAGGTAAAGGTGGATCAACAATCAGGGATATACAGGACAAAAGTGGAGCACACGTCAGGGTATTGCGAATTTGGAATTATAGCTATATTACTGTTTTTTGACCTAATTGATAAAGCGAGAGCTTTTGTAACCTTTCATAAACCTTTTCTTGTTTTTAATCATTCCGATAAGATTGAAAAGCTCAGCACCATCTGGAGAATAATGGTGGTATGATCAATAGTTAGTATTTTTAGGTGTTGGTAAATGTCCAATGGTTTTTGTGTATTATAGATCAGAAGAGATGACGCAACATCTTTTGATCAGCCAATTGAAATAACAGGAGATGAAGAAGCAATAAACAAGGCAAAACAACTAATAGATGAAATCCAAAACCCTGTGTCACATCAATATAAGCCACCGGCAGGTTTGTCTTTATATTTGATGAATTTTTTTCGATTACTATTACATGCAATAGTTCAAACTAACAGGTTTATCTTATTGTTTTCTTTTGCTTCCACAGAACCAGATCCAAGGTGAGCTACCTTGTTGAATTTTTACTGAGATAATAAATTTGTCACACATTACAGGGATGCCAACTCTCCCGGATAATCTGGGAGTCTCAAGATTTTCGACCGTTTCTCCCGGTCTCAAGATTTTACTGCTAAATCTCCCGGATAATTACGATTCATATATCAGTTTTTTTTAAATATCTCTTTTCATCTATTAAAACTCAAATTACCTTGCATATCTGTGTCATGTTAGTTCTGAAAAATGACATTGCACGCCATCCGCGGCCATTTTCAATTGCACAATACAATCTATAATATGATTGGTTAAGATACGTCCAATCAAATCACTAGTTATAACGAAATTTGATAAATACGATGACATCATCGATAATGTTATGAAACGTCATTTCCGGTATGACGTCATCATTTTCGTTCATGTATATTATCTCAAGATTTGAAAAGTTTGGTGGTTGGCATCCCTGCATCAGCATATGCAAGCTGATGACACTATTACATATTTATCCTGATACACAACATAAATTGTGTTTAGTTGTACAAAGGGTAGAGGAAAAAAAACAAAAGCAAAACAACAACAACAACAAAACAAAAGCTATGCAGTCTTCATACAACTTACCCAATGGTTTTATTCTTTAGTGCTCTAGTGCTATATCAGCATAAACAATCATGAATCAAAAGGGAATTACTGTATAACAACAAGAAAACAAAGGAAACCTAATATTCATGTTGTATTTAATTATATTGCATCATTTATTGTAATTAAATTGCTTTTCATTTTACAGTGCACCTAAAATATCATTTGCTGATATTCATGCTGTAAGAGAAGAAAATGCCAGAACAAAATGGTTAGGTAAAAACTCCTTCTGTTTTCAAACTATGTGATGTTTTCAAACTTTCTGTTTGCGAAATCAATGCAGCTTTTTCTATAATGTTGTATTGGAGTTCCTTCATTGTCTTGATTTGATATGAGATCTCCATGACTATGTACATTGTACTACTAAATCATCAAATAAATGTAATTCAAACGACTCCTAAATTAGGATCAATTCATAGGTTTACCTCCTATCAAGAAGTTTTTCTACAATGAATTAGACGTAGTGAAATATAGAGACCCTGATGAAGTTGAACAGATAAGGTATGATTCAACATCAAGTGAATATTGATATCAGGTATTTATCCCTAACACATAGAGTGTTATTGTTAACATCACTATTCTTTGTAGACTAATGAAAAATAACATTATGGTTGAAAACTATGGTGAGACTGTACAAGATAGATTTATTCCTAATCCTGTGAAAACCTTTGAAGAAGCTTTCCAAGACTATCGTAAGTAGTATTTCTACATTGTTTATCAAGCTGTATTGTATTACCATATGATTGAGGGTCTGTGGTTGTACCTTTGGTTTGCTTGTATAAGGCAAAGCGGTAGTTAATTTGATAGCATACACTTGGTTTGAGCACAGGAGATATTAGTTTTGATGTGTCTTATATTCACATAAACCCTGTTTTTATTAATTTATTATTATTTTTTATTTTTTATTATTTTTGACTAGCTGATATTCTTAGAGAAATCAAAAAGGCTGGGTTTACGACTCCGTCTCCAATCCAGGTATGTACAAGTACTTATGTTAACCTTGTTCACAGTTGGGTTCAAATTGCAGGAGCCTCAAATAATAATCAATTTGAAATTGTTCTGTTATTTTCCTTTAGTGCCAGGCATGGCCAGTCATAATGTCTGGACTGGATCTAATTGGTATTGCCCAGGTAAGGACTGCAATGTCTACCAATATTGTACAGAGAAAAGTCAGGTTCAATATCATAACCTTTGCAATCATTTGCATTATTTTGAAGAACTTTTATTGAAAATTGCTTTCTCTTTTGCTCAAAACCTTCCCAGTAAATAGGCAAGATGATAATCCTTTCCAAAAAATAGCAAAAAAGTTTAAGACATAAGATTGAAATGAATTAAACCTGATTAGATTCTACAAGATGGCTAGGTATTGTGCTATTAAAGATTCTCAGAGAACATTTACTTGAAAATTTTTATGTATGTCTTGTAAATGAACAACATTAACACTGTCATTTATTGGCATTTATTTCAGACAGGTACTGGCAAAACCTTGGCATTCTTACTTCCTGCATTCCTTCATATTGATGGACAAGATGTGTGAGTTTTGTGGGATAATTGCCTTTGACTTCGTTTTTTTTTTCATGTGCAAAACATGTTTCACCTACATTCTAACTCCATTCTCTATCAATAACATTATACCATGTACATGTATATAACAGGACTGTGCAGATAGACATTGATCAGTAAAATTCAGTTTGATTGTTTATTAGACCTCGTGACAAAAGGGAAGGCCCTTCTGTGTTGGTGCTATCCCCCACACGTGAGCTGGCTCTACAAATAGAAGATGAAGTGAAAAAGTATCACTACAAAGGAATTAGAAGGTAAGTTTGATTCATTGAAAGAAGCTGCAAAAGCTGAAGGTTTTCTGATTTGTTTAGCCTGAGTATCAGGCTCTCTCGAAGGGGTTTGGGGCGGAGCGAAAAAGGAGAGAGAGCCTGACACAATCTTCTATCGAGAGCCGTTCCGCCTCCTTGCAATGCGTGACGCGTGACAATAAATTTAAGCCAATTAAAAGCTGTTCCGGTTTGCTTGATTTCTCGATGTGGCGGTTATATGTCAAAATTTATTTGAAAAGTCGCAGCTTTTATGCCGATTTTCAGTACCAGATTCTCAACTTGTGGACGTCTAATAAGCTCTAGAGGATTGATCACTATAATCTTGAATTGTTTTACTCCATTATAGGTCGGTGTAATGTTAGTGTTATATGAGACGTTTCCGTTAATCGGTTTGTTTTTGTACGCATAAAAACAAAACAATTCAAGAACGGCTTGATAACGTAGTAAAAAATAGAATAAAATACAACCACGGTACTATTAAAGCTTTCCCAAACTGTTATTCACTTATATCAAGAGTCATAGCGTCGTTCGGTAACATAATAATTATATATATTTTAATTCCTGTCACTTCCTTTTTCCCCTAGACCAATCAGCGTTTCGGCCATGAAACGGCCGCCGAACACGGCTCTTGATAGAAGATTGTGTCAGGCTCTCTGTCCTTTCTCGCTCCGCCCCAAACCCCTTCGAGAGAGCCTGATACTCAGGCTATGATTTGTTTAAATCACATTTTCATTTGTTGTTGGTGCATGTTTGCCTGTCACAAAATATCAAATGTCATGATGAATTTCATCTTGTTCTAGTGTTTGCGTCTATGGTGGTGGAAATAGAAGAAATCAGATACAGGTTGTAACAGATGGTGTTGAAATAGTTATTGGTAAGGAAACTAAACCATTGAAAATTTTCAAGCTTTTAAAATTGATTTTTTTTCTCATGATTAAAAACTACAGGTTAAATTGACATTCTTATGCATTTTTCTAGCCACCCCAGGAAGACTAAACGACCTCCTCATGAATGAAATTCTCTCAGTTCGAAGTGTAACATATTTGGTAAGAAGGCCGTAGCAAGTCATTACCCACATCAAAGATTTGGTGTTTCTAGTTTTGTAAAGGACACAAGTACATCAAAAATAAACAATGATTTTCTTTCAGGTTCTTGATGAAGCTGATCGTATGTTAGACATGGGTTTTGAACCAGAGATCAAAAAAATTCTGCTTGACATTAGACCTGACCGTCAAACTGTCATGACTAGGTAATATTGGTGAAGTATTTATTTATGTTTTGTTGCTTGGAATTTAACAGCATTGAAACAACAAATGATTATCATTTTCAAATCCATTTTTGTTTTGGAAGCAGAGTTCCCAGAATGCATTATGTGCTTTTATGACATTAATTCCCAGTCTTTATTTGTATATTTTTCTTAAAGTGCAACTTGGCCTCCTGGTGTTCAGCGCATGGCAGACCAGTACATGACGGACCCAGTGAGAGTGTTTGTTGGCAGCTTGGACTTAAATGTAAGCTATTTCTTTTTATTGCTAAATCTTTGTGAACAGACACATAGACACTATATCAATGCTATGCATGTCTCACATCATGTCCTGTGATATGCTTGCAGTTTTTGATCAGATCAATTATCAAAAGGTTATTTTATTTCCTGTCTGTGTGCAATTATGGGATTTTTTTATTCTTACCATGTATATCCAGTCTTCAAGTATATACCATTCTCTTCACTAGGCCTGTGAAAATGTTACTCAGCTGGTTGAAGAAGTTGAACAAGAAGACAAGAAAGCGAGAGTAAGGAATACATATTTCAACATGAGCAGAGATCTGTGAGAGAAGTCCAAATTTCTATGTTACATTTCTATTATTATATTATTATTTATATTGTCATCTCCTTTCTATGGGTCTTTTGATGTAGATTGTCATTGTATTAAGGAGACTTTGTACAAGACGTTGTGTGTATCAGTTCAGTGTGAGAATAATTATGATTATGTATAAGTTGTATGACTATCTTGCTTTCAGAGTATTGAATTTATTGATACTATGGGCCCTGAAGACAAAGTTTTGATATTTGTAGGGAAAAAAATAATGTAAGTAATAAAACTAGCTGTTTTACTATACAATTGACAATTATTGAATAATAGCTATTTTGTCAAAATTCTCATTTATTTTAAATGGAAAACATCGCTAACAGACATTTTGCTGTTGTTCAGGGCGGATGACTTGGCCAGTGATTTCATGTTGAAAGGTCTCACTGGTATCCAGTGTATCCATGGCGACAGGTAAGCAAACATGAAATGTCATGTCAAAGCTTCAGAAGTAACTACTAACAAATCAAGTCTTTGAGATTTTAGGTCAAGTATTTTAAAGTATGGATTTTGTAAAAGGATTCAATGTTCTGTAACTATTCACAAATATCAGGATTGAATTCGTAAACTTGAAAATACTATAATCTAAATATGAATACCATATTGGTAGTTAGACTATTTCTATATTTTTGACTATTGTCATTTTTCATCAGAGAGCAGTGTGATCGAGAGCAGGCACTTGATGACTTCAAGAGAGGATTAGCACATGTTCTGATTGCTACTGATGTAGCTTCACGTGGTCTGGATATCAAGGATGTGACGTAGGTTAATTTATGGCATCAACATGGTGATTGTATTTCTTGACAGTTGATTCTTTGTTGTTAGGTTTGTATTGAATTATGACTTTCCTCGTGGGATTGAGGATTATGTTCACAGAGTTGGTCGAACAGGCAGAGCAGGGTACGTATAGTTTATATTACAAACCATCAATACGAAAAATACATTTTAGTAAAAGTGATATCGATTTTAAGGGTATTTCTATATTGTGGTGTATTTACTAAGGCCCTCTTGTGCTCAGGCTCCTCTCTGCTTTTCATTGTATTCTGTTATTTTTTTTATATTGTAAAACAGTTTTTATCCTATTTCAAGGCTGTTTTTTTGTGTTCCATGTATTTTGTATGCTTATTGCAGACGAAAAGGCACAGCTTTGACGTTCATTACCAGGAATGACTGGAATTATGCACATAAACTGATCAACATCATGATCAAGGCAAATCAGGTATGTTTTACCATACTAATGATATATGAATATCTACGATAAACTATTATCTTTCAGGAAACCTGCTGTAGTTTCATATATCCTTTGTCTGGTCATTGAGTATTTCGTACTTATTCCAGTTAGACTATCACTTCGGCTCAGAAGAGTGGCTCTAATAACCACACTATCGAGATTTGTGTTGATATGATTCGTTCTCCCAAATCTTCTTAGGAGGTGGAATCTTGCCCATGAGTTGTAACTGATTCGTATTCACTGTTCTAAGTTCTGTATAAACTGTTTAAAAAACTGTTTGCGATTCCTTTTCAAGGCTGTTCCTGATTTTCTGCATGACATGGCCAAACGTTATGAAGAATACAGAGAACGAAACGGCTACAATTCCTTTGAAGGAGGAGAGAGACGAGGAGGAGGAGGTACTTCAACCTTGTATAATCTGTATATAATCGATTTGAAATATTATGATGTTTTTCCAATCAAAAGCATAAATGATAGTAACAAATAAATAATAAAACTCAGAACGTAAACGCGGAGTAAAGGATTTTATCTGTTGTACAGGTGACGGCTGCTTCAAATGTGGCCAACCAGGACACTTTGCTAGAGAATGTCCCAATAATCCAGACGGTAACACAAGAGGTAGAAGTGGTGGCCGAGGAGGCAGAAGAGGGCGTGGTCGGGCAAGCTTTGTAGATGGGTTTGAAGGAGTCACAAGGGATTTCAGCGGTCGTCGAAGTAAGGACCGTGATAACTTCGGTGGTTGGGTCTGAACGTGAACTTGGTCCGCACTTTGTGTATATGGATTTTCTGAAGGAGAAATTCATATTATTTTCATGTATTTTATGCGGGAGCATGAAGCCAGTATCAAGGTGTTTAATTTTCCAACAGTTGCTCAATAGGCGCGAAAAAGGAATCTGTCTACTCGCTAGTGGATTAGCCATCGATATCATACATGTTATTTCTCGCCTGTTTGAGAAAAACGACAATTAGTAATTTCACTTTTTTTGTACTCTTCAATAACATCATTGCAGTAAAACACCGCGTATAGGAAGTTGACTGAATCAGCCTCTCTAGGTTCTTAAATGGGTTCGTATTGTATTGATGGGTGTGGCATTTTAGATGAAATTAAATAATTTAAGGATTAAGTTAAGGATATTCAGGCTGAAACGACTGTTTAGAATTAAACGTTCGACATCGACTTCCACGCAGTGTTTTATCGTACTGGGAAGTTTTGTTCAATCTTTGTATTCTTACATGGATAGACTAATTAATTGTAAAAAAAGAGATTATTTCCATTGAGAATTATATGAGATATAAATTTATAATTTTATAATTATGATGATTGTAAAAGTTGTACGTTGACAGAGATTCTTCATAAAAAAATGTTATTCTGAGAAATATAAAAGTTTATGTCTCAGCAGAAATAAAATCCTAAGGGTGAGGCGCGCGGTTTTTTTTTTTTTTTATTATTATTTATTTATTCAACTATCATAAATTGTGGAGAATGATAGAAGCTTGATGAAAAGAGTAGCTCTCAACTCACGGCTGACTTGTTCCTACTTCAGGTTGCGGAAGCCTCGTTTTCAGTGAAGTCGTGACGTCACTGTGCACCATCTTGTTTCGATAATTCGTCTGTGAAAGATTTGTATGTTAACAATTTTACGGCAGTTTTAATGTATCTAGATAGTTTGGTATACCTAAGTTGCCGTCAGAATGTGCAAGATGAAGCTTCTAGAATCAGGTGTATGATAAAGAATGAGTTAACTAACGTTGTATAGTGTGTTAAGACGGGTTTTCGAAATTGCTCCAATGCCCAACACAAGTCAAGGAAACGATGCATGCTCAAGGAAGGAAACTACGGTAAATCGACTGAGAGAGCAGCTACGGCGCAAACGAGAGGCTTTGGCTGATCATTTTGACTATGAGCTTTATCTAGCGTTCATATTCAAAGAAAAGGTATATGAAATAAATGCACCTCACATTCTTGTAGAAGGCTGTGACAATTTGTACAGAAATGTTTTTTATTCCCACTTCCTTATGTATCGAATTTTATATTTCTATTATTTCTGTGCTTGATATAGAAGAAGCCAGCGTTGTTTAAAGTGGCTGAGGTTATTCCTATCATGACGAATAATTATAAGGACAGTATCATGAAAGGTGTACAGGTACAATAATTTGAAATCATTAACTTACAATAATATAAACAGGGTGTCTGTTAATCCTTGAAAACAACTTGGAAAATAGAGAAAAATGTATGAACTTAATAACTGTGCATGTACTTGTTCTGTATGTTTATCATATAAATTTATATTGAAACTAGGAGAATGCCTACAGTCTGGAGAGCTCCCAGGAGTTGCTAGATAAAGATGTTGTCCAGTTACATGCAACAAGATATCAGTCGATGAGAAAGGTAAATATAATTGATTTGTTATTTATTTTGTAAACATGTAAACAAACACCACCCACATAACGGCTCACACAAGACGGATACTATGTACTTAGTAACCAAGTGGTAGAGCGATATGGGAAAATATTTGGCTGTATGTCATTTGCCATATTGACTGAACGCAGGAATGTCCATTCAGATGAAGGAGAGCCAAATATTTTCCTAACATATTATCATGACATAATTGACAAAAACAAAAGAGTGAGAGTGTGACTTTATAGTGACATATTTATTTGAGGGTTTTTTCCAAAGGTTTTCCAAATGCAGATCATATGATTACTACCTTTCATTTTATCAAAACATCGGTCACATTTTAAGCAATCATTCTCTGGGCTGCATCTATCAGGGTGGTCCAATTACAAAGTAATTTTGATGTTCATTTACTTGGGTTTAGTCCCTTTCTTACAATAACCTTATCCTATCTGGAATCATATAAATATTATAACACTTTCAATTTTGTCAGGATGTTCCTGGTTGCACACAAAATGTTGATTTTTTTCTCTGGCCACGGAATGACATTGAGAAGATTGTGTGTCACTTATTTTCTCGTTGGAAAGGAGACGAAAACGCAGAATTCAAGCTAGTTCAGGTTAGCATGTTTTTGAATCAATGATGACCTTCATAGATCATTATTAAATCCAGGGTGTGTTCATGTAGGTACCATTTGACTTCAATCACAGTGATTATAAGAAACAGCTTCTCCATTTGATACCAAGAAAGGCCAGTACTGGATTGATTGTTAGCAATCCATCACAAGCATTCTTCTTGTTTGTCAATAGACACAGGCTTCAGGTATAGATCTTGGCTGTTTGGATGATTTTTGTCAGTGTTCAGTATTTTTTTATTTTTCAATTTGTTTTAATTTCTTGTAGACGCCAGATAATAATTCCATTTACTTCAGTTTGTCAAGCTTTTGTCTTCACGTTCCACAGGTTTGTAACACATAAACACAATGTCTTATTATTATGATTGTTAATATCGTATATGACGACCTTTTTTTCGAAAAAAATGACCCTAAAAAGTCGACCTCAACTTATAAACCGGATTAGACATTCTTATCATCAATGAACATTATTGGTGGAGGGGGGTGAATAGGTTTTCGGATCGGCGGATCTGGGCCTAAAATGACACGCAGATTACAGATTTAAAGAAAAAATAGAGCGGATTGCCGGATTCTTAAAACGTACCGGATCACGGATTTATTGAAAATTTAACGTCAGATTTCGGATTCTATACTTTCGATAATCATGACTGCGAATTTTGCCGATTGTTTACTACAAAAAATAACATAAGGACTCACTAAGAAGGCCTTATAAACGGCGAAACGAGACTACAGGTTCTGCGCTGTGTGGAAAGGTCTTCTCTGAGCTTATTATGGCAAATATGGCATCAGTGGGTCTCAAATTAGCAAGAATTTATGATTTTCTTATTATCGATTGCTATCATGATTTGGGATTCGAATTAAAGCAAAACTTTGCGAGGGTCAGCGGATTTTAGAAAAAAATGAGCGGATCGGCAGATTCAGAGACCCCTATTCACCCCTCCTCCCCCCCCCCTCTCCCTTGGTGTTCACTCACATTAATTTCTTGATTTGTTTTTCTTGGTTGGTTTTTGTTTTGTTCGTCACGTGTTATAACCTATTTTGAATGTATTACTTATGTTGGTTATTGTATGTAGGATTTGCTTACCATGTGGGGACCTGACACAGTTGATAACACTCTACTGCAGTACTATCAAGATTGATAGCAATATGCTGATATCCTTGATATCCTTGATACTACAATTACTTCTGGATATTATATGATCATCTTACTTAACTCTATTACAACGCAAAATAAGATTTTTAAACAGATAAATCTATATTTGTCTGTGTTTACCAATGCTATTTAGTACTATCTGATACTAATCACATATATAGTGACTTTATTTCTTACTATTTTATGTTTTTGGAATCATTGTTAAAAATATTGTTTTTTTTTTACATAAAACTGCACCATTGTATTTCTTGAATGCACGCACTGAGGAAGCATTTTAGCAGGAATACATGTGGTTTTAACAGCATTTAATGTAGAATTAGTATATTTTGCTAGTAGTTTTAGCTGTTGAGTTCGCTGTCACGATACCAATGTTCGGTTGATAAAAGTTACATATCATTCAGATAAAGAAACCACAAATAAAAATATTGCGTTAATTTGAATTCAACTGCGCAGTTATATTTATGGGAAGAGAGGTTGTGAACAGAATGGTGTCATCTGGCTTGAATTTGTATGTTTCTTATCCTCTTTGTACGTTCTCTTTGGGCTATACCATAGAATATCCCATTACTCAAATTCCTTGTAAAATATATGTTCCACATCAATATCTATTTTCATTTACGAGATTTTGCAGAAAACGGCTTAACAATATCACATGTTAAAATTGAACAGTAAAGTAGTGCCTTTGTTGGAGTTAGTATCACGACGTACTATGAGTTCGACTTCATTTACAACTTTCAAGAGAAGCGATAATAGGACCCTTGATTAATATGAAAATACCGAATATTGGAAAATATCTATTCTAAGAAAGCTTTGAGAATCATGCGTAAAATCTGTTATATAACTTCACTAAACGTCGAGTTTACCATAATTAACCGCTATATTTAAGTACTATTAATGCACCCTTTTACTGTTTGTACTCTTATATACACAACTGACAGCAATAAGTACATGAAATCATTACACGGCTTTGGAAAAATGGATTTGTTTTGGGATAATGTCGTGTAGATGTTGGTGTATGAAAACGAAAATATACATGACATGATTTGTTTTCGTATACTAAACTACGCACGGATACATAAGTTGTTTTAATCCAAAATGTCATCTTATCGTCCAATCAAACGCTGGATTTTTATTGGACATATCATTAACAAGAGATCTTTGAAGTGATCCTTTTGTTTGTACACCTTTTGATACTTTTTTACTGACAGAATCGTCTAAAGAGTTCAAAGGACGTTTTCGCCTTGTTTTTTCTATTCTAAAAGTGCGATTTGGATTCGATGGAATTGGTTTAAAGACAATCTGAACCTTTGCACTACTGGCTGATGGTTGACACATTTTCAATACCTGATTAAGAAACCTCTTCTCAAGTATTACAGGTGTTTCCACATTATCTTACGTTCCTTTCATCCTTGCAGTTGGCAGACTGCCTGTGTTAGTTATGTTTTACACAGGTTACTGGTTCAATGGCTCGCTTGGTGGCAGTATATTCTACATCATAGCGTCTGTTTTCACAATATTAGGGAATCTCTTGGTGATAATCACATTTGTAAAAGACCCATACGGTCAATTAAGAAAGCGAAGAAACTATTTTTTGCTTAACCTGGCTGTAAGTGACATGATTATGGGAGCATGTGTTGATCCTTTGCTTGTTGTAGCATTTTGGACAAACTTCAACTCGCTTCTCTTTGCTCATTATATTTTTGCTATCTTATCTGGTGGATCTTCGCTTCTTAATCTAACAGCACTGTCTATCATCCGTTATTATGCATTGAAAGACCCGTTTGGTTATGAATCCTTACTAAGTTCTAAGACAGTTGTGCGTGGGTTGATATTAATATGGTTGCAGAGCTTACATCTTGCTGTTTTACCAATTATTGGTTGGACAACCCCTTCATACCAGATTTACCTCTACGGCGTGGGTTTTCTTATCCCTACAATTGTCATCTTTTTGGCATACTATGGAGTATTTCGAAGTATTCGCAACTACACGATAGGAATTGTAGCCGTAAGCACAACCGATGCAAACTCATCTTCATTAGCTTGTCACATCTACAAGGAAAGTGATTCTCAAAACCACGCGCGCCCCACACGAGATCAATCGATTCGAACACGAAAAGCTATGGAGCGCGAAAAAAGTGTTACTAAAACATTAGTGATTGTACTGATTGTGTTTGTAATCAGCTGGTTGCCCTTACTAGTTGTTGATGTATTTATGGTACAGTGTGTATCATGTCGAGAATGGTCTCAACTGCATTTAGCTAGAGACATTACTTTATCACTGACATACTTCAGCTCAGGCGTAAATCCAATATTGTATACCTTAAGAATAAGGCAGTTTCGACACGCTCTCTTAAAGCTAATGAAAATAAAGGACATAGATTTTGCCTCGTCTTTAAGAATAAGAAATAGACGGTTTGCAGTGGCTTCAAACACCAATTGACAACAAAGACAGCTGTATCTATTGCGGTGGCTGGAGTGATAAAAACCCTTGTCAACATAACTAAACATGTTATAACACTGATCTTACAAAACAAAGAGAAACAAACAACTGAAAAGAAGTGAAAAAGTACAGTTGTTATGGCAACAGCCAGCTAAATACGATTGTATCTCCATTTCTGATGCCACGTGGTCCATATATAGGCGAACAGCATAAAAGTGTACTTTCTAAAAAGAAAAGTATATGAGTTAATTGATAAGCACTGGTTGCCAGGATATGAAATTACAGCTTTGTTTTCGATTTAGAAAATTGAAAAGGAAATAAAAGAAATTGTCTGGATGACAAGCAATTAAGACCATCTAATTTAAACCACCGCTTAGTCTTCTTTAAAACAAACATTTCTTTTTTACATTGGACTAACAAACATACAGTTGTCAGTTATGCAAAAATATAGAAGAAAAAAAATTGAATATGATAAATAGCTATTTTGATAGCAGTATTTCATGTTTACTCGTCAAAAACTCGTGACAACTATGTTTTTAAGAGAAGATAGTAAAGAAGGCGAAATAAATGACAAGAAATTAGTGGGAAATGTTGGGTAAATATTACTCTCGCCAGATGTCAACATGTTTGACGTTTATATTTCGATAGTAAATTACTAGAGAAGCAACTGTAAGATGCCTTCAAGGCAAGGTGCCTGGCTAGTATTCTATAAAAACGTTATATACTCCCTGTCCTTAGCTGAACAGAGCTATAACTGACGTTACTTCGTGAGAGGCAGTGGTCGTAAATACGGCACACGTTTGTAATTCACTTAAGTTTCACCTGCTGAGAAAGAGAAGAAACGCTTTGATCCTAGGCAGAGCCGAACGCACAGACGGTCGTCTTGTCTTCCAAGTTATTTTGTGTTAAATGGCTTCTCCGTGCGAGACTCTTTATTGGTTCTACTATCCAGATAATTGTTAGATTATCTAATTTTGGTTCATTATTTCACTCTATTCACAAGATTCTGGGTGAAATCATACAAATCGAACGCCTTTCTTGATGAAGTACTAAGTAACGCGTTTACCTGCAATTACCAGACAGGCATTGTTCAATAGACTTCCCCAGGGGTCCTCGGGTACACTAGCATTAGGGCCGGTCGCGTAAACGATAGCAATTTGACTGAATTAATAGACATGGTTACACAAGACACTAATGATAATCATTACTACTGTTGGTACTTCAGTACTTTCAATTTCAAGCAATCATAGAACTGTCAATGATACAGCTGAGGAAACATTCTCATCAAGTGGCTAATGAGTGTGCGCAGATATAGGTCAGTACTTCATATGAGACATCATAGACCATTTCTGAAATACAAAATAATGGTGCATTGTGGTCTAGTTGCAGCCATATCACAGGGAACCCAAGCTAAGCATTTGACTAGAAGATTTGGCGATATCTGTAATGTATGTAAATATGAACTTGTGACCAGTGATTATGAGTATAGAGGGGGAGATATCAAGAAAAACGGCAAATTACGACTTAATTCAGTACTAAAACTCCATCACAAGGTAAGAAAAATGTTTCAGTTTTACTTATTTTTTCTTTCAAAAGCTCATATTTACGTGCATTTTAAAGATACCGCTAAATATGCTAGTCAAATGCTTAGCTTGGGTTGCCGGTGGCCATATTTGGCAAAATGAACAAAAGATGTTTGTACCGAATCTATACCACAATGCAATGCAAAAGCTATCTCAGAAAAGACCTTTTTTAAAGGGTCGGGTCTTACATGAAGTACTAAACTGAGGGTAAAGCTCTTGTTCTCATTCTCCCTCGTCCATTGGACACAGAAAGCCCAAAATAACCATGCACTTTACACACAGATGAAGCCTTGGAATACTGATCTCCAATGACGTAAAATGGAAATCCGAGGTAATCTCCAGAAACCAGTTAATCTTTGACGACGACATTACAACAACTATCGACGGTAAGGTTCATAATGACTGTAATTTCTCCACGAAAATCATTTGAATGGATTTTCGTCTACCTTCAATTAGAGCAATGCTTCTCAGAGGGAATATAATTTAGGGTTGTTACATGTATACCACAAATTCTTATTTTTCCCGTCAACCGCCACTAAAAAAGATTAAACAATAGCCATTATTTTCTTATTGTATGCGATATTTAAACCGAAATCTGCGTTGCAAGATCGGCGATTTTTCGCAACGGGCTTCGAGCGATACATTCAACCTAAAACCGCCACACGTAAGCCACAATGAGAGCAACCGAAAACCGACCAAAAATCCGCAGCAGAAACCGTCCGACTATAATAAGCCCAATTGTCATTCATTTATTGACTATTTGATTGTTTTTCGACCGCGTGAAGTCCATTTCCTCAACAGAACTATGAATGGAACCCCATTAGCGAGGCCTTCCATGCGGGGAGTTTGGATCATGGGTGTTTCATATTGTGGAGCGTAGTTTTAAGCATATTTGGGGACTTGTAGATATATTTTTAGGGAACAAGGGAGAAGCTTAGATGGCCTTTTAACCAATTGACTCATAAACTGAACAATTCCAGAAACTTTTCTATGAGTTCCTTATCTTGTTATCTTGTTATTTCATGTTTGTCGACCAGTAGTTATGAAATGTTTCTGTATTTACCCCGCATGCTTTATCTATCTTCCTATGAGCCCTGTTCAAACAACTTTAATCTTCACATCTCATGGCGATGTCTCAAGTCAAATGCTAACAAAGCAAGCTGTCACTGACGTTTTCTTTTCCATACTTCTTCAGAATACCAAATTGCAAAATTGCAAGCTATGACGATTTTGGTTTCCATGTGTAATCCCTTTCGTCCAGATTATAAAAAGATCATATATTATTGACTAATTTGAATTATTGACTTATTTGTCAAGTTGTAACAACCTTTTTGTAGTCGCTGTTGTTTTACAAACTGAACAAAAATCAATAGTACTGAAATAACTGAAATCTTTTATTCACAGACTGATAATGACTCGATTATACTTGCAAACACCTCGGCTCTTGTAACCTTTAAGTCGCCACGAAACCCAGCAATGACATTTATGTCTCTTCTCACGCCAAGTAATAACATGGGATGTTTCCTGATAGATGAGAAATTTATCTTCAAAACATCGTTCGGTTGAGTACTGTACTAGCCATTATCCAATAAATAAGCCATTTTGATATTGACTTCTCACCATGAGGGAGGAATGAAACTTTATAACACTAGTAATTATAGTGTAATAAATAGTCTAACAACGTCAAATACGCCGCTTTCAAAAGTAATTAGGATTGGCTTGTAGAGAAGTAATACAATTTTGTTTTTGAATATAGAACATGAAAGCAGTTTTGGTTGACCACTTGCGAAGAAAATGAAGAAATTCTCGACGATGGAAAAGTGATTTGATGAACTGAATACGAAAACGTTTACTCTTGGTTTCAATAAAAGATAAACTTCGTCTGAATCCAAGTGCAGTGGCAAGCAAAAGGGAATTGTAAGTTATTCAGTTCGTTCTTTGTATGGTTCTTAATATTTCTTGACAAAGCGTTTCTAAGTCGAAAGTTTTTTCACAAATCCTGCCGTAAGCCATTTGACAAGTTGTGGTGGACTTTACAGACTTTATGATAAGAAACGACGTTCACTTATAATCCACTGTAGTTTAATTTATAAATCAAGCAAATTCGTTCCGTTCTATCAGAGCAATACACCTATGTTACTTGGCTTAAATTGAAACAAGAAAACGAAAATGGCGTACAATATTAAAACTTAGGAAAAAATAACATTTTTAAAGTGCTTGTTTATAGGCGTTTCCTATAGTCTTTGCTTTACCTGAGTGTATTGTCAGGACAGTCTTTATTTTAATAACTCTGGCATAAAACCGAAAAGGGATCGTTTAGTTAAAAAAAGGACTATTGCAGTCTATGGCTTTGCATTCTGTGATCATTATTTGACATTCATCATCGTGTACTATATGTCAATCGTTAATTTATAAAAACCGCAAGATAACTGTGCATGTTTTATTGTCGCTGTTCTCGTAAATCAAACTCGTCGTAAACTTCCTCTCTCTAATAATGTGCTCGTGTTTCTAACCATCCCCTTTTTCAGGCTTCCCACTAAAATTCGCTAACATAGAGTGCTTAATCGATTTTGCGCGCATTTCCGTAATCCGAGGCCAATACAAATAGCGTATTTCATCATAAATAGAATGACAAAATTGGTTTGTACTTCCTCATTATTTCTAGATGACGCATTTGGTATATAAAGCACGAATGCTAATTGAACGATGCTTCTATACAACTTTTTCGGTAATCTCAATCTCTTTGATTTTTGATCCTCTAAAAAACAACAGTCTTGAATCATGGTCGATTCCTGGAAAATATTTATGATCACGATTTCCAACACAGTTATAGCAATTCAATGGCCAAAAATAAACTGATTTGATACTTGATTCTGAGTTGACTACGCTATAGTGACGAAGGCTCTTTTAATATTAATCCAATAATATTGTAGTATAATCATTCACTGATCAATTCATGTGCGGACGTGAAAATCGTCAGCACAAGCGATCAATCTTTGATATTATCATTCACTAAAACCTTCAAGTCTATTAAGACCTGTGCTAACAATACAAGTGATCAAAACGGAAAAAAGCAACAGAGTGGGTTTGGTTGATGTAAAATGATCTCATCGACTGTCTACAATAAATTGTGATTAGTTCGTCAAGAGGCTGTAATGGCCATCTTAACGTGTGCTACCGGAACATGAAAATACATTAATAATTGTTAGACACCCCGGTCAAATACTTGCGTAACTCGAATATAAAAGGAACAGAAGAGATATAATTTCTCATTTCAAATCTTGAAGCCGCGCCTCAAAGATTTCTCGGAATAAAGAGAGCATGAAAAAAAAGATAAATAAAGATAAACCCGGAAGACCTGTCTCCGTGCAATAGCAGGCTGAGGTAAAAAACATTTGTTAAAGATGGAAAACACCGTATTTTTACTGGTTTCCGTTTCAATTGTCATATCCCACGTGCAGATTTCAATCCGAGATAAACGATTGACTTCGAAGCGTGTGAGATTTGACGTTTAAAGGCCATATACAAGAAAGTAAGCCAAGGATGCATAAGCTCATCAATTATTGATTTGAACAGGCCTTTAGAAAAACGAAAAACTGGACAGACTAACTGTAAATCTTTGCTAATTGTGAAAATGAATTAACAGAAATTTCTATAGCATCATTTTATTTAGCGTGAGTGAAAGTGAAAACTGTGAATTCTTTGTTTAATACTGTAGACTGGCATGATATTGTCTAAACAATCAAAGTACTCTTCAATGTTTGTTTTCAAAGCTTTAATTTTGACTCCCAGCTAGTCTTGAAAGGTTTTTGTCTGTTCAACATTGCTGCCAGCTAGTTCAATATGAAAATCATATGACTTGACTCCAGTCTAATGGCTACTGTACTTAGGAACACTGTAGGTAGGTTCTGTACTCTATCTACTAGTTACAAGGTACGTTTATATTTAAGCCATTTTGTTTGTTTAAAAGCAAGACAAAGAAAAATACAATAATTTAGGATAACAGTGTAAGTTCGACCAAAAGTTGACATACAGGATTATATTGATTTTAGCTTTATTTTATCGTTTCAAACTTCTTTTCGCTAAGTAATTTTCTTTCGGATAGTTGATGATAACAAAAAGAATAATCAAAACATCAAAATCATCTGTATTTCGCGAGGGTACAATTCATCACTTATTTTTTTGTTATTCGTTTATTTGAAATAATTACATTTTACTCATAATTCTTGTATGTCATATTGTACGAGTACAGCTCGTCTGCAAACCATTAGACGGATGAACACTACTCTTTTTTTACTCTTTTTTTTCACAGAATGTTCGTTCTTTTCAAATGTCTAAATTCACCAATGCCGAAGTTCACGAAGTGAAGTTTTCCAGTTCGGCTTTGTCCTTATTTACATTGAGCTCTGGACATGCAAGATTCGGCTAAGGGAACGCTATTCAAATTTCCGTTTAGGCCGACAGTGCATGTGTAAGGTTGAAATGCTTTGTTAGCCCGGTTTCTTTAATTAATATTTCATTATTTTAGGAAGAGTATTTTTTGTCACCTTCACTGGCTGCTTTAAACCTGCCGACATTTGTCAACTAAAACATAGTTAGTATGACTAAAATCACACATTCGACCGGAATAAATCTCAAAGCCTAAATGCTTTGGTATAATCAATATAACTGTTTATATCTGAAATTTTAATTTAAGACACGTATACAAAACAAATAATGACTGCTCGGTCGTACTTTAAAATGATGCAAAAAGTTTCATAAATCTGAATTCATTCTAAAATGTAAACTTTCAGTTTGCCAACAACTACCTTATAATGGAATATTTCGTGGAAAAAGAAAAACTTCTAGCAGTTTCAGTGGCCAGTTATTTGATCCACAGTCAATTCTTTTTCTATTTTGTATTGTTTTATTCACATGTAAGGGAGTGTTGATATTTATATAATTTTCTCTTGCCAATGTGGTCCAACAAGAAGATATAATCGCCATTTCGCAGTTGTTTGCTAATAAAAAAACAACCCTTTGATCTAAGAATTTAAAATTTAATAATCAAATAGTGTACAGTGTTTTGCTCAAAAACAGTCAAGAACAACCGCTGTTTTCAACAAATAAGAAACCATTTTTCAAATTGAATGTCAGATATCTATTGTGAATTAAGTTGTTAGTCCATCTCGCGGAAGTCAAAGGACAATTTAAACGTGTACTTGCTAACAATCAATAAATCGCGTCGAATTCAAGAGGATTCTCATCATACAAATAATGATTCATGATGGGTGTTTGAGTGAAGAAATACATCCCTGTAAGTTTAAACGTATGCCAATGTTTTTGCAAGATAATTAAAAGGTTGCCCCGTTGTTTATAACATTTCGATAGCAATAATTGCTATCCCTGCGTGATACTTCAAAAAAAACGATATTATTTCACACTAAAAATTAAATCAAAAAAGTCTTTTGTTCTGCCGAAAAGAGAATGGTCTTCGTTAGCCTTTGATATTAGGCTGTTAACGGTGAGACATTGCCGCGAGGAAAATTGATAGTTGTTGTAAATCCATTTATTATTCTTGATGTAATTGGGTATCTCGCGAACTCAGCTTCCATGTACCGCTTAGTATCATAAATTATACTTGATTGTTTTGCATTTTAAGGAGATTACTATTTGTAACAAAATGTAGTGTCAAAATTAGGACTTGTCTTTAAAGCTGTCAGGAGTCACAATTAAGATCTTAGAAAAAATTGTCTGCGCAATCTGAGTAAACATAAAGGTAGACGATCCATTATATCTTGGTTCTGAAGAACAGTGAAAAACACTTCAGATTGAAGCTTATCGAGGATTACTTGTAGATCTCATAAAGATCATATAATTCTAAGAAATTAACTTTCCGGCGATACAAATCAAGCGTTCTACAATAGGTAGGTGTAAATGACCTTAGAGAAAAATATTGAGAATGTAAATTGGATGACAAGTTATTGATGGTGAATACTATCTTTCTTCCACATCACCTGCTGTGAGATAGAGATCGTACTATCTAGTATTAGGGGATCATATGTACTAGTGGTTTACTATAGTGAGGATAACAAGTAAAGTACGATTCCGTTGATAGTATCATTTTTCTTTTTCAGATCTTTACAGCCAGCACATCACGATTGTATTTTAAACGTACATCAAGCACTGTACAAAACTCAAAACAATAACTAGGCGTGATTAGCGTGATGTTTTACGAGGGGTATTGGTTCTCTAATAGTCTACCTAGCACAGTGCTGTATTTCGTCATCTCTTTCATCACTGTCTTCGGGAATCTTCTCGTCTTCGCATCGTTTATCAAAGATCCTTACAACCAACTGAGAACATTACAGAACTACTTTATTGTCAACCTTGCAGTTTCTGATCTTATGATGGGGTGTTTTGCCGAGACTTTACTAGCAGCAACTTATTGGGAAAATAAAGAAGAGGTGTTCTTTGCACACTATTTGTGCGCTATCGTTTCGGGTGTGTCTTCGCTTCTTAACATGGCTGCTCTCTCAATATATCGATATTGTGTCATCAAAAACCCTTTTACATATCATGGCATGATCACAAAGAAACGCATCTTGATTTCGATCGTCTGTATTTGGGTGTATACTTTACATTTTGCCGTTTTACCTATAGCTGGCTGGAGAACTACTGGTTATCAGCTTTATCTGTACTTACTGGGATGCACTTTACCTAGTGTCTTAATAGTTATTACATACTTTGGAGTCTTTCTAACTATACGAGCACATACCAAGCAATTAAAAACAACGATAAACTCAAAAAACAAAGCATTACAGAACGCAGTGAATAGAGAGAAAGCAACTACAAAGACAATGCTCATCATTCTGGGTGTTTTCATAGCATTTTGGGTTCCATTCTTGATAATTGATATTATTATGGTGCAATGTTACGCGTGTAGATACATTCCAGCTATTCATGTCGCTCGTGATGTCGCGTTGACCTTTACGTACTTCAGCTCTGGAATCAACCCTCTCTTGTACGCTTGGAGAGTGCAACAGTTTCGTAAAGCATTCCTGCGCATTTTAGGCATTGACAAACTCGTGACTCGACGAAATAGAAACAGGATTAACGTCGCAGAAGCGAACACGAATTTGCGGGTTGTATCGGCCATGCCAGAAAATACTGCTTGGGTTGTTCCGACATAACGTGAAAAGCTAATCCTTGAAAGATGACTGATTCCCGCAATTTTCCACTCGGTTTCGAAGAAGTACAGCTTTAGTCATGTGTGGTGTGCCTTCTTTATACTCATTAACACTCACTAGAGAGAATGATTGCCCGAATCAGTCGCTCACTGATACAATTATTTCTGACAATACTTTTATTAAAAATAGCAAGTTAAACGGTTTTATTACACAAATTACTATGCAAGTATTTCGTAGGCTTTATCAGGTGGAAAACGGGAAAAACAATTTAGAATTTCTATTATACATAATGAAAAGGCGTTTTGTATTAGATACCTTCAGGGTACAATCAGGCGAATATTTCATTATTAAACATCATCACAGAAGAACGATAAACGGTAAGAAATCAACCTACAGAAATCGATTGACAGGTTTTAAAGCGGGTCCAATGTCAGATCTTATGGTTCTGCATTTAAAAGCATTAACACATCGAAAGAACAATCTCAAGGGCTTATGATCCTGAATGATTTTTCATCGCTTAAAAAACGCGATTTTCCGCAAGAGTAGAAGGCAATTACCGGTTTCTAATGTCCACCAATTTTGCCATGTTGTCTGTAGACAGACAGAGGCTGTCTAAACTATAATAGCCTTGACTCAAAACAAGACATCAATAACCTAGGAGTTATCGGTATCAGTTTTCAAAGCATCGTATTTGAGCAGGTGCATTTTTAGGCATATATACTATGCGAACATTTAATTAGGTTTGAAAAGGGAATGTTACATAAGAAACAATTATGTTAATTAACGCTATTTTTAAAAAGCAGGCATGTTACACCGTCCTAATACTGAGAGCCATCAGATAGCAAACAGTATACCAGCTACCTATGGATCGTAGATATCATTCATTATTTCTTAAATATAAAACGGCGCGCGTGTCTCTGTCCTCTGATATAAACACGGTCGTCAACCAATCAGAGCGCGCGTTATATATCAAAAATTTTATAAAGTCGGAATGTAGTTGCTTTAGTTTGCGACTTTCTCACTCACTATTTAAGCCAAATCATATGTAATGATTAATGAATATGATGGTGATCATCGGTGGTTTTCGTAACTCGTGAAACAAATTGAAAACCTAGAATACAGTACTTACCCGCTTATAAGAACCCCATTTTTCAAATTTAGCATTTAGCCTGCATGAAGATTTTTTAGATTAATTTATATAAGAACCCTGTTTATCTAAGAACCTGTTTCCAATTTTATAGGCTAAATAGGTTCTTATGTAAATGGGGTCTAAATTGATATTTTAGGCTAACAGGTTCTTTTAAAATTGCAGGTTTTTATAAGCGGGTAAGTACTGTATTGAATGCACTTAATCTGTGAAATAATACAATTTCACGGATTAGGCGCGCGCTTAGTCAACATAGTGAAGAAGACGGGTTCATGATGATAGCGCACTAAATGCGTGAAACAACTATTACTACTAGAAATTTTTTACACTATTTTGCATTTTGTTTCACGAATTACACGCGTCTGCGCTAGCAATAGTAATATCTAGGACCACGATACATGGTGACGAAAACAAGATAATACTCGGGTAACAACATAATATGTATGATGATGATGAGCTAATAATGATGATGATAAATATAGAAGTATAAATTATATGCTAAAACATATTAAAAACAGCCAAACAAGAGATGATTGTAAATTATCTTTTAATGGGCTTTCAACGTTCTTGTACGCTGTATATATATTATATCAAACTGTACCTAATAAAATTGCATTTCATGTGTGTGCCATTCGACAAATATATTCAAATTTTCCAAAAAAGTCAGATTTTTGTGCATGTGATTGTTGACGCTTCTAGCAACGACAGTTTCCTAGCAACGACAGTTTCCTAGCAATGACAGTTTCCTAGCAATGACAGTTTCGTGAAGATTACATTTTCTTTGTTACGAGTTTTCTAGTAGCGAAGGTTCTCTAGAAAAGACATTTTTCTAGCAATGACAAATCGGCCTGAGCATTGATATTGTCCTAGCTCGATCCTAGCAACGACATCTGGCTAGCAGCAAGCAACGAGTTTTCAAGTATGTCATTTAATTGCATTTAAAAATACTACGTGTTTGTAGAAATCAGGACGTAAGTCTGAGTGAGGTCAGTGATCTCGGTGGTGATTCCACTACTTGGGAAAGCTCTTCGTTGTAGATTGCTTCGTGACATCCTCAGCTTGTTCAGCACTACAAACAGAAAATCACAACAATTACAACATGGCGAATGTTTTTTTTCCAACTATTTCACATATCTTTTTAAGACTGACTCGTAACATCTAAAATACTCGACTTCGCCTCGAGCTGTAACAAGCTGCGAGGACTTCGAAATCACGTCCTCGAGTTTTGATAAATGTCTTGAATCATTTTGATAATTAAAATTCAAAGGCGTTGACTAGACTTGGAATGTTGCGCCGTAAAAAGTCTTTTGCTTGTCCAAGCAACGTCTACAATGCATTTTACACCACTATAGGCCGGTATTTCGAAGGGAAGATTATTCACTGGTTGAAGTTATCCACACCATAGATTATGGATTTTATTTGATGGATACGAAGGATCTATCGGTTGGATAGCGCTAAACCGTGATCATTCATTAACAATAATTCCATACGACGCACCTGTCCGCTAAGCTTTGTACCCAGGTAATTGCATTATTGACTAAATTGACGATCAAATTGGACGCGATGACAGCGTATTCTTGTACTACTGCTATAACATCCGGGACTTTCTCTGTAATGGACTGTCCAACTTGGTCAAACCATGCTATAACTGAATCAAAAAACTCAGGAGCCAATTCATAGATCCTGGTGGCTAGTGTAGTTAATATCTCATGAAGTCTTTGTATCAAAGGAGGGATGTATTTGAGAAACAGTTCTTGTACAACAACAAGATAATGATGGACAACAGGCCAATACGTGTTCCAGTAGTACTTTGCATGACCGCTGACCACTGCCCAATACTTTGGCGCCTCTGTTTCAACCTGGGAAATACAAACGACAAATATATCAAGCTATTTCAAACAATGAACACAATGAGAACACATATATCAAGCTAATATATGTATCAAGATATATATAGCAAATATATCAAGTTATTTCAAACTTGTTTGACAGTATTTCTAGATATTACTTTATTCTAATTTACTTTAAGCCCATTTACGTTCAAGTTCATTTTTAGGCCGTTCATTTAGTAACTTCTTTTTTATCCCAAACTCAAATGGCTTATCTAAGGGATTTATATCATTACCTAAAAAACAATAATGTTCACAAATACAAAATACACACACAAACGGTCACACAAAACAGAGATAACAAAGTTCTGAAAAAGTCTTTTCTTCTTTACTTTTACTTATTCGTACATAATTTTTTAATTCACTTTATTCGTTAACGTTATGAGATCCCATTTAAACTAGTTTTGTGGAACTTGGCTATCTATATGGAGTGAACACTTTACCTTTTCTATGATTTCGGGTATTTTCTTGTTTAAATATTTTCTAGCCGGCTCAGTTTGTTCAGCGATATAGTCATAAGCTATAAAGAACTTTTCCTTAGTGTAGGCAGCAGCTGGGTCTGCGTACTCTCTGAATTGACTGTAATAAGCAGGGTAATTCTCTTGAATCCAACTGAAATAGAAAAAAGAACGGCAATATCATTAAAACAAATACATACAGTGGTTGAATACCTTGGACCATGGATATTACATTACTTCCATTCCTTTTGTTTTAAAAGTATATCAACATTTACCTATTTCCTTTGTTGAATCCATTCTTGGCGTGTCCATAAAGACGTATTGTTCCTTGTTCTATTCCGTATTCCTTGGCGTAACGAGATGTTTTACTCCCTGTACACCAAGTGAATGATATCATTACAACGGCCACAAGGTCATGGGTTCCGTACACTATCGTCGTGTTATAAAGATTGTAATTTCAATTCATTGGATTTAACTACTGTATATATGCTACGTTGTCGTGCACCACATGTGCGCCGACCTTTGCATTTACTGAGAACCATAATCCCAGCTACAAATCCTAGTCGCGCGCTAAAAACAGTTTCGAGGTGATCAGTTAACTTCTGAAAAACACAGCATACATGTTACGATCGGGAATGCACCCTCGGCCTCTAAGGTTCATTCTCATCGGAATGATATGAGTGATTTACAAAATATTCAAAATTTGCATTATAAACCTAAACGATAAAAGCGTGCGCATTCGTTTTTTTCCTTCTCTCAACCAAGAGTTGGGCGGCCTATGGTGTACCAAAGTGAAACAAAACGTGATGATTGTACCTTGATATCCCTTGTGTTTGTAAAGATCTACACAAATCACACCAACCAATATGAACACAACAAGCTTGAAAAGTCTCTTGATAGAAAAGAACGATGAACGACATTTGGACTTTTCTTCTGCAACCTGAAAAAGAACGCATCAATCACGTGATCAATTTCCTCATAAAATGTGCACTTTATACCATTGCAATATGCGATAATAATATATCATTTGAATGACTTCATCTTTGATAGATGGAGAAGTTCAAACAAACTGCTTACTCGAGAACATGTTGATATCACGGTGGATTTCGATTGATTCTTAAAAAAAATTCATAATTATGCACGAAGGACGCGACGATTAGCCCTGGGTGCAGTCCAGCTTAGCTCAATCGTTTCAGTTTATTGTTTTACAAAAACGTAAATTCTAGTTATATATAGCTATTCCAGTTATGAAGAACGACTCAATTCAGGAAATTTTTCTTTTAATGCCGACTTGTTTCGTGGAACAACTATACAGTAGATCCACTCCTCAATTACGCATCAATATTCAAACCTACCCGAGGTCTATCGGTGTACGTAAACATCATACGAGAAGCACATGACGGACATGCAAAAACATATTACTTTACTTATGAATCTAGTAGTGACTGATAAAAAACATACAAATTATTTTCCCGTAAAATAGTCGTTTTCTAAAGCTTCATTTTTAGGGCTGTAAATATAAACACCGCGTACAAGACAAGGACATTCCCCTAGAAATTACCCTTCAGTGAACAAACACAACCCCAGTCATTTACTATCAGGCGTTTCTCCGTGGTTTGACTTTAGCAAAACCACTAATTTGCGCACATGAATTATTTCCCCAAATAGCGTTGACCACAGGGAGCCCATGTACATGAGACAACAAGGCAGGTGTAAGTGAACCCTAGGCTTATGTATTGATAATACTACAGGTACATTGCAGGTTGAACGACAGATATGTAAATACTATACTTACATGTAAACAACATTATCATGAACCATTTTGAACACAATTTGACTTAGTTTAATTGAAAACGCGTCAGTCTGAGCGTCAAATATTGAACGATGAAAATAAATTTGGAAACGGGCCGGTACTTGACTTATTCAAAATTGTAACACTTTTTAGATAATGGTTTGAAATCAGCTTCGTTTTGCACAACTAAAATTATCGATATGTTTTAAGTTCAAATCTTTATAACAATTCGTTCAGTATTAGCGAAGTGATTGATATGCATAAAAAGGAATTATCTAATCTGCCCCTCAAGATTAGTAACATGAATAATAGCGAAACGGTTAGCAAACAAACTCAATTAGCAACTGGAAATAACATATTGACAAAAATAGAAGCTAGTTAAAGCAGAGTGGTTAAAGCAATCGAAAGATTAAAGTGCTGCATATGAATTTTTTTAAGTCACTTTTTCATATGTTGACTTGTGGTCGTTAGAAGCACAGTCCTGTAACTAGTCACATTGTCCACGCCAAAAATATAAAACCACAACAAGCGGTGACTCGATGTATCAGTTTTTTCCTGTCAAGTCTAAGTACAGTAGTGAGAAGTACTTCAAAGGTTACATCGAATACTTGTGTTAAAAACATGAAGGACGAGCATGATGGCCATACTAAACATACTAAATTAAAAAAAACTGAAATAAGACTTTGTTTGTACGATTACCTGCTCTTCGTTAGACATCTTTGAACAAAGTGAACTACTCCTCAGGACAAGTTGTTCCTCAGACAATGTTTACCGTCTCTCAAAAATCCCGAATCAATCAATTGGCAATTTAAAATTCGAACCGTTTAAAAAACGAGTTTGACGCTTCTGGAGGCCGCGCTTGCACAAGGATTTGCTATTGTTCAAATACGTGAATGCGATTGGCTAAAACACACAAAAGTCACGTTTGGGTTAATGCATTTTTGTGACGAACATGATTGAATGACACCTGCCAATCACATCAAGAACTGTTTTAGCGCGTCAATTATGTCACAACACTGCTTTTGCAATTGCTGAATTGTGAACACAACTGAAGTTGCCTTGTACAAGTACAAGTAAGATTTCCTGAAGGAAAGATGTAAATACGTTCAACCTATGATCTGGGTTTTTTTTTGGTTTGTCCAGATAAATTTGTCCAGATTGCAGAGCACACTTAAGTTAACTTTAACTATAGTGAAAGATTAGCGAGACTAACAGTTGGTATCACATCCTGGATCTGTTGTTTTCTTTTGTTATTTACCAGCAACGAACTAAATAGTCATTTTCATTGGATAGTAAAATAAAAACGATTTTATTTGTTGTGAGCAAGTCCTTGAGAATTCGTTGATACATGTGTGCAATAAACAATACGATCTTCCCTATGTTACTTACATGACAAGCCATGACACAGTCTTCAAACCCAGCCTACAAACACAACAAACAGGGGAAGATTATTATACAAAAACAACATCCCAACTGATCCAAGTATCCCCAGCAGAATTGTGCCATCCCTTGATGTAAATTAGTCCAGAATTAACCTTTTTAGGAGGGGCTAATGAAGTATTATTATTATTATTATGGTTGTTATCCCTAATTCCACCTACCATGGAGCTCAAGCATGATTAATAATCAGCGTAATCTGATCATCATCATAATCATTCACTCTCAACATGCACTCCACAATGATTATAATTATGATTTTAACACCTAGAAAGACAAGTATTGACTAATCTACTAGCCTAACTTGCTATTTTGGCAATACTTACTAAATTCTTACTGCCTTTATCTTGCTGGGCATTAAAAACTTGAAATGTAGAAATAAGCCTTTGAAACAATGCTTTGGGGACCTGATAAAATTAACAAAAAGCAAGAAGGCTTACACAAAACACAAAACACACAGCAAACATCATACATAGAAAAGATGAGAGGCATGAATATTTGTCACAATAACAACTTTTTTGGTAAAGTCAATTTTGTCAAGAAAGCAAATGTTATGTCTACTAACCTTGGCAGATCTTGTGGACCATGTATCAACAATGTAATAAATAAGAACACTGAAAGAAATCACAAAGAAGTAAGAAAACTATAAACAAGAAAATATATATCTTACTCGCATGAATCTGTTTGTTTTACCTTGATTCAGGGAGAGAAGTTGGATACAACTGCATCCAAAGAGAAAAACATTGAGGATCACTTTGAAGACAGAATGTCAGACAATCCAGTACCTAAAAATAAAAAATAAATTAACTAAAAAGCCAAGCAATAACAGAAAAGAAGCTAAAACAACTGCAGAGTTTCTTTACATTGTTTTAATGCTATAAGTTGTTCATCCTGATAATTTCTGCTGTTATGTTAATAACTTTATTGCAGTCTTACCTCTGTACGATATTCAAGAGGCATTTCATCAATTGATTTGAGATAGCCAAGCAGAATGGGAAAGTAAACATGTGCAGGGTTACTACTGAAGGAAAGAGCCTACAATAAAACACAAAAGAATATTGAACAATAGAAAGATAACTACGAGAAGGTTTATCCAAAGGCCATCAACTGCAAATATTGTACAGCAAGTTACATGAAAGGGTCTTATTACTGAAAGAAACTGCCTCAAAACAGACAACATGCAAACATAAAAACAACTTCAGATGGTGTTAATCACATAGTCAGTGTTCATCACAAGGGACCATTCTGTCGTCAGACTCTCAGATAACTTTATCCCTTTGTGAATAATTGAAAATAAAAAGCTTACCTTTATTTTGGGGTAAGCAGAAACCATCTTCCTTTTTAAGCTAAAATGCAAGAAAATTGTTGTGTTAATAACCAATTACTGGCAAATGCTGTGTGCAAGATCAATGATTGTCCAAAATGGCTGCCTAACTACTAATCTACCAAACTATTGAACTGACCATACATGTACAAAATAATGTTCTGGACAACCAACCACCTGTCAACCAACTGACCAGTAATACACCAACCAATATCAAAGCAATGGTTTACCTATGGTTTCCTGCTAATGGTGACTTTGAGCTCAGAGTGAGTGACATGACACTTAAGAAGTCTTCAAATCCAAGAAGAGTCTTGTGAGTAGAATCACTGCAGGTCCTGTAGTTTTTACAATAATACGTCTAATTTAATTCTTATACCATGCCATATGTGCAATGCTTGCCAATGGTTTGAAGGCAAATGCTTTGTCTAAGCAAAAGAGACTGATTTTGAAGGATGAATTGACACTCTTTTGTGACATCACAAACTTTTGCTAATGGTCTCTTTACTTCAAAGGAGAAGCAGGGAATTATCCAACTATAAACAGTGCTATGAGCATGATAAACTTTTAGGGCAGTATGTCAGTGAATGTAATTTGACTTCTATCAAAATGAACTTACTGCAGTAAATTCTCCAAGTACAACACAGAGAAGGTAGCAAGCTGTTTATACTGTATCATTGGCATCATTATCCTGAACCATACTGAAAAACAACAGACAGCTTAAAGATCCAGACTCAGCTTAAATACCTTGCATGTCTAACCATAATTTTGTGTAGTTACATGAAATAATTTTGATGACTATTTCAAACTATTGAGAGGTTGATTAAAAACCATTCTAAAACCCAAACCTAAGAAACTACAATAAACATGAATTAAATAAAAAAATATCAAAAGTGAATAATTGATGAAGATATCTCCATCTGAGCATGAGCAGTAATCAACTTGGTTTCCCACATCCAAGCGCCACTATGTTTTAGTGTACTGTGACTCTGCAGATAAGTAATTTTAACTCGAGACCTAGTGAAGTTCTATGATGAGAGTCTAAAACTGAGAACTTTTCTAGTGTTGGGCATACATCGAGTGTCTGTAAATCTGTTACAACACTGATGTTTTATGCATGAGTGTTATAACTAACTGAACCGGTTAGTTATAAAACTCATGTTTAATTAATCAGTGTTTATAACTTGAGTTATAGATCCTGTCATGTGACCCATAGTTGAATGCTCATTGGAAGAATGTCTAATGAATAATTCATGAGTTTTAGAAGTCATTTAAAAAACTCGTAATTCGTGTTTTATCGTGGATATAAACACTCGGCCTTCGGCCTCGTGTTTATATCTCACGATAAAACACTCCTACTCATTTTTTAAATATCACTTATAAACTTGCTGAGAAAGTCAGAAATAATATTAATTTACAACACAGAAAACTCAAATCAGGAATAGCAAAACTAATCAATCAAAAATAAGACCTTTCTTTCAAAACAAAACTGTTACAAAGCATCCAGGGTAATACTGGGCCTTCGAATATAAGAAATATGGCCAGCAAAAAGTCAGCCCTCTTATCCTGAATGTAAACCTCAACTATACAACTATCATTAAAACCATTAATACAACATCATGATTGTACATTATACAAAGAAGTTAAACTTGATCTTTTATCACTAACCTTCAAGGCCTTGATCTTGGTCATTTGTGGGTAACTGGCCCAGTGCCCACATGATTGACAAGGCCTCTTTAGTACGACTTTTCCTTGCATCAAGCATCTTCTCATACTGAAGTGTATAACATGGAATATAAGAAGAATGAACGAATGAGAATGTGAATGGATGAAAGATATAATGAAATGCAAAGTATAAATGCAAGGTATAAATGCAAGGTATAAATGACTGAATGAATTGATGAATAAATGAATGATTGACTGAATAATAGGAATATAATAGACTTAGAAATGAATAACAAATGTGTGAAGGAGTGAGAATAGGAAGGAAGGGATGCATTCAATGTCTAAATCAATCAGATGGATTGGATGAATTAATCAATAATAAAAAGGACATGAAATTTATTAAAATTTTACAAATGCAACATTTTATTTTTTCTCACCTCATCTAGGTTGTTGACTGTTATTGAAGGACAGACTTTAACTGTAAGTTGTATCATTGCTTGCATGGCATATGCAGAATGACCTGAAATAAACCATTTATAGTATTATAAACAATTTAAAGTGCTACTTGCATGAAAATGGCCTTATTTCAAAACTTCAAGCAATACAAATATATGACTCATTGATATCAATTAAAAACAATTGCGGGAAAATATTTGTTTTGGCCGGAATTATCCCACATCAGATAAATTTTGATTCAAAAGATGGAAGAACAAAAGGATTGAGTAAATGACGTCATCTACTCCAACATTTTTTGCCCAAATTATCAAGGTTTGTATCAATATCTTCTTGAAATCTGCTGTTTCATGATTATTACACCCATATGAATAGGTCTATTTGATTTCCAAGTCTTTTCTTAAGATTCGAAATTTTCGTCCAAATAGCCCTTTAACACTAGTGTTTGTTATAAACTGTTTTCAGTGAAAATTAATTTCAATAATACAGTAATATTACTTGACTGAAGAAACATGGTATTACCTTTGCTTAGCTCTGAAACCATTTCATTCATAAGATATTCAAAAAACAAGTTGATAGTGGTCTGGGATGAATTCTTGAGAACTTTGATGAAAAAAGACTGCATGTCTTGTGTTAGCAAACAGGATGGGTAGTCTGGTAACAGAAGATGATTGTACGTCACTAAATCAATTCAATGCCACTGGTTGTTTTGTTTGACATATTTAGTCTGTAAATGAGGAGGTAAATAAGCGAGATAATCACATAAGAATCCCATACCTTTAGGCTGACCATCAAACACAGGATCTTTCTCAGGAACATTTTGCAGTTTCAGATGAAGATAAGATGCAATGTCTTTAAGCCAAAGCTATCAATAATAGTAGTATTGATTAATAATGAAATTAATGGCGGCATTTATTGATGATCAATGATGATACTCAAAGGAATAATGATATAATAGTAATTATGGAGATTTTTAGTTGCATAAACTACTTACAGATGGGTTGTTAGGGAAAGCAGCTTCATCTTTAGCAAGGACATCTGTCATCACTGCCAAGTCAACCTTACACAACAAATATTTTTTTTCCAATATTAGTAAACCAATAGTGTAGTATAAACTCAAATACTGAATGAAAATCACATCTGTAGACATTTAAGAAATATTGTTGGTTCTCTGCTATGCAGACAATTGTCTCCAGTGTTGTTTATTGCATATTGCAGACAGCCCTCAGTTTTGCTTAGAGGTTTTGATAGAAGAGAAAAATTTAGTTATCTTTATGAAACCTCTCTAGTAAAAAAGCAACCCTCTCAAGAATTTCAAAAATAGTTTCATTCAAATGACTTTCCTGTTGTGATTATTTCTTTCAACTGACAAAGTCAGTCATGTAATAATATGCATTAAAATATTACCTTTTTTAAGGCCTCCTCTAGTAGCTCTCTGTCACTCTTTGATGGTTTTGGAGGTAACTTCTTCTTTATTACAGGCTTTTTGATTTCCTGTCCTTTATCAGATTCATGTTCATCATCAACATTGTTCTCATAAGGGTTGTGTGGACTGCTTTCTGGTACATGTTTCTTCTTTCCAAATGCATGATAAATAGTCTGCGCCTGGGGGACTGGATCTACAAGATAGCAAACATTGAAAAATCTTAAACATTCACAAAAATCACACTAAGAAAAATTCCAAAGACAAACAGTTGTGAATTCAAACTAAAAGTAAACTTTGTCTTCAGTTCTATCAATAATCTTGCATGTTGATTCCCTCCCAACAACTGCTAAATCAAACATATAGATTAAATTCCTCATATAAGCTTACAAGTAACGAAATCATCCTGTTGATAAGTTTACTTTCTAAAATATTTAGGATACTACGCACGCTGTGATTGGTCGAAAACCATGTTTGATTACAGTATCAAAACACGCTCGCGCGAGTCAARAATTTCTTTTTTCCCGCCGTTTGCATTTGTTGTTGTTATCATTCATTTTCAAGAACAATGAACGAAGAAATGCCTATTTATGATGTCCTCTGGGATGATATTCCAGAAGAAGAGCTATCAAACGTTTTAGAAGCGACAGAAGCTGCAGACAACTGCAATGTAAGGAGCATTCATCGTTTCATATCGTATCAAAAGTCAGAATTCTTTACAACTTTCGTATTCTGTTAATTTTAGAAAAGAAATAAAAGACGAAATTCTGTGTTTGATACTCTGATCAAAACACTTGGGATGTAGGGAGAGCACTCGAAAAGCTGGAAACCACTCCGCTACGCGTCGTGATTTCCTACGCTTCTCTCGTGCTCTCCCTACATCCCGCGTGTTTTGATCAGAGTATCAAACACGGAATTTCGTCTTTTATTCCTTAAATTAAAAAAGTTATAACATTTATAACTTTACTCTAAAATTAATGATTAAAAATAATAAATCACAATAAATCATTATATAGATTAATGTATAAGTTTAAGTGCCCTTAAAAAAGGGCATTTAATATATGTGTGGAATAAGAATTGAAATAACCGAATTCATAATTCTGCTGATCTTTCGATTCTATCCATTTCTGGGTTGCCAGTAACGCGTACGACAAATATAAGTCGTTACCAACTTACTAGTATGTTTATTAAACTCAATGTACATGATACTGGACAAGGACAAAGGGTTGTCTAAATATATCCAATGACAGGATATAGTAAATTTCAAAAAATTTATTCATTAATAAAGGAAGTTAGTTTTTCCTAAAAGCTTACGTGTCCTAGATTCACTATCACTATCAAAACTGTCAATAAAACGCTTACGATTGCGTCAAATAAACATGGCAAGCTTACTAGGTTCTTCCAGCTTGAGAACTCCATTTTGTTTTTGCTTTTCCTTCTTTTTATCGAAGTTTGCTCGCTTTTTGCTGGATTTTCCTTGGACAACTTCCCACTTTCCGCCGGTGGACGCCATTTTGACTTTACCCGTAACGCAGGGCATTGTGGGATGCGACATGTGACATGTATTTGAATTTGGCGCGAATGTTCTAATATAAAAATTAGGTAACACCTAATAGCGGAGCTCCAATAGAGCAGAGTCACATGAACCATGAAATAAGAACTAAAAAGTACTAACTAATAGGCACTATTACTTCCTAATAGTCGTTAGCACTGAACCAGAACACTTTATTTGATCCAATAAGCAATACCCAAGAGACCACTTTAACAATCAAAGTAATCTCTTTGTACTGTTCTGGTTCAGTGATAGTGTCTAAATAGTGCCTATTAGTAACTAAGTATTTAGTTTCTATTTCATGGTTCAAGTGACTCTGCTCTAGCAATATAGAAGCTGAAAATGATTATCTAGTACTGCTATTTCAAAGGTAGATGCTCTGTTCTAAGGAATGTGAGCTACAACAGTTTTGTTGACATGCGAACAAATATTATAAAGAGAATGTTTATGAGAATTTAGTTCGTACTATTATATTGACTTCGGTAGATTTTGTTCCGTTGGATGAAGTTTAAAATTATAATTAAAAGTAAACTGAAAGCTTCTCGGCAAAAAGTAGTCTACATAAGCATACAATAATCAACATTGTTTCAATAATCGATGTTTGAACCCGGACTACTCGAACTTCACATATCACAGAAAACTGTATACAAAAATATATTTTTTACCTTCATTATCGAACTTCCGATAAATTATCGTTCAAAGGTCATCTTCAACAGAGCCATACTTGTTTCAAGCATAAGTTTCATCAATTTATTAAGTCATTCAAGACTGTAGATTCTTTGTTTTTAATCTCTCTCAATCTAACTGCTAGCATGGTCTTGGTTTCGAAATGTCCACACTTTTAGTCGACAAAAGAACTTCGCATAGATCCCTGCTTTTTCCCATATTGGTCCATATTATTGAAGTATTTCCAATAAAGTATCATCTCTTTCTTGTTGTCGAAATATCAAAGTAAAATCCTTTTTTCTAATATCACTTTTAAGATGGCCCTAAATTGCTTTTCATCTTCGCAAATCGATTTCCCGGATGTGTGGACGCGTCGAAGTTATGACAAAATTGGCGGGAATATTTCTGTGCTGTTATTTCGCTCTTCAGTGGATATTTTCCTTGTGATTAATTGTTCTAATATTATCAATATGTAATATAAATGTTTAAGGAAAAAACTTCGATTTTTGAACAAATACTTGGCGCTTTGTTTCCTTTTCGAGCGGAGTATGGGTTTCCTGTGGTGGTACACGGAATCCAGGAAGGAAGGACGGACGGAAGGACGGACGGAAGGACGGACGGAAGGACGGAAGGAAACGTGCGTACGCGCGGGAACCCTGTGTCGGTCCATGGAAAATCGACTCGATGGTATACCATTTTTTCTTAGCTATGGTGCTCCGCTAGCGCGGGCCTTCGGCCCGCGCTGGAGCTCCGCTATAAAGTTAATCGAAATGATGTGAAAATCAGGATTTGTTTAATTGCAATAACATGACCATCCACTTGAAGATTATCAACATTCATATTATCCGTCCTTACCATAAATATGAATATAGCAGATACAAATTAAATGACAAAGAAAAAAAGACAGAATAATTTGAGTTAGGTCCTATAAATAACCTAGTCTATTCGGCGTTTCAGGCGTCATAATAAAGTCCATGAATTACATATCTGTGAAATACGCCGCATGCATGAGACTGTTATATAATAGAGTCGGAAAGTATTTTTTAAAAAGCAAACATTATATATTGGCTTCCTGCTTTAGTGTAGTTGCCATGCCAACTCGGAGACAATGTAGCCGGATTCAAGCCCTGTGGCGTTGTTATCGCGCCAGGACTAGCTGATCAAATATTGTAGGAATTCCAGTGTGAACGATGGTGCATATGAACAAATCTACCGCATGTATTAGATGGACAGCGTTTGCTTTAGATGTGCTTATATCGGTGAGGGAATATTACATTCTTTCATATCAAATCAAATATGTAGAAAAAACAGACCACGACGACATATTGTATATAAGATTTTCATAGAAGCTCTCCCTACGGTGCCCCATTGAACCCTAGAAATTCATAATACGTTTTGTCTAAAATAACATATTTATGTTTGGTTTTCAAATTTTTATAGGTTTGAGAGCCGTTTCTCGGTGCTAATTCTTATTGTTTTTCCGTAGATTGGCGGTTCAGTGATGCTTGGTATTTCAATTTGGGTTTATACGCAAGATAACGAATATAAACACATCTCCAAAAACACAGTAGGACTTTAATCTTATATTGATTCGAGTACCCTACATGTTTGATCCATAAATATTGTCTGAACGTATTATCAAAGCTTCCAACATTTGGTTTTCCTTATTACCATACAATCAGTATGAGTCTAATAAATTAAAATCTCATTTTACGCTACGCACTGAAATGATTACTTCAATGGAATGACTATTAAAATCAATGTTACAATTTGATTTACATTTCTTGAGATTTTTTCTTGGGTCTACAGGCATTTTTATTATACAGTAGATGTTTGATATTGGTATTTTTTATTCTAGACTGCGTCGGCGTGTTTTATTGCATTGTCAGTTCTTGTGTTCATCATTGGTAAGAATAGAGGACAGTATAATGACAGACATAATGTAATCAAGTCCATCTATGCGGAATGATTGTCAACATGCTAAGACTTTTCAAATCTTGTTTTAATAAAGGAGATTAATTTGATGGGGGTGGCTAAATTTTGTAGCAAGCCTTCCCCGGGATTCAAAAATATAGAAATAGCAATTATGGTTAGGTAACTCAGTAGATAATTGAAAGAAAACGAATGGTTCTCATTCTGAAAAATATCTTAAGTAGTGTTCATACCAAAGAAACTGGAGCTCGTTTTCCCCATCTCTACGTAACAGCCTGCACTTCCACTGTAAAATCGTGGATCCGTCACAGAACGTGTTATATTTTTTGTTCTATCCTCACAAACTTCACAAGTCTTTTAAATAAATGTTATTAATTAAATGTATTTTAGGTTGTTATGTTATTTTTTTATAGGTTTTCTCGGCACTTGCGCTATTCTTCTTCTAAAGTCGGGTTTGCTGAAGTTTGTAAGTACTACATTGAATTTGAAATGGGCCTTTAATGTACGATAGAAAAGGGTATTCTGGGATTGTTCACACCGATTGATTTCTTGTTGTATTTCAGTATTTTACTATGATAACAATCTTACTTCTTATCGAACTGGCTGGTGCAATCTACCTCTACTTACAGCAGGATAAGGTACTCGTGGATATAGTGATTAGTGATTTTCAATTGTAAAACACAGCAGGGGTTTAAAGGACTTCTTTCATCTTAGATTCAGGGTTTTATTCATAAAAACTGGAACGAGACTGAAGACAAAACAAGAATCTTGATACAAGAAAAGGTAAAGAATTTACTCATCAACAGTTTTAGTCACTATAATAGTCATTTAGAAAAGTACGAGACATGTTACAAGAAAGCGCAAGGGACGTTTTTGCTATAATACTTTCATGGTGTCCATTATTCAGCTTGTCGTGTTATGTATTTCATTAAAAGTTCAGTATATACCCATTCTTTCCTAGATGAAATGTACGTATCGCCAGAAGTACATTGGTTATGTACTTCTGGTATCGCTTTATTCTTCGTTTTCATGTTACATCACAGCGGCCATCTTGGAGGAGCTTCAACAAAGTATTTCTCATTAGTATCTATTGTTAATCCCTCCAACATGGCCGCCGATCTTATCTTTTGAATCTTATGGGAATGAGTGAAAACGATCAAATTCGGGGTTCCCAGGGCGATGGCAATGCAGTTACCGTCGGTAAATAGTTATTTTGATGGAAATCCCAATATACTCCAATTAAAGGCAGTCTAGCGTTTCCATTAAATGAAGATCGAAGCATGAAAAAGTCTATTCATGACTGTCATATTTGAAGGGTCTTTACGATCCTCACCCTTGATCCACTCCTTCCGTGCACCGGTATAACTTTACCTTCCCTTCAGTTTTTAATGTTTCCCTCAGCTCAAATGTTGTAGTATGAAGCCAGTCATAACAACCCATGCCTCGTCAAACGACCCATCGTGTTTCGAAACTGTGGATGGAGACCAAGTCAGACTAAAAGACTGCTATAGTGAACTGATAGACTGGCTGAAAAGGAATGTTGTTGTACTTGCTACGTGTGCTGTTGTCCTTGCTTCTATTCAGGTATCAGAATATTACATATGAAGGCCTCTCGCGTGTAGGGTATGTCCAACCATACTTATCGTGAAGGCGAAAGTTATTGCTATCGATCTCCAATCAACCATTTTCTAATGACCAACGTGAATTGAAATAACCGGTGTACTTTATTGCTGTCAATACTCCATTTTAGAACTCAAAGCAAATAACCGCTGTTTTATTTGACAGCAGATTCTCTTACGCAAAGAACTTACCAAACACAAAAGAAAGTACAAAATGTTGTTAATTAGTACAATAGCGCTAAAATTTACATTTCCCTGATTTGAGGCTAACTAACCCTGTATTCCCAGAAGTCTCATACCTTAGGTCTTATGATGGGAATACAGGATTAGTCTCAACTCGGGGAAATTTTCACAAAAATTACTGAAAAATTCACATAAATTTGATTCCTTTTTTATGCCCTCGATGTCTCTCAAAACGCTGGAAATGGTATTATTTCAAAATTGGTGGTCGTTAGACCCCTAGATCCAAAACTATGTGCCGCGGTCCCTGACATGTCCACGCTACGCGCCTGCCCCGGATGCCTCAACGTTAACATTGTCTGAATCTGTTGCGTTTAGATGTTTCTACTTGCAAGTTCATGTCGTCTGTTAGCGTCCATTGAGTCTGGTGACCGCATGATAAAACAGGTCAAAGTCCGACCAATGGACGAACAACCTCACAAACCAAGAACTAATAAAACTTTCAATCGCGGAAATGTGGACGAACCAGAAGCATTTACCTATGAAAAGAGCTCACTTGAAGAAAAATTAGAAAGGCGACAATGGGCCAGAATTGGAGATAGTTACAATAAAAGAAAAACCCTAGCGACGAGAGCTGCAAAAACACGAAGATGATGTGGAGACAGCAGATCTGAAGGACAGACATCGAACATGCAAGATCCAGTTCCATTGTTCTCTGAACATTTGTATATCATTTCACACAAGAATGGTTGGGATTTGTTCACCACTAAAGATTCAAACTATTTTTTAGGGTTTTTCCTTTCCACCTCGCCTCCCACTTCACTTGTCTTCGCTCCTCGACCCACCAAGGTGGAGGCCAACGAATGATTGTACATGTAAACATGCATGGTAATGGTTTTGCATGGATACTCGTGTATTGAGAACTAAGCGGCTTTGTGCATGGCAGGGGGTTGCAGGGTGGACATGGTTCATGTTTGCAGAACAAAACCCTGCTGTCCATGTATTATGTCTGGGATTTTAAAGTTGCGCACAATCCGTGAAGCACGTAGCACTAATTACTGGTGTTGATAAAACAATACCAAACAAATTAGCAAACTAACGCTATATTAAGTACCGCTTCATCATCGAAACTGGACGGTCTGGAGATTTTAGCTTATTAGAGGACGCTATCGCACATAAAAAGACTAGACCGACCCTTTCCCCGTTCATGGTCTCTGGTTGAAATACGTTGTGTTGTGAGTAACGGTTCGGTCTCAAACTGCACGCCACACATACTCAATTTTAGTTATGTTGCTTTCTCGCCGAGTTGCTTGTTTTGAGTATATCAAGAGTGACCGTATTATCTAATAAATTAAACTATAGTTTTATTGATTATATTGATTTGTCATTTATACGTATTTTGGGGTTTAGCTTTGTAATTGGAATCATCCTCTGCGATGGTCATAAAAGATGTCAAATTTTCGGTCGTACACGCCTTTTCCTTCCTTTTCCTTTCGACCCTTCGTTTTCTTGGTCCTCCGGAGAACCTTCTCCGCCATCACTTATAGTGTCGACTCCAACTCCTCCATCCTTTTGCCCCCTTAAGAACGTCCCCTCTCCCATCGCCCCCGAGAAATCCTCTCCTCCGAATCCAGCAAAGTCTTCGCTTTCCCTGTCGCTTGGAGAATCCTTTTGAGTTTGTTCATCAATCCGATGTTCAGTCTCGGTGCATTTATCGACTATGTATCGGATAATATTTGTCGTCCTAATGGCTACTCCTTCATGGTTCTCAGCTTCTTGGTCGTCTTGAATTATTCTTATGTTATTTTTGAGCCGAGATATGGCTCTCTTCAGATATGCATAAATACAAAGTGGCACAACAACAATCCAAATACATACCGATATCACACGCAGTACGCGAGTATTAGGGTCCAAATAGCAAGCATATGTGAAGATACCGAGAACCAGCAAGAATGTTCCCAACACACCCAGATTATGTCCAACAAAATGCAATAGTGAACCAAACGTGAATAATGCCCTGACAATATCTTGGACTATTTTTAACATCTGTAACAAGACCGTGATCACTGCCTCTAACAACGACACGATGCATAATATAAAATTCAAGAGGAATCGGAGGAAACGCTGCAGGAATTCAGCGACAGTGACCAACAAATTTAGTCCAACTGTGACAAACACGAAAATCTTTTGAGTGTTGGTTGTTTGCGAATTCTCGGACATCATATCTGTCTGAGAAATGAGAGAATAGTTAAACTACTGAATTAATGAGGGAAAGGGATAGCAGTGCAGTCGTAGAGGAGCCGCCAACCAGGCTATGCAGTCACGCATTCCATTTGCTCGTACTGGGTCGTCTTTCGAAGTTTGGGCTTCCTGTGCTTAAGATGGAAGCTTCGATAAACTTTCAATTTATTTGTATCGAATGTAATAGCAAATGTAGGTATTATTAGGATATTGAAACATATAAATGAAAATTCAAAAAATCACAATCTCAAATTGAAAGTTCCACCACAATGAAACTACATATTGACCAGCAACGATTTGAAGTTTGCCCGCCAAATCAACCTCTTATTAAAGCCTAAAGACATTAACTCTCTCGTTTTCACCGAAACATAACCTTAAATCTACAGAAGCAGTTAATAACTATGTATTTTAACCTAATACTAACCTTTCAGTATAGCTCATAAAGACGTCCATGGTTTTCTATAGCCCGAAATCACTGTTGGACGAGGGTGATCAGTTGAAACATTCGATTCAGATTGGTAACATGTCACGCATTTATTCATAGAATGTCACGCAAGCTACATGTACTGAAAAAACGGATACCGGGAAACGAAGAAGTAGAGAGATGTATGCACCCAGTACAGAATCACTCATTAATATTTTAAAGAGCATTTATTGGTCTACTCATGTATTTATCAAAGTTGTTCAGACATCACGATGGGGCTTATTGAGTATTATATTCACACTGTTTCTTTTTTATAGATTTTTTTAATAAGAATTATTGAAACATGCTTTTGTTTTAAACTGATCTAAGCACTTGAAAGATAAGAATTGAAAAAAGTTATGATTAATTTACAGAATAGAAAAAGAATATGAAATATTTCTGAAAAAATTTGGTTGGGCTGCCATATTGCCGAAACCGGAACGCAGAATAAATATGGCGTCGAATGTGATGAGGCATATTCAATTGTCAAGCGATCGCCCGCCTGTCTCTGCAGATCTAAATGAGATATTAAGAAAACAAGCTAAAAAGAGTTTGTTGGTTATTGGAACGTATGCCAAAAATGATGAGACACGATTTCTAAGTGCTAAAAAAAGGGAAGAAGTACGTTTGAAACAAGAAAAGAAAAACAATGCTGAGACTGGCAACGAAGCTGCCAACGAACTTACTGTTGGAGATCGCATCGCTGTTCTCGGTTCTAATGAAGAAATTTACTCCAAACAAAGCGTTGGTTTCTTTGAAGCTGTACTCATGGCGTACAACCATCACTGTAATCTACGGACATCTCCTGACGACTGGTGGTTTTGTGTGATTAAGAAGATAGACATGGCCATCAATGACAATGGCGAGAAAGAGTCTGTTCGTAAGATGTTTGTGAATCATGCTGGAAAAAAGGAGCTAACTGTCAACGTAAATGAATGGCCACTATCTCAAGTAAGCTTGCACTCTTTTGTCTGACTTTAATATCATTTTTAAAACAATAGGGTTAGCATAATTTAGCAGTATTTTGTACTACAGTACAGTACAGTTAATTTCTCTTTTAGACGGCGATGCCGTCAGAGAGTCGGGTTGATCCATAGGCTACCCAACTATTGCTTGAGAGAAAGAAAAGAATGAATATATTATCTTATCGCATTGGCGCGCGATGCGGGTTTCCTGTGGTATTGCGTCATTGATCCCTTGCCTCGCGGGTATGTTATCGAATCGGCGCGCGCTGCGGGTACTTTACGTCACGATCCCGCGTTACCTAAATGCATTAACATTTAGTTTTTATCATCATTAATCATCATCAACTTATTCACAGGTGAATTACTCCTCTTTCTTTGACAAAGTATCAGAGAAAATATCAGAAAATATCAAAATACCAGCGTATGTGGATATTGTGACAGCAGATTTCTCCACAACAACAGCAGTTCAGAAAATTGCTTCCCAAATCACTCTCATGTCCTCACTACAGCATTATTTTGAGTATACCATGTGCTGTTCGTGTGGGATTCCTGCCATTGAGATGTTAGGAACTGAAGGGGACTGGAAAAAGCTGATATCAGACTTGCAAGCTTTGAAGGTCATCTTACAACCTATCATGGGTGACTTGGGCCTGACTGAGAAGTGGTGGTCTGTAACTGAAGACATCTTCACAAAGCTTTTGGATACTTATCATGGAAAACCAGACAAAGAGTGGTGGAGTCACATTATTATGCATAATGCACCGTTTGGTTCTGGTTTTCACGAGCGTGATGATATTCCCCCAGATTACAGTGGATGGATTGTGGAGTTTTTAGAGGGAAAAGTTGGATTGAAAATTCATAGATTCACTAGTGGCCTTGTTAATGTTCCTCTGAAAATTGTTGATGGTGTGAAGGGCGTGATGGACACGGCTGCACTTGTTGCTGGTATGGCTGGGTTTACAGTACACAAAAATACTGAAAATGGAAGACCTTCTGTTCAGCCATTTCAAGGATGGGCCCTGATGCTGCCTCCAAATTCTCCACTTACAGTATAAACAAACATTTTGTTGATGCAACAACAATTATAAAAATAAAGAAAAACATTAATTAAAATACAATAAAATATGTACAAGCTAATGCATGCCATTATACAATAAGTTATCATCAATTAAGTATTCTTGAAGATTAGAAGTAACCTCAAGGCAATTCTTGATGGACAGTTTGGTTTAAATAACCAATGTATAGGAGACTCTATACAATGTGTATTTTATATTTAGCAGCTAAAATCAACGCACTTAATGGAGAAATTACATAATGGGCTCCTTGTTATGTTTAGCATTTTATTTTATTTTTTCTTATCTTAATCATTTATACTATTGCATTATCACATATATCAAGAACTTTTAAGTTTAAAAACAGACTATAACTACCATTAAAACGTACAGACCACAAATTTGAAATAGTAAATTCTTGATATGAAAATGACAATCTGATTTTTGTCAGTTCTGCATTGTCGATGGTAGTAAAAATCCCCACGACACTCTGAGGTACCTGATTGCTAAACCATAAATTTATAAGCTACAAGCATCCAAACCAACTCTTTGCAATATATAAGAGTTCCCCTACCTTGTGTTATTCTGAGTTTTAGTAATAACTATATGAATTTACTTAATTTGAAGAACTTGAAACAAAGAAATAGTTAAAAGAATTCATATTGATACAATTTTTATTTTTGCAACAATATTTCCCTGGCACTTTGGACACTTTGTTGGCTTCTCAAGAACATAATCTACCACCCTAGAAATCAAGAACATAATCCTACCACCTAGAAATCGACGTTTCGAGTGCGCATTTTTATTTTTTCAAGGAAATGTCAGTTGAAATTTCGAGAAAAAAAAATAATGAGACCTCCCCACCCACGTAGGCATTACAAATAATAGGAGCCTGGGTTCAAATGACCTGTGTTGTCACGGTTGCTTGCGGTGGTGCAATGCCATAATAATGACAACAACTTGACTGACGATTAAAAAATCAAATCTTTCATTCATTGTGTCGAAAGAAATCTATATTCTATTGCCGATAAATCAAGAACATATTCAAGAAACTTTTGGCTACAGTTGGCTCGTCAAGTATGGCTGTTTGCATGGATAATGAGCTTGAAAACGCTATAACCGAGCAGCTAAACGAAGTTGAGTTACTGCAGTCGATTTACCATGATGGTTTTCACTTGATTCGTGAGTACGATGAAAATAACAGAATTGAATTCAACTTGATGCTGAGCGTTCGCCATCCACACGAGAAAGTTACGGTCGAGGCTGTCATCCCATTAGAAGTGGAAGAAACAGTTCAGCAATCTTCCAATGGCGAAAAAAAGCTGGATTACGAGGAATCTTTAGTTGAAAAAGAAGATAAAGGAACTGCTGATAAAGATATCTTGAACAACTCAGATCTAAATGATGCTGAAGGTCCTAATGATGACCCCAGCCCTGGTCACCAACACAAGAAACCAGGATTGTCTAGAATGCTTTCTACAAAACATTTACACATCAAGTCAGATGTCAGTGAGCTTACACCTATCAATCTCTGGTGCAGACTACCCCCTCTCTACCCCTCTCAGATTCCTCCACAATTCATTCTGTCTTGTGATTGGTTAAGCACTTCTCAGATTGACAAACTGACACAAGAACTTGATGGGCTTTGGCAGGATAATTGTCATGATCCAATCATATTCACGTGGGCAGACTGGCTGCAGAGCTCATCCTGGGATTTCTTACAGCTACCCTCTCATCTTGTCCTCAGAGAAGGCTTCAAAGAGTGTTTATTCAATGATGGTGTTACGGATGTTGCCTTGGAAATGGCCTTGTTGAGTATATTTGAACATGACTTAGAGGTTAAGCGGAATGAGTTTTACAAGAGTGTTCACACATGTGAGATTTGCTTTGAAGAAAAAGAGGGGAGAGCTTTCTGCTTTCTTGACGAATGTCATCACTTCTGCTGTGTGGAATGTCTGCAGCAGCACAGTGAGATGCATATCAAATCTGGGTCCGTGATGCAGCTTTTGTGTCCAATTAATGAATGTGATGTTGCCATTCCTCCTCAAATGTTGAAAGACATTCTTGAGGAAGAAATGTACAGAAGATGGGAACGACTGCTGCTCAACAAAACACTTGATCTGATGCCAGATGTCTTTTACTGTCCAAGATGCAATACAGCGGTTGTAGCAGATGATGATTCAGAATCATCAAAGCTTGGTCGATGTACATTTTGTTTCTTTACATTCTGCATTGAATGCCAAGGCCCATGGCATCATGGGAAATCTTGTACTGGTGATGACGAACAAGAAGAGCAAGATAAGAAAAAAACAAGCAAGAAAAAGCAAATAAACAAGAGTTCAAATAAAGTGGATGTCTTTACAAAAAGGTCTCGCACTTCTAATGTGGCTTTTATCACCTTAATGAGAAGCAGAGGATCATACCAAAAGTGCCCAAAGTGTCGCATGATTGTGGAAAAAATTTCTGGATGCAACTTCATGACATGCAGTCAGTGTCGTGGTCAATTTTGTTGGGTGTGTGGTAAGTATATGTTATACTTTCATTAAAATATCATACTACTGATAGGTAATGAAGGAAAAAGTCTATAATATACACATGAGGTCGTCAAGTGGCATTAATTTTATGGGAAAAAGGAGATGTACTTACAATGGTTTGCAAATAAATGAGAGCACCTAAAATAGATATTTTGTGACTTCAATTATTTGATGAAAATAAGAAAAAATTAAAACATTATTAAGCAAGTTGAAAATTTGAGGAAGGCTTACCTAATTCTATTGCTACAGGTGAAGTTTATTGGCCTCGGCACTTATCAGCACTTATTATTCATTCATATTTTAGGTGCTCATGGTTTTATTAAATCAACTGTAAGGATTTAAATTTCTAAGGCACCTTTCAGAGTAATGAGCTTTAAGTACTTATGAACCTTGGAGCAAATTGGTTTTACATCTATTACGTAGTCTCTCTTCGACAATTTCTATTCACTATTTTTCCACAAGTTACATTTTTTGAAATATCTTTATATGCATGTTACTGTGCCCTTACTGTGATTATTGAATATGCAATAACATTATTGTGTTATAGGGAAGTCTATCTCAAGCTATGGCCACTTTTCTCAGTCAGAAAAGTGTGCCACTTTTGGACAAGCGACACCATTGCAGGCTCGTCAACCAGAACCATCAAAAGGTGAACTTCTCATCCAACAATATAAAGAAGAGAATCCTGGAAAGAAGCTTATTACAAAACACTGTCCAGTTTGCTCACAGAAAAACATCAAAATAGCAAACAATAATTCTATGAAATGTTGGTCTTGCAAAACAAGGTTCTGTTATCAGTGTGGCAAGAAAATTGAAGGTGTTTGCTACAAGCATTTTACAGCACCAAATAAATGCACTCAGCACTCTGATGATTGAAATGTTTATTGTACATGTCAAGTAGATTACAGGATCACACAATGGAATTGAATTAAGTTCAATATTCATTTATGACATTACTATTTGATAGCAACACATCAGTGCAGACATCATTTACCCTGTGAAACAAAAATCTAACAGTTCTGCAGGCATATATGAATATTAATCTGCTCTTACTATTAGACTTTTATCTCTATATCATAGGTTTTTTGATTTGCAATATGCACATTGCAATAATGTGCATATTGCAGACAGTAAATGAACTTTATGGTGCCAGTCAGAAAAGCAATGGAGCTATAACTTGCATCATATATTATACTATTAGCTTTACTGGCTTCTCACACTCTGATGGAATTAATCACGTAATTACATTAATAGACCAGTGATAGAAGTGCAGTAATATGATTGAAAAAGCATGGTCATTTATAATTTGGGTTAATAATGTGTAATAACAGAAGCAAATTTTTATGAACAGAATAATTTTCACCATGAACATTTTGCTATAATAATTTGTATATATTTTTTATTTGCTCTGGCCAAAATAAACATTAATACAATGTATCTGATCTAGTCTCAAAGGCTATGGTCAATATGCCTATATTATACTTGAAAAACCAAAATAATTTCATCAGAATTTATCAGTCGAAGCTTCAGAAAGTTTCCTTCATTTATTCATTCAGTTGCAACAGTCTCCTTCAAGGTTCCTGTATACCATCTTGAAAAGTATGGAACTTGCAATGGTAGAAACCCAATTTTACACCTACACACATTAATTAACATGTATCATTGCATGCTCAACCATGAACAAGGCTTTTGGTTGAACCTTGTACATTAAGATGCAATTTAATCAAAAAATTGAATATCACTACAATCATGTTAAGTGCATTTGACCCTAGCCTTTCATTTTACTAAGAAACTATAAGTATGGAAAATCAAGATCTTATATAAGAAATATCAAAAATAATCAATTTTTATCATATTTATAACCTTACTGTAACAAAATGAATGAAAGATAATGTACATGAAAATACTGTACAGTTATTTAGTTTTGTTATTCTAAGCATTACTGTAATCATTACTATTCAAATTATAATATTTAAATATAATCACACAAAACATTACAAATTTTAATTAAAAGATAAATTACAAAATCAACATTCATAAAGAATGTAAAATTGATATCACCCTATTCCAGGTAATTTGGATTGAATACAATATGTGTTTTTGTTATGAATGCCCCAGATATGGTTTGTAGTAGCTGTTTTGTAGTAGTAGTTAAGATGATGAATCAATATCATAAAAAAACATATGAATAGTGTTTGTCACACACACAAAATAATCACTAACTATGTATTAAATATAATAGCAATATTTTTTTTTCAAAAAATCAATATGTCAGTCATTTATATCAGAATTATTCTCATTACATAGTTTATTTTATAAAATAGAGCGGATTTCGTATGAGTGGGAAACGGACAGTACTGTACTGTGTCCGTAATCGTACTGTAACCAAATTCTAGTGCCCCATTGTTTCACCAAAATTCTGCAGGCCAGGTGCGGTAACTGTGTGGTAACCGTGCGGTAACGGTGTCCCACTCATACGAAATCCGCTCTATAATTTATAGCTTTATAGTTGACTTATACATATTTTACTAATACAGTTCTTTCCTGGACTTTCTGCCATATTGAAAGGTATAAAATTATAAGCCATGACTCATCTGTGCAAAAAGATGCAAGGTCTACTGGGTTAATGTTCTCAGTAAAAAAAATGAGACTGATGTTCTAGCAAATGTTTCTAGTGGTTCTGCAGGTATATCAACAAGAAAACAGCAAATTGTTTAAAAAGCGGTTGATTACATCAACTATATAGCTATAAAAAATAGTTTTATAAAACATACTATGCGACATTATTTAATATACAATACTTCTGTTTATAACTTTGACACCATCTGACAGTATTGATGCATAGTTTAATTCTGATCTTTCTTTTGTATTCGTTTCTTAAAGTCTGCATTCCATATAGTCAAGAACAGGATAATGTTGACAATAATTAAAATTCCCATTGCAATGCACCCATAGATTGTAACTGCTCGAGGAAGAACATGACGATTTTGGATAACAAAATTTACCATCCATCCACTAGTAAGGAAGCGGAATGCAATGAAAGAAAACAGCATAAGGAGCCCATTGATTTCATATTTCAGACTTGTTTTGCTGACATTATGGAATGACATAAGTCTTCTTGCATGGAGAAACACACTGTTTACCTCTATGAGAAGAGAGCACATGGCAAATCCTAAGTATGCCTGATGAAAAACTGCAAGGCTGAATGCTCCAATAACCTTCAAAGAAAGCAAATGCACAATAAATCTACACAAATCTTGAAAGGGTATATTATTATATCAAGGATTTAATGCACATGCTAAGAATGCATATTTTATTTATTATATTCTGAGTTATTACTGGGGTGCAGGAGGTATAACATAAATACAACACTCTCCGACATTGATTTTGTCTTGCTTTAAAGCGTTTGCTCAAAAACTTTCATTTTAATATCATACACTCACCACTACATGATGGATTAATAGGCCTCCAGAGTTTTTCATATCATTGCAGATTAAATCAAGAATATCATGAAAAAAGTAACCTGCAGAAAAAAAGGACATCGTAATGACAGGTTAAAATAGTTAGAAAGTTGTTGAAATACTTGGACACAACCTGCACCAAGTTGTAGGGAAATTGTTGGCCTTTGGGAAATATAGTCATATGGAATGAGAGGAGGGAAGGGACTTCCCTGATGATCAGAAGTGTTTGTGGAGCAGAACATTCTCTGCCCATTAGCACTGAATATGCGCGATTCAATAATATACTTTAAAACTAATCAGAGCCAAACTTTTGTTGAGATGAGATGCTATTGTTACGTAACTAATCAATCGACTCATCAATGTCAGTATAGGGATTAGCAAGCTATACTGTATGCAAATTTTCTTTCAACATTTTTGAATTACGTGTGATAAAATAAACGGCGAAGCTTTCAATTTCCATGTCCAAATAACAAATATCTTGCTAAAAAAATCCAATGAATTGGCGCGTTCAATGATTATGTAACGCTAGCTGGTGTGTAATATTGCATAACATTTGAATCTTATAATGACACAAATCTTCGAAAAACTAGTCACTTACCTAATGACACACACACAAGATAGTACGCGAACGTACTCCATTTTTGTACCATGTCGGTAAGCATATCAGGCTCGTTGAAAAAGCTGAGAAAAAAACAGTCATATAGCTAAGCTTAAATGACACACCGAATCGGATGGAATCCACCGTGACATATGATTGAACTCTGAGCTTATAACAAGAGTTTTCTTATAACTTCGTACGGTGTGAAAACGATCCCTATTATTATTGAAGCGACGAAGAATCAACAAACCTGTACACTGATAGAACAGCCGTCAAAGTTGAATGGATTAAAGAAATCCAAATATTACGATAAAGCCATTTCTTACGAGGTGGGCCAACGCGGATCGAGATCGGATAGTGTACATTCACCTTCAGAACTGCACTGAAGATGCGTATAGATACAAAAGAAGCTACAACTGTTCCTAGAGCTGACTGTATAGACGGTAACTCCATTGTCATCTTGAATCAAAAGCGGAAATAGGAATACTGCATTTTAGCATATCATTTCGCGCTCTGCCTAATTTTCCAAACGCACCTTCAAGATCACACCACTCGGGGTGACAACGCTCGTATCAAATGACAAAGTGATTTGCTTCAGCACAGGGAAACCGAAAAAACTTTATATTAGCAGATTCATCATGTTTTGGTTTGAGAACCACAAATTATTTTGAAATGGAAACTCCTCAATAAGAAAAAGCATTCTAATAGAGTCCACTTACACAAATCAGCGTAAATCACTGAATTTAAATAAAAAGCATAAACCAGCTTGGTCTCCCTGTTTCTTTCATTTTATTTTTGAGTGGGGTCCCTTTGTGATAAATCTGAAATGGCTTCCAAGGGTCAAGAAGAAGACGATTACGAAAAACCTCGAAAAATCCCACGAACTTTGAAAGAGAAGGATTCAGGGAAAAGGCTGATTGTAATAATTGAAAAGGCATCTTTAGAAGCCGTGAAGGTGAGCATTTCTGAGTTCAAACAGTGAAATTTTCAGAATATATTCTTTACCACGTGTTGTCGTACTATGTTATGTGGTCTATGGTAGTACAGTTTTATGAAATAAAACTGTGTTTTATGCATCCTTTCGTTAATCTGTTCACGATTTTAGAATGGAAAAAACTTCGAGCTGTTGAATTGTGATAATCACAAAGGAATTATGAAGAAAAATAATCGAGATCCTGCAACAGCAAGACCAGATATAACGCACCAAGTAAGAAAACATTTTGTAATAATAATCTTTAAAAATATCCAGGCAACACCAACAGTGTTTTATTGTCCAATAATTGTCAGGGATTTATAGATAATTTTATATGTATTGTATACAGCTGTTTGCAATAATTCTGACCCCCTCTGCCATATTTCATATATATCAAACTGAGCTTTAATATTATGGGATATCATCACTGATATATTTTTTGAGTTGTCCAGAATGAGTACTTTCTAAAAAAATATCAGCAATGGTATCCCATAATTTCTAAGGCTATTTTGATATATATGAATATTAGTGTAGGGGGGTCAGAATTATTGCAAACAGCTGTACCGTGTTCAAATGATGAGATCATAGATATATTAAGATAGTCCAAAATCTTCAGCAGAGAGAAAGAACTTTAAGCCATAACTTATATTATATATATATATATATTGTTAGCTTAGGCCTGGTTCATATGCCGAGCGAGCGTCTTGCCAAACCAAATTGTCAATTTGTGTTGACCCAAATACATTTGGTATAGCGTTGATTTATAGGTCAAACCAAATGCAGTCAGAAGCATAAGAAAAGGTGTGATAACACGCAATTTACATTATTATCTCAACGACGATAGCTCTGAATCAGCGCTGAGCTTTTGCCATGCAGCACGACTGGTGATGCTGTGCCACTGACATGCTACGGTCATGCTGAACGCAGTTGCGGCTAAATATAAACTACATTTCGGTTAATTCGTGTATTGAGCTTATCCATCAGAATTTCTTACTTTACTTTAGTAGTAAATCATTTTAGAGCGAGAATCTAAGGTAATATATTGAGATAAAACATGAATTCAAATTTTGCCCTTGGTGTAATTTCACTACCGGTGGCTTTTGTTTCTACTTCAAGAACCAATCAAAATTCCAAGAAAATTTCGCTTCCCCAGAGTCTTATGTTTTCGGTGCTGGCCAGGAAAACGAAGGCTCAGTGTAGGAGATTGAATGTATTCATCCAAAGCCGCTACAAAGGCTACAAAGGCATCTCAAGAGAGGAAATAAAAAGAGTATTCATAACCAGCATTGCAGGCTACTGACGTGTGCAGACACTTTTACCACACTATTGGAAATGACATTCCAAAATAATGTGTCATTTACTGCCTAATTTGATGCAATCTTTATTGATAATGATAGTGATGATAATTATGATTTTGACCTTGGTTTACAGTGTCTTCTGATGCTATTAGACAGTCCTCTAAACAAAGCTGGGCTGCTACAAATCTACATTCACACAGAAAAGAACGTTTTGATTGAAATTAACCCTCAGACTAGGATCCCAAGAACATTTGATAGGTTCTGTGGCCTTATGGGTAAATATGTTTTTATTCCTTTTTTAATATTTCACAACAAAATAAAAACTGCTGTCTTTTGTTAGAACTTATTATTATATAGATGATTTCTAACGCGCGCTCTGATTGGCTAAAAAGGTGTGGTTTATGAGAGTATAAGCCACGATTGTACGCAAGCGATTTTTGAAAACGGCAACAAAATGGATTTTCGCTTAAATTTTGCTCAACATCTATATAATAATGAGAAAATGTCAGGAAGCACGAGCTGAGTGTGTTTCAAATGCTAAGCGTGCGTTTATCAGAGTATAAACCACAGGTTGAGACTTATTTATTTGTTAATTAAACACTGACTATTTTTGATTGTTTACCATTTAAATGGTCCCTTAATTCACACAATGGTGATACATAGAACAAAAGATCACACTGTAAATAAGAAACTCACAAAGTTTGGTGTTAATCAGATCTGATGTAAGCTTCTTAAGCAGCTTTTTAAAAATTCTAGATTTTGCAAAGAAATGTATGGGAATTTAGGAAAATCCAGCATTCTATACATTTCTTTGGAAATTCAGTAAATTGCTTAATATTAGCCTGATCAACATATTTTCATTCTATATAGGTCGTATTAATCCATCATGTCAATTAAGGGACTTGTACCTAGTCTCCCACAGTATGTATGTTATTTCATTTTACTTGTTTCTACTTTTAGTTCAGCTGCTACATAAGCTCAGTATCCATGCGTCAGATGGACCCCAAAAATTATTAAAGGTGATGATATGTTTTTGATAGTTATATACTATACGATTCATAATTAACTTATTAGAATCACATAAAAAGCTGTTGGTAATAGTGTGAAATGTAGATTTAAAGTTACTATATCTGCAATGTTTTGTATTTTTTATATTGCCATAGGTTATTAAAAATCCAGTCACTGATCACTTGCCCACTGGTTGCTTGAAAGTTGGTAAGACATTTTGTTCTTCTTTTACATTTAAAAATACTTGTGGTTGTTGTTTGTTTTGTTTGTAACAATTTTGTTCTACCTTTTTGCAAAGTTGCCTCTGCAGTCAATCCCTTTTTCATCCATTGTGGGCTCTTTAAATTGGGACAAATGACAACTTTATTGCTCTTTTTTCTCAAAGGAACATCATTTCACTCAGACAATCTTAAGAATGTGAGAGACATAGTTCCAAAAGATGAACCAATAGCCATTGTTGTTGGTGGTATGGCACATGGATCGGTAAGGACAACCATTGTAAACAGTTTACTACCTACAGTTTACTAAAGACCAGGGCTTGAAATAGTGGCCAGTCAAAGGACAATGTCCTTTGCTAAATGATCAGCCAAATTGGGTTTTGAAAGGACAAATTGACCTGCCACATTTTTAGACAAAATTATCAATTTCTAATTCCCTAAATAAATCTTCTAAAAGCCTGCTTGCCAATCTTTCTGAATACAAAAACCTATAAACAATTAAAAGAAAATAATAGTATAATAAAGTTTTCCTTTAAAAACTTGACATGACCTTCCAAAAATGAATTTGGAAGGACATCTTGTCGTGCATAAGTCTGGCCGTTATTTCAAGCCCTGAAGGCATATTTAGAAGACAAGTAATTTACAAGAAATTGAAAAAAGAAAAATGAAGTCTATTGACCATTGCTGTAGATTTTTAAGCTTAAGTTAAGACCTAAAAAATTAGTTTTCTTGTTGCTGTGCAATTCTTGTGCATTTAAAATAATATATTGGTAATAATGGCCTGATATCCTGGATACACCTCTGAGGCCTACACCTGATATTAACCTGCTTACTCAGTGGATATGGATGATAGCAGAGTTCATATGCTTTAAAACATTTTGAAATGTCATGATATGTATACACTAACCAGACAAAAACATATTTATTATTACTTTACAATGTGCATTATCTGTTTAAAATCTCTTTAATAGATTGATCCAGAATACATTGAAGACACCATTGCAATCAGTCAATATCCACTATCAGCAGCACTTACATGTGCTAAAATATGCACCGCATTCGAAGAAGTCTGGGGAGTTGTGTGACCTTTGTCATGAACTATTTGTAAATACATACTGGTAAACCAATAAATTTTATTTCTTTGAAAAACCACCCTGAAGCAATGCAGGTTTTATAGTAACATTCATTTTTGTACCCTATCTGCTTATAAGTAGCCTGCGTAGCCAGGCATTCCTAGCAACTGGCTACGCAGGTTACTTATAAAAGTCAGTCAAAAGAATAGTTAATGGAAACCCCAACCCCCGTACTCTGGGGAGAATCACACCACATATAACTGGGATTTGACACTGCTTTGACAGCATCAATCTGTAGGGTGTGGATGAATTATTGTCTAAATTAATGGAAAAAGCTGGGACTTTTATCATTGTAGAAATGCTGCCTATGGTATCCCCTTGGGGTTGAAGGCTGTGGTTTTAAATGTTTACATGCATCAAAACAAGATCAGGCAACCAGCTATCTTGAGAACATGACTTTTATTGGCTAATATATCTAAGAGTATTATGAAAATGTGTAACCCCTTAAGCAAACCTTTTTTCCCGTTTTTTCGTAAAGGGCAGCATGGTCTATTATTGTTTGGTGGGGTGCCAATTCTCCTTTGCAGCCTCCTTTCATCCCTCCCAGGAAGCTCGACAAAAGGGCAGGCTGTGAGTGAGACTAGTTTATGTCTCGCTGTATGTAAGACTAATTTGTTGGGCTCATTTACAAACGCTACCAAGTTAAACCCTACAATTTTGAACTTTAGAATGACCCACCACTTAATGGATATCAGTTTAAGTCTGTAATTTATGCCGTACATGTATTTACTCTCTATTTAGTTTCAGGATATTCAGTTTCTCCACTATACACACATCTTGAGCTATGTTGTTTAACTCTGAATTTGTTTTTCTATACTGGCGGAGGCTTCTTTAGAAGGCAAGACTTTCAAGGACAAAACTTTTTTAACATTTTACGATAGGAGTTTCTAAAGTGTAGGTTCCTGTAACTATACACGAAGGGGTTAATTGCACAGCTTACGTACGCAATAAATGTTATAACGCGTCTGGTTATCGCAATAGTCGAAACATCATTTTTTGGAAAACAGTTTGTCACGATACATAAGTTTAAAACGACGCTCATCGTTGTTATGGGCAACCAACACACAAGGAATGCTGCAACTATGATGGCGATAGTGCGCGCTGCTTTCTTATTTTTGACAAAAATCTTTCTTCTCTTTGTTATGTTTTCCATCGAGCCAAAGGCGTTGATGTTCTCCCTTGAAGTTTGCATGTTAATTGTTAAAGTGCTGTTTCGATAGTCAGGTAGATTGGATTGCAATGTGCATGTGCTCTCAATTGATTCACGGCTTGCATATTTCATCTTGTACTCACCACTAAGTTTTCTTCGTAGATAGTCGTGCATCTCATAAGAAATTCTAGCGTGGTGACCAGCATGATGTGTTTCATAGTCAGTCATGCTGTTGTTATCTGCATTCACTGAATCGATGTTTGTGCTTGTGGTACCCGGATCCAACTCAAGCACGTCTTGCGAGGGCATTTTGCTTGTATCTTCTTGCATTTCAGGGCTAACGTCCCTTCTTGAGTGCGTCTCAGTGCTATCATTATGTCTGGGACCCATTGACGCTTCACTTTTCATTTTCTTGTCAACATCGTTATCATCATCATCATCATTATTATTATCACCATTGCCATCCTCAGCGATATCATCTTTTTTACAGTCGTCTTCCTGGCCAAGGGTCTGCCCCGGATCACTGTTTTTCTCATTTTCGTGATCTTCATTAACAACGGGTTCTGATAAGGGCACGAAAGGAATTTCCTGTTTTACTCGGCTCTGATTATCCTGCTGTTGAGGCTCTTCATTTTGAGGTATGTCCTTCTCTATGGACTTTTCCTCGCTGTTTTGACTTCCGTCTCGTTCATCATTTCCCTCTGTGATCCGAGCGTCCTCTAATGATTTATCGCAGTCAATAGACCCACTGTTTTCCGGGCACTCGTGGTTTTCAGTTTCATGGTGTTCATGTATATCGTTGCTATCTTTGTTACCTTCATCTTTACCTGCGCGTCTCTCATCAACTGCTACAGCGTGACGCATATCTTGTGAGGTGGTATTTTTGTCATTGTCTTCGTCTAGTTCCTCTATCATAGTGCCACAACGTTTAAATTTTGGACCATTATTGACGTCTACAGCTACATTTATATGACCTTGTTCTTCTATGGCAGGGTTTTCATGTCTGTTTTCACTCGTTAATGCTTGAGATTTTCTGCTGCTTTTAGGTCTTGATACCGGAGAGTCAGCTGACTTGAGCTCCAACATAGCACTTGTTGGTCTTGTCAGGTATTGAGTCCTTGCAATCTGGTAGATTTTGTAGTAGAGAACACACATAGCAAACATAGGAATGTAGAAGTTTAACACATTACTAATCATTAAGTAGAGTATGGAGACATTAGCAAAGCACTCTGTGCCTTCACAAAAATAAACTAGACTTCCGCCTTCCTGGAATTTCCACCACATTTGTGCTGCTATGACAGGGCCCATGCAACAAATCCAAACCAAGGCTATTACTATTAGAGCTCGCCTTTTTGTCATGAACGGCGACTCTTTGAATCGATCCCATGGGTTCTTAAGCGTTTTATATCGATCTATACTAAGTACGACAAGATTCCACATTGAAGTAGGGACGATCATAAGATGAACAGTTTGCCAAACTGTGCACAACAACTCGCTGTGATACCATCGGCCAAACGTCATGTACATCTCTGATTCAAACGGCAACGAAAGACATGCTGTAATAATATCTGAGACAGCCAGTGATACAATGAAATAACTCGCAATGTTCTGACGAAGGCTTGGACTTATAACTACAGCCGCACACACTAATGCGTTGCCAATCAGAGCGGTTCCAATAAGTAACACATACAGTACAAACATACTGACATTGAAAGGGTGCTCATACCATACAAACACTGGAGGTTCAGGACATGAGAAATTACTTGTATTCATCTGGAATTTGAAGTGTTTCTTTTCCGCGATTAAATTAGCTATATATATGATGTATCGCTGTCCTCCAAGCTCTTGGCATGCAGCGTGAAAACAGTTTTAGATGGCTGAAAGATACACACAATGTTCAAACCTCGTTAACTTGATCAATACAGATAAAACAGGTCATATCAACCAAACTAAATCGTTAGGTTAATTCGTCGATATTTTTCTTTAGTATAGTCAAAAATGCTTTTCCTGATGTAAAAAGTGAACGCTGCTCTTAACAGCACAAGTTCTTTGTTCTTTTGTTAAGGGTAAGCGATTTTAAATGGTCAAGACTCAAAGATCACGTTTTAACTGCCAAATTACAACTGAGTAGCCATGGATAATTAGCAGTTTTACAAAAACGTCCGCTTACTTGACGTGGTTAATCATATCAATGTAGACATATTTACCTTGGGTAACAGCTTTCCTTCGTGTATTAATGGATTAGTTTTCACCTCAAATCAATTACCACAACGCAAGTGATATGTTGTTAGCACGCAAGCTTATTGTACTAAACCATCATCTTATTCCTAAATACCTTTGTCTTGTACGTGACGTAAGTTGTCTAATGAAAACCAGAATCAACACTATGTTTTACCCGGAATGATTTGTTGTTTTTGAGCTATTTTTGATGTTCAACTTTAACAAACGTGTATACTTTATACCGGTTGGAAGATATCTGTTTAATCCAGATTTAGTTACTCGTGACACTCTAACCTTGGATTGTCATATTACCCGTTAGTTAAATTTCTAAAATTCTTCCCAATTGGCGGGACATATCGGACAGTATTCCGGCTATATATCATACTATCCTTAATTGAATTTTCGTAAGGTCTTTTCCAGTCGTTATCATAATCTTTACGTTTGTAAAACTGTTCTTATCATTTTCGCAGTTTTTCTGCGGAGGTAATTAGTGGCTGATGCTGCTCAGCGCGCATGCGTAATTCTACGTGTTATCTTTATATCTCGTTACTGCTGATTCCTTAGATCAAGAAACTTGCGTTGTCTTTGTGTTATAGCGTGTGAGATCTCGCTTATCGTGATTTATATCATCAATGGTATTCTTGTATAAAACCATAAATTTCACGATGGTACTGTCACCTTGATGTTTAATCGATTTAACTATTCTATATCTTTGTGGCGCCTCGGAGTTTTAATTCTTCTTAAATGGGTAGGGCAATTATTCGGCACATGTTTACCCATGCCACCACTTCTTTAATGCGAATAATCAAATAAAAATGGCGCGATTCGTAATGGACAACATTTCCGTTCTTATGAGAGACAAGCGGCTAATGGCTCGCAAATAAATCTATTGTTTTGTAAGTCATATTTACGCAATTGGTATTATGGGCAATTACGAATAATTTGGTAAACACGTAAAGAGGTCTCGGATAGTTAGTAAAATTACGTAGAGAACAATGTAAAAAAGATATTCCTTGACACGTTTTCAAGATCTTTTTATTTCCCTCTGAGTTTGTCATTGTATTTGTAATAGGAAAGAGGAAACTGCCTTGAAAACTAGTATAAGCTGCGTAGGTACATTTAATGAAAACGTTTTGACAAAATCATAATCGGCACACCTTGAAATTTGATAGTTAAAAACTGACTTTCAGTAGTGACGGAGCACGTCCCTATATCAGGATTTTCTCTATCTTTTTGCGGTGAATAATCTATGGCGGTTCGAAAATGATCGACTGTCTCGAAACCATTTCTAACACGATGAAACCCATTTCTATAACTGACAGTGATAACAATCCACCCAAAAGAAACACGATAACTATTCCAAGATAACTGTGTCTTTTTTGGTACGAAAATCAGCTGTTGTTGTTTCCCTGCTGTGATGATTGCGGTTGTTGTTTTTATCTTAATCATAAGAATATGCCTTGCTGACTGAACATAGTGTAATTATCGTGTTATAGACTTTTTGACGCTGTGGAATTGTGGTTTAATTACATCGCACCACAGGTAATTTTCACTCGATTCTTAATTTTTCCGCATTATTAAAACTTTACGACAGAAAAATGTATATTTATACGTGGTAAAATTTTAAAATTTCAAGGTAATCGCGAATAAAAAAAATCTTTCAGCTTCACTTGGTTCTTTTTTTACTGACTAGCGACTTTGTGAAGTAGCTATATTTTCAACTTTTTGCTATCTGACGCTCACAAACTTTCAATTTTCAGACAGTCTTCAGTGATGGAGATCTTTTACTTTGATTTCAAATCTTTTATTAATATAATCTGAGGTTGAATCACGTCAGACCACGTTTGAGTATGATGTAGAAACGTTTAATCACTCGTTCCCAGACCTCCACATTTTCCACTTTATCACGCGGCCAAAACGTTTCTAATACGTTTTTTTACACACGTTAGTTGTTGTCTACTAGGGGTCTACCTATTTCACCAAATTTCTCTGCAAAAACATAGATGATCACAAAAAGAGAAATACGCTGTGCACTAGTAGTGCTAACTGCATTTTATCGAATACTATATTTTAGTGTATTAAGAAAATACCAGATCTAGTTACTTATTAGTAGCTTGTCCATGCGCGTAACAAGTCCAACAAGTCAATTTGACGAAACCCATACGTTAGCGAGCTATGGGTTTTTGTCTTATAAACTGAGGAGGTAAGCATAACGATTGTGGTACGGGAAACTGTACCACATTTTCTAAAATTGGAACGATACAGAGAAGATTAGCATGGCTCACCTGCGCAAGGATGACACGCAAAATCGTGAAGCGTTCCAAATTTTTCTTTTTTTTTTTCCATTTCATGCCTTAGATACTCGTAATATGGCAGTTGAGCTTTTTGAGGCGTGTCTTTATTATTAAACCGCTATAAAACTTTTTAGAAACTGCTTTAAAAAATAAATCAAAAACCCTGCACGCTTCTTCGCTCCCTCAATGTTTTTAACGTTCGATCGAGATACTAGCCTGAGTTTCATCCAGCGTTTTTGAAAATAAACCTGTTGTAAGCAGGTTATCGAGATACGCGCATTTCGAGATGGAAAGATATGAATGACACCATTTCTACTTCACAATTATTATTCTAATACCTATAAATGTTTACAAATTTTTGTTCATGCTAATTATTTCAGCAGTAGTTAGCACTTCTTTAATTCTTTTTTGCTTTTTTCTTTGCGAACCATTCTTCGCTTTTATCTTTTTCCAGACCCTATAAAGATATAAAATTCAAAGAATAACGAACTGGCCTTATTCACTATATGAATCTAATGGAATTTTTGGCGATTTATTTTGGCCCGTTGATTAGTCCTTCCCAAAACTCGGGAGCCCACGGTGATATATTGGTACGTTGCGATAATCAATGTCCTTGTTGGTCTACTTCTGTGCAAAACTTTCACCACAAATGCAGCATCCAAGGACGAGCTTGCCTGAATACATGCTTTTGTAAATGTGTTCAAAATTGGGTCATTGCCAACTTTATTCCTGGAAGAATTGGGGGTTCAATTCCCAATGGTTGTACACTTTATGTATATTAGTATCTTTTCTATTATCGACATCTTTATTTTGTTAAAACATGAAGTGAAATGAACTATTACAGTTGTAAAGGTCCGCTTCACTTGCGATTTTTAAGTTTCGACCATGCTTGAAAATTGCGTCTGCAACTTCCATAGGCCGCCCAACTATTGCTTTAGAGACAGTAAAGAACGACTGCGCACGCTTTTACCTGTATATGTTATCGGCGCGCGCTCTTAGCAAATGCCAGAAGAACATAACCATGTTATGTACTTCTGCAAATGCGGACTACCTGTGTTAACGTCACGATCCCGTGCCTCGCGGGTGTACACTAATCTGTGTTTCATACCTTGTCACAGACTAATGTATGGACCCGCGAGGCAAGGGATCGTGACGTAGTACCACAGGTAATCCGCAATTTTTCTAAGAGCGCGCGCCGATAACATGATACATTTTTAAAACGTGCGCATTCGTTCCTTTCTGTCTCTAAAGCAATAGTTGGGCGGCCTATGCAACTTCGCGGCGATTTTCTATCGCCGCAACATTCGCAGGGCTTTTTAAACGTACGATTTTATTTGCGCAATAGCAAAGTGGCGAATATCGCGCTGCAAAAATCGCATGTGTAAACGGGCCTTAAGGAAACTGTTGTAAAATGTTTTTGACAAGTTAACTATAATCAAGAATTATCTTTTCATACCTCATCCAAAAGCTTGTCACCTTGTGGATCAAACTGGGACAGCTCCCTAAAACCTTCATCCTCAACAAAGCAGATTTCATGTCCATCCTAATACACAATATAAAGAAAGTTTGTGATGATAACATCATAGGAAAAAGAAAGCTGGAATGGAAGGGAACGGAAGAGAAGGAGGAAGAATAGGATGAAGAATGAAAAGGTAGGAGGAGGTGAAAGGATGAAATGGAAGATGATGGAAAGGAAGCAGTGAAGAAAGAGAGTATAGTGATTACTTACAGGATCAGATAGTATAACAACTCTAACAGTAGCTTTTCCAGGAGTATCCAAAGTGACAAGAGGAGTAAGGATTGTATGTCCAGCATTTTGAACAGAGCTCTGAATCCCTTCTTGTTCAATCTTAGGGCAAGAAAAAGCAATCCTTCCAAACGCTGTACCACGGTCTACTTTACCATCAACCTGGACAAGCTCTAGCTTGACTTTATTGGTATCATAGCACAATGTTGCACTGTTGTCTTCCTGGTTTACAATAGTCATACCAAGAAGTTTATGCCAATAGTCCAGTGAATTCTTTAGATTAGATACTCCTAAAGCGACCTTTTGAACTGGATCTGAAGAATGACAGTTTATTATAAATATTCATTTCAAGTGGATAACCTTATAAGGTGATGATAAAATCATGTACTGTACCTCCAGAATCCTTGTCAAACAGGACAAACGGGTATCCATCAGGAGCCTGGATCAGGTATTGACCATCTCCTTTATCAGTCATTGGATAACCAAACTTTTTAGCATTGGCAACAGCATTTTTGGAGAAGATTGTAATGGACTGAAAATATGAATAAAAAGTTATTAATCTTTTTTCAGACCAGGCTTTGTACTCCCTTAAATGACGTTGCATGCTAAATACCTGAAAGTCATTCCCTCTCTTGTATTCTTTAACTGTATAGTTATAGGTCAGTTCAAGTACAAAATGATCATCTTCTGATCCATATCCTATCATAGTTTTGCTCCATTTGCCATCATAAGGACTAAAAATGACCAAAAATAATTCATATACACTGAATAAAGAACTAGTGTTTTTTTCAGTATATTAGGAATCATGTGCCTAATTTGCATATTTGCATTTTGTATAGTCAATATAATTGTCCTCCTTCACACAGACTTGAGACCTCATGCACACAGAAAATAATTACCCGTTGCATGTTGCCTTGCATCCTTCTTCAAACTCTTCATGTCGTAAAGTCTAGAAATGAATAATGATTCAATACAAAAACATGGAATAATTGTCTAAAAATACCTATTGTCTGAATGTATTTAAAATCCATGATAATGACTTAAAGCAATATTTGAATCTAGCTTTACATTTTGTTACCTGCAATATGATATTGCATGATAAATTGAGATGTATTACATAATATATTATGCATATATTAGCGCAGGCACTGTTTCGATGACGTACTCGCTATTCAATGTTATTCTTTGTTCATATACACAGGTGTAAATATACATATTGTTATTAAATTAATGTAAGTTTGATAACATTTTAAGTACGTTTAAACATGTTTGTAGGTTGAAACCAGTTGTTTCGAAATAAACAAGAGGTTAAGAAAAGCTAATAGCTTAAGCTTACATAACTTTATCAAACTGACTTTGCGTTACGCATGACTCGACAAAAATAATAAAGTTTTTCAAATCCAATCCAGTTTTTCAAATGAAAATGTTGATTGTTTAGGAGAACACTAACCTTCATACCAAGAATGGACCGATAGAATTTTGCACTCTCGTGTCTATTCCCTATTTTAAAAACAAAATGCAATGCTCTTCTGCTTGACATTTTTGGCACACCAAACGTAACCCCGATCGACTCCAAAACAATAAAGGTAAAAGCGATCAAACTAAACAGCAGTGTTACTATTTAAAATACGGTCAGCGGTCAATACCACGAATTTAAAATGGCGGTCGTATTGCGTGCAGTCAGTTTTCAAGTGATTTCTAGGTGTTCTGCATCATCGACGACCAGGAGATTTACCTCCAGGTACGTTTAATGAGCTTCATTTTGTGTTGGCAAAGTTTTCCTTGCTAAATTTTTTTCACAAAAAATGGGAAAAAAATCCGGTGCAATTGATCCGAGAATTGACTACGTCAGTTTTACAAAACTGTGTTAACCGAACAGTGCACAAACATTCTTATAAATTATAATATTTTATTTATAGCTCAGAGGAAAATGCTGGACCTAGAATATACACGAGAACTGGTGATAAAGGTTAGATGACCTTATCTCCACCTGGGGTGCCCTGAGGTGGAGAAATGTTAGCAAGCATATTTGAGACACTTTCAGTTTCCCCCGAAAAAGGAAGTGACTACCATTCCATTTGTCATTGACAGGATTTTCAAGTACCTTTGGAGGGCAGAGACTACCGAAAGATGATGTCTTGTTTGAAGCTTTAGGAACAAATGATGAACTTTCATCAAACATTGGGTGGGTTGTAAAGGTTTTGGTGTGTTCGTTTTGTATTTCATAGTTTTTTTTTCTGCTTGCTTTCACTGCGTACTTCCTGTACCTTAAATGTACTGTAAATGTAAATGTATTTAAATTACCATTAATGTCATCACCGTCATCATCATCATCATCGTTATTATTAGATGTAGATAAATTAGAAGAGATCATATAAAGGAGGCTACTAAAAAAAACTAGTATTGATGGTAAAATGTCTTGATTTTTGGTGTCTAATGGACTTTTTAAGTAAAAGCAAAGCAATGATGAGATTTGACTTTCAAAATAAAAACAGGGAAGCAAGACTGTCATTTTGTTATTTTATACATGGTTTAGGATCAATTATTCATAGAGAAAATTCTCCTGTGCATTGTATAGTATAGACGTTATTAAGCATGTATGTATAAGTGGTATAGCAAGCTTGGAATACAAACAGTACTCATGTATGAATGTTATGTGTATTTTTCAGGGTAGCAAGAGAGTTTTGTATTGATGCAGGGCACAAGGATCTTGTAGAGCAGCTAGAAAAGGTTACTGTTTTTTCTTAACTCAACTGTTTTGTAACATAGACATTGAATATTTAATTTGTTTAATTATATCAAACTGCAGGTAATTTTTTATCAAATATATTCATTCCAGATTCAATGTATTCTTCAAGAAGTTGGCTCCAATATTGCGACACCAAGAGACAGTTCAAGAGAACGAAAATTGAGTAAGGCCTTTAATGTAAAAGAAAAACAGACCAGACTATATATGTAAGCATAATATTAGATGCTTCAATCATGGTTATTTGGATATTACACTTCTAATACTATTTGATTGATTGATGATTGATTGATCATTTAAATGATTGATTTACTGAATGACTGACTTGTTTCTTTCTTTTTTATGCATGTTGTTGCAGAACAAACCGAATTTAATGAAGGATATACGCCAGAGTTAGAAAAATGGATTGACAGCTACCACAATAAGTTACCTCCATTAAAAAACTTTATTCTCCCTGTAAGTATATAGCAAAAAATGTCCTTTCAAACAAAGCATGATTTTTAACAATATCTTTAGTCTGTTTTAAATGATATTAACCTCTTTTAACTAACATTCCTATTTCCAGTCAGGTGGAAAAAGCAGTGCATTTCTACATGTTGCTAGAACAGTGTGCAGACAAACTGAGCGAAGGTAAAAGCTTCTTGTTACTTGTCAAATATTTCTTTTGAAATAGTCATCTGATGGATAAACTGAGTACTGCTATCTGACTTTGTTTGCTCTAAAACTAGTCGAGGAGCCAGTTTTCAAAAAGGCTCTATTTTTTGAGTTCGTTTACTTCTCACCACAGAAAAGGTTTGTTAGTGGATCTTGATAGAATGAACCCTGCTGAATAAGGCTAGGTAGGTAGTAAAGTCAAATTGTGGGGTCGCTTTCGAGATATAGGCGTGTTTTTAAAGGACACCGGAAGTCAAGCATGAAATTGAGGCTACTGAAGTACTTTTCGATTTATTGATATAAAATCATGAAAAGTTTGCCTAATAACATGGCAGAGTTAACAACTTATTGACAGTAGAACAAGGAATAAGATAATGAATGATTTCAATCATCAATTAAGTGCTTTCACATTTTTATGGGTTGTTTTTTTCAAGAGAAAAACGCTTGGTTTGCAAACAAAGTTAGATGAAGACTTTTCACAATGATTATATATCAAATGTAATTATATTTTACCCGAAATTGATCTTTATGATATGAAATAAACAATATTGTAACTAATTGTAGTCAGTTTGTCCAATATAACATACGACCAGGCTGGTAAATCACAATTATCTCAAAGGCCATGCCTCAGCCTCGTTTCCATGAAGGTAGCAAAATCCAACATGGCGGATTTCAAGGTCATATTTGTTTGGAAATTTGACAGGTTAGTACCATTATTTAGTCACAATTGAGTTAATTACGAAGATTTTGAACAGTTAATTATCTTTTGGTCATAAATATAATCTTTTAGAGTATTCCAAAAAGCAAATAAACTATAGATTATTGAAGTTTGATCGAGTTTGCTACTTTACAGCTTTTGCTTTTAACTATTAAACTTTTTTATATCTACTAA